ATGTTTAAAGTCAATTTTTCTTTTGATTCGTCATTTGGATTGTTTTTGAAGAGCAAATTATTCATCAGAATTTAAGTAACACTTGAGAATATTTTTTTCTAATTTATACCAAATAAATAATAAAGACATTAATTAATTGAAGATTGTTAAAGTGTCAGTATTTTTAATGACTAAAGGAAATCGTTCTTTTTTTAAAAATTTTTTTTTTAAAATAATAATTCTAGTAACACCCACATGCTCTAGTCTTAATGTTACCTACATTTTTAACAAGTTATGAAAGTATGATTGTAGCAATCCATTATATAGCTTTTTTTTTATTATTATTATTTTAATTACAGATATTGTCAAAAGCAAGGAAATTTATGATTGTAAAGATTTAATTATTCATGTTCTACTATTATATAAATATTATTTACACCAAAATAATGACTTGTTTGATTGAAAAAATATAATGACACGTCTATGAAATAAAAACATGACTAGATAAATTCGATGTGCACAATTGCATGAAGAAGATAACAATAGATCGGGTGCGGTTAAATTCTAGTGCGAGTATGTTTACGCTACGTGGGCTGAACTTTGTGATTAGGATTGGAATAAATTTGGTTAGGACTTGTAGGTATAACGAGCAAAGTGTATAGATTCTATGGAACATGAAAATTTACATGGATATACACAATCAATACCGTCCAAAAATTAATCTCTTGATTATTTGCTATCACATTTAATTAAAATAAAGATATTTATTCTCTTCTCATTAGAAAGTGATTTTAATGATGTTGATTTTTGAGATTCGTCATTTTATTACATCCTTACGTTTTGAGACATTTAAAAGCATAATAGAAGATTTAAAAATGGATGTCCGTATGTACAATTGTATAAAATATTATTATAAATAATTTCATGTAATGAAAAAATTGTATATTATTTAATCAAAATGAGCAAAGACAATTTTTTTTTGTATTTAATTGATAATTTTATTCCAATTTACTCTTTTTTACTCAAAGTAAAATATTAAAAATCACTGGAAAACAACTTTTAGTCACTGATTTATTTTTAAAGAGTTAAAACAATGTACTTTATTCCAAAGTCTATTTTATATTTTAAATCTCAGTATTTTTTTATTGCCAATATCTCCTTATAGAGCTTTCTGATAGGTACAGTGTGAACAAAGTAAACGACAATTTACTCCAGAATCTAAGTGTACTCTCTCAATAGGTTAAAAGCGTGTAAAAAGTGATTACAAAGTGACAATCTTAATTAAATGGGTAACGTGGTCATGTTTACACACTTTTAACACATTGAAATGACACACTTTTAAAATTGGAGATTTAAAGTGAAGAAGTTGAAAATATTTTTCCGTTAGAAATGTTGGTAAATATGAAATACATTCAATGGTGGTAGTAACGAAATTCTGCGGGCTATTTCATCGTAGATTTGTTATTTTTTTTTTTTTATTATTATTAAAAATGCTGTCAGAGTTCTATGGAGATTAGAAAGATTAATTTTTTGTATTGTGTATAACTAGCTGCAAATGTTGGAGTAAAATACTCTACTTTTAGGACCATAATATTTTAGGAAAGTAAATTCCTTTAATATTTTATTTTAAAATATGACGAATAAAAAAACAAAAATGCCCAACGAAAATTTTTAACTCTCCATAACAGAAGTCCAATTTGATAATACGAATGCTTTCAATTGGTATAATCTTTCTAAAATGTACAAAATGTCTTTCCATGATTTTCTTTCTGCTGACAAGCTGAATAAGATCAGAAATCCAGGAGTATTTGTAGTATAATTAAGATAATATCAATTGTGGAATTCTGTTCAATAAAATAGATTAAAAAATATTTATTTATAAAAAGCTATAAATGTAATGATAAAAATTCATCAAATTTCAATCCTTGTAATTAAAATTTATTGATTACTTCGAATAAATAAATGGGAAAGTAAGATCAGAAATATAAAATAATTTATCGAAAGGAATATTAAATGAAAAGAAAAATCGATCAATTGTATTCATAATGAATAATGGACTATTATTGATATTAAATATCATCCTCTCATCAATCTTAAAACGATATAACTTCCATTGAATTTAAGCATACAATTTTTTTTTCCTTTTACACGTCACAAAAATTCATATGAAAATGGTTCTTTTCTCTGACATTGAAAGTTTTTTTTCTGCAGATGTCATTCGTAGTCCATTAGTCATTAGAAAAATTCTGTAACTGAGGTTGAATAATAAAAAAGGAGAAAATAAATCAATGCATTCGCAATTAATTAACTTTTTTTTCTCGTTCGTTATCCAAAGTAAACTTTTCTATATATTTAGTCTTCCATCCAAGTTAATTCCATTAAGCTGCAGCATAAGATATAGTCGGAAAGAGGAAATGGAAAAAAGTAGTCGAGTATGTCAATCGTCATATTTGGCTGGCATGGAATGAAACAAAATTTAAAAATATAGATATATATAAAAAAAAAGTTCAAGTTGAAGTAAAGTAAAACGTTAAATACGCCGGATAGTAATCAGCCGAGCGTGACTCCGGTGTTCCTTGACTTCCGGTTGCCCGCACCCTTTACTACTTATCTAAGCATGTACATTACATATAGCGCTGGGATTTAAAGGTTATTATAATAGTCTTGGTCAAGGCACTTCAAGAACGACCACGGGAAACTCGACTTCATTTTATTTATGGAGGAACTCACTCATTAAAATCCTGAAATTCCAGGACGATCGCACCCCTTTGTTTTCAATCAGGCTCAATGGACTCCACTACGACCATGACCTCAAATTCCCACGATTTACCTTGAGTTCTTCTGCTTTTTTCGCATTTTACTCTCTTGTTAAATTAAAAAAAAAAAAAAAAATTTTCCTTCAAACTTTTGTCTCTCGTTCAAAGAGCACAAAGAAGAATTTTTATTTTTCTGCTCAACCATTTTTATATCACAGGAAATTAATTAAAATTAAGACAGCTGAATAATTTTTGAAGTATTTATTTTTTTTTTTCAATTCACTTTTGATGTAAAATGACAATTAAAAGTTTCTACCTTTTTTTTGGTTTATGATGGGAAAAAAAATTAAATGTCGTTGATGATTTGAATATTGATTAAATTCAAGAGAAATTGTATTTACTTGTACTTTAGATAAATTAATATTTAATTATTTGTAGAGTTGTATTTATTAACTTTAATTAAATTGACTAATTTTCCAACAAACTTGATGGTAAATATATTTTTAGCCTCGAATATTAATTTGTAATCAGTCACAGAATCACATTTTGGATGAAAAATAAACGTAAATTACAATTAATAAGATAAAATAAAAGTTATACTCGATGTAAATAATTAATAATATCATTCAATTCATATTTAAAAATGATGAATGTATTAATTTTCATGAAAGAAAAATAGAGAGGGTTTTTTCAATATTCTCATGACAGTTTTATGTATATAAATGGAAAAAATCTATTTAAATATAATTAAGCTCATTTTAATTAAAATGATTGAAGCTTTTATAATAAAAAACCATTCGATTAATTCAATTTTTGTTTATCATATTAATAGACAATATTTTTATTTAATCACTAAATTAACTGAAAATAATCTTACGCTACTTAATAAATTTCATTTCGTTGTGGTTGATGATTATATTTAAATAATTATCCTAGAATAATGAATTTATATTAAAATTTAACTCGATTAAATTTATTAAAATGATGCCAGTGGGTTAAATTATTGCTTAATAGTTGTTTGAAATTTTTTACAATGTAAAAAAAAAAACAACAACAAATTATCATCAAAATGACATTTTTTTGAGCAAAACGTAAAATAAGTCGATAATTATTATTTCATAATATAATTATGTAACTAAATAATAAATTTAATGCACTCTTGGCAATTAATAATTGCCATATGGTGACACAAATATGAATGTAAATCATTTTTAATTGAAGAAGAAACATTTAAGAGGTAAAAGAGGTCAATGTGATATATTAGCTTGCTATCAAATAATAATCAATTTGTAAAAATAAAATTGCTATTGCTGTAGACTTTGATTCAACTTAAGCAAAGTCTGATTTGACATAAAATTGAAGGTATTTTTTTTCTGCGAGTAAATAATACGTCTTGATAGAAGAATTCTAATGTAATTGAGAGGATTCAATGACGTTTTCAATAGCATTATTGGCAAGTCACGTGTACAAGAAAGGTAGAAATTGAATAACATCATTGTACCGAGTGATTAAAGTGATTACTGATTAGTATTCCATCGTCTCTCCTGTAAGTTGTATAGTGTAACTTACTAAGAATTTATGCACGTCGACAGCTGATGTTATATCGTAAAGCATAGTAAATTCATGATGACAAAGAAAGAAACTTTTATTCGATTCTTATCACGTTGTTCATTTATTATTGAATTTTAAGAAAAAAAAAATGACATCCAAAAGTCCTGAAACATTTATATGATTTCAAGTTAAATTTATTTCAATGATAATAGTAATGTTTCCCTTTCAATAGCTATTTTCCTCTATTCAACGAAAAGTTTAAATTTAGTACGTTAGACCAAGTGTTGTTGTCTAAAAAAGAACGACAGCTGAGTATGCAATATACTAAATTAAAAGGAAATGCTGCAATTTTAGGGTTTGTTTTGGTTTGGAGATGTTCAAATAAAATCTTTGATATGAATTGTAATAAAAGTTTAACTTTTGATAAGAAGATAAAGACTAGCGATATTATATCTCTCCATATGACTTCAGTATTCTAGATTCATTTGCTGTAGAGTAGTTTCTTTAGTGTCAATTTGAACATAAGGAATGAAAACTCGAGCTAAAATTTTATATCAAGTTAAACTTATTAGTAAGATAATTATTTGTAGATAAATAAAAATTTTATTATCATTAATTAAACTAAATAAAGATGAATTAAATGATAATAAAAATAATTTAACATTTAAATCTTACCTAGTTACTCTATTAATTGATTTGTGATAATTTTTCTAGAAGGCGATGAGTATAATCCGGAGAAAGTACAAGAAGATGAGAAGAATAAGAATGTACATGAGGAGATTCAAGGGAATGATCAACAGCAGATTAATGAAAAATCTCAGCAACCTACTACTGGTGAGGATTATTTTATTTAATAAATTTATTTGTTGGTAGAAAAAAATCTTAGTCATTGTATCTATTTAGATCTCCATCAACGCTACCTTGTGGAGACAATAACGATGACGACAGTGACGGAGCGTCGAATTGTGCGAGAGATCAGTGAAGATAAAAGCAACACAAGTAACGTCAGCAGCGTGGAGAACACTGATACAAGGATTACAGAGGTTAATCCAAGTGCAAGCGAAGCGTTAAACGGACCAGAGAATCATGTAGGTACTGAATTAATCGATGAAGACGATAAAAAACATCAAAATAAGACAACTGGATCTGAAGGTGATAAAGATACAACGGATTCAAGTGAATTGTCTTTAACATTTAAGCTAGGCAATGTATCCCTAGTGACCAACAGTTTCAAACCAAACTCAGCAGTAAGGCAGTTATTCCCTAATCCTAAGTTTATTTCTCCACCTCCAACCTTGAGTAAAGGAATCTCGAGCGTTTTATCTAACGACGAAGGCACTGATAGTGATGGATCTGAAGCTCAAAGGTATTTGGTGACAACCGAAAACCTTCGGCTATTCGATTCGGTTAAAAGATCGAAATTGGCAGGATCTCGTAGTGATTCATCAGAAAGTGATTCTTCAACAATAAAACGTACAATAGAACGGAATGCTCTGCGAAGGAGTTTGGTTTGTAAGTACGAGACAGGGAAAAAAAAGAATTCAATAAATAAAGATTTAACGCTTGAGGAGAGAATTCGACAACTTACATGTGTTGATCCTGAGGAAGATACTACTGGAGACAGTGCTTCAGATTCAGTAGTTAATAATGAAAGTTCTAATCAAGATCAATTGCAAGATTTGCCAATTAGGACATCTCCGTCAGGCGAAGAGAGACCATTAAGAAATGAGAGAGTTGTTCGACCGAATAATGAATGTCAAGAACACTCACCTTCACCTCCACCCTCACTTCATCACCATCATCATCACCATCACTACCATCATCATCATCACCAGTCTGCCTATAAGAAAATTACTGAACTGTTTAGTGCTAAGAAAGGTGACAATATGCCCGATTTAGGTATTGGAGATAAAACTTGCATGAAATCACCCAATCCAAAAGTTAATACTGATGCAAGAAAGCAATTTTTGGCAAGTCTCGCACCATTATCATGTGTCACATCAACTGGAGTCGATAGTCAACATGAATATTATCAATTAACATCTAAAATAAATAATAGGGATTCAGTTGGATACAATTCAGACTCTTCGTATAGTTTAGAAGATATTGAAGCAGCTTTAAGGAGTGATGAAAGGAATAATAAAAATGCTGGACCACCAGATGTTACTAGAGGAACACCAACCGGAACAGGACCTGATTTAACTGATTCTACAACAGATGAGCTTTTAGCATTTGTAGAACAAGATAAATCTAGAACAGAGAGATTAAAAAGACGATATGATATGGATGATCATAAAGAGTCCACGAATAATTTAGATAAAAATGGTATTAGTCAAGGTGATGATGAAGATGATGAACTTAATGATTACGGCTTTAACAGAAGACCTTCAGTACGTGGAATTAAGCCTCAATTTGAAACAACAAGTGAAATAGTACGACAGTTGCGATATCGGACAATTCCAACTTCGATTACCGATAAAACGCGGGTGTTGCCACCAGGCTGGCCTTATTACGACACGGATAGCTTAGAGAAACAGCGAGTGTCATTTAGTCAAGATCAGGAAGAGATTAATGGCACAGTACGGGACAGTACGATAAACCGTATCAATACAATGCAACGACAGATTGACGATATTTATCAAACAATTGCGGAAACTGCTGTCAGCGTACAGGGTAGTATTGAACGAGGGTCGTATCTAGAAAGTACTCTACCTCGTAATGCACCTCGACTTTCAACTCCTGAATGTCACCGTTACGAGCAAAAGAATGGTACTCACTTTCAAGATCATCGCATGCGAATGGAGGTGCCAGCTACGAGTGTGTACAACAGTCTGGCTAAAACACGAAGAGCTACAGTTGCAATCTCTAATTATCCCTGTGGAGTGATGCCACTAGAGAATGCCACTAAGTGTTATCGAACCATGTACTTAGTTCCCTACAATGGCATCACAGATCCAACATACCAAAATATACAAAGAATTCTTCCACCTCACTCTTCTACTACTAATTACGCTAATCACATTGAAAGATATCCTTATCCAAGAAATACTCGAGTAGATCATCAGCAAGTGCCTCGGTACTATCCTCGAACACCACCTGGTACAAGTATTACACCGATACCTCCACCTCCACCACTACATCTTCATCTTCATCAGCCAGAAGATGTTGGATTTACAGCAGGTGTTGGAATGCAAACAATTCAGCTACAGCATCATCAGCACATATCTCATCAACTAGCAACCTACAATGTCCAATCCGTGCCAACATATACGGTGATGGCTCCGTCCAGAACGGGTGGATATCACTCATATCCTCATCCAGGTCGCAATGCAGTAGATATACACACTCATACCGTTTCATTACCATTAGCAATGACAAACACAACTACTGTATCTAGTGGAGGCTTCAATGGATCCAATAATCATTTAACGAGTACTTCTTCATCATCATCCACCTCATCAGCATTATCATCACCTACGAAAATTCAACAAATGAATACCTTGTGTACTGCAGGAGAACGAGGAGTACCAGAAGGAGCAGCCAGTGCTCCAGCACATGATTTCGTTTCACAAGCAAACAATACTTCAGCGCATAATTTAACCTCTTTTATTGGACACAATGTGCCTCCACCAAACACTCAGAATTCTGTCTATTATGCCATGAATGTTTGAAGAAATTTATTATTTTTCCTTTATCTTAGTCATTACAAAGTTAAAATACTTCAAGTATTCATGTTACGACCATCATTTTTTTCTCTCTTTTTCTCTCACCTATGCATATACAATCTTCCTCGTTCAACTGTAATTTGTGAAAATTATATTTTTTATCATTTGTCACAATCGCCTGAGGCGTGGGAAAGCGCTCTTTTATCTTTGGTGTACAGAAAAATAGTATTAGAAAAGCAGGCAGCAGTGGCGAGTGTATTTACATGGCCATTTTTTCAATGTAGTGGACAGAAATGAAATTGTAAAATAGATTGAATAATGAACGCAAACACTTTTAATAATTAATTGTAAATAGAAAGTGTCAGGGATTTTTATTCAAAATCACGACTAAAAGTCTCTTGAAGCTTTGAAAATTTTTTTAGTATATTATCACGATCATGACTACTGGTTTTAATCATTACTGTTATTATTTTTATTGCTATAATTATTTAATAATAACCAATGAATTCTTGGAGTGTGGTTAGCAAGTATGAGAGACTTACTAACTATTTATTATGCGTATTGTAAAGCCAAAAATTAGATTTGATTATAGTTTTTATCTATAAATGCTGAGTGATCGTAAGGGTAATGTATGAGTTGTCTGGGATATTTTACAACTAGATAGACAACTAACTATTACTTGTATAAAGTTATTCATAATACGAAATTATAAAGATTTAGAGAGAAATAGAGAGAGAGAGAGAGAAAGAGAAAGTGATAGACATAGAGTCGAGTAGATAATTTTTGTGGTACAAAAAGTCCAATGTCGTTTTAAAATTTTTAATGACCCGCAGCTGTTCATTTCAATATCATATTATTTATTTACTACCAAAATTATATAATTAAATTTTTTAACCTGTTTTATTTTTTCAAGTGAAATTGGTTTTATTCATTATCAGATATGATTGTTGATCAATTTAACTCGTAAATAATTTTGGAAGATTGAGCATTCCTTTAATTATTAAATAATGAAATTTTTCATGAGACTTTTCGTCGTGAAAATTAATAAATAAAATAATTCTATAATAAAACAATAACCAAAGTCGTAGAGTCGTTAGTTGTTGTTGTGATACCTAATGTTTTCATCAGTAGAACAGTAGAAATAAAGTAAAGTAAGCCAAAAATCGGTATTATTTAAAGAAAACAATAAAAGTAAATGGGAAAAAGGTATTGGATTAAAAAAAAAAATAACCATAATATTTGATGGTTGGTAAAAATAGTATAGTGCAAAACTCCATTATTGTTATTCAGTATTTGAATTTGTCGGAAGTAAACTTGTTCAAATGATTTTTATTTCTATGACTGTATGTATGTATGTATGTATGTATTATTAACACGATATGATCGTATTTGTTGTTTGATAAACATGTTTATTAATATTATATGAACAGTTTTTTGTTCTTTTATTATATTTATGGATGAATTTTTTAACCAAAATTTTATAAATAATTTTACTCATTATTTATTGGATTATTAATGCATTATAACTATATCAATATAATAATATAAAGTAATTTCTTAATTTAAATTTTGTAATGAAGCAGAAAAACTATTGATTAGTAGTTATACGTACTAAAATGTTAATTTAACATATGTTTTTGTTATCGTAGAGTAGTTTTGTTATGTCATTTCATCATTTCAACGAGTTTATAATGTCAACAAGTGTTCATGTCACTATTTAATTAATTTCTAAGCATATATATTGATCTTTTGAAGTTAAAAGTAACATCCAAGAAATTGTAAATGACACTTTGAAAGGTAACTTGCTAAGAAATTGATATTATTTATAATGAATATCATTTTACTGCTTCACGACGAAATTTGAAAAATAAAAGAAAAAATAAAAGAAATATTCAACTATACAATATGAAAGAGCAGAAGAGTATGAAAAAAAAAAATGCAGGTATGCGTGTGATATATAGAGGAAGGCTTTAAAATATTGAAGACTGCAATAATTACAACTCTGGCCTACTAAATATGAGGAATATCTGTCGACTCTTTAAAATAAAACTGTTAGAATGTAAGATTTTACTAGCTGTATAAAAAACTTCAAAAAAAATCGAGGAATGCATAGAATCGTCTCAATAACAAATAATGATGATAAATCAACTTTAGAAAATTGATAGAAAAAAAATTTTTTTAAAAAATTAAAACCGTACTCTCGTACCTATAAAAAGAGATCTTTTAAGATTTATAACTTTAAAGAAACCAAAATTTTTATATTTATTTAAAATTAAATAATGTAAAGTAGTTTAATTTTTATTTTCGTTACCTCTTATAAGTAAATATCATTCCAAAGAATGAATTGTAATTAGTTATATTTATTTTAAGTGATTTATGTAAATTTGTTTTAGTTTTATCGATAAATTTTTATTAATATTTTTTTAAATGTTTTATTAAAATGAGAAACCATGAAATAAAAAATTTTTGTTAATTATAGATTAAAATTTTTATTTTTTTTTAATTAAAATTTTCTTTTTAATTAAAAATTGATGTTATTTCAATAAAATGGATACTATAAGCACAAATGTAATACAGGCCTTTTTGCAAACTCGAATTAATTAAATGTATGAATATAAACTTTTAGATGAGAAAAAAAGTGTAAAATTAATTAAAAAAAAAAAAAAACAGTGTTCGGGACCCTCCGTAGATTATTTCATAAAAATGAGTCTATAACATGATGTAGTTTATTCCAAATCAAATAAGATTAATCGATAGTATAGAAAGAAATTAACGAATATAAATTAATTTACACAAGCTAATGAAATTAAATGTAAAAAGAATGTAGAACATTTGCAGGGCCATTGATTGGATTAAGAGAATAAGAAGGGATTGGTGTTACAAGGTCGATGATCGTAAGTAAAATAAAAGTGTTACGTGTGAGTTGGGTGAAAGGTGGACAGATTTTTCTGGTTGATGCATTCTTAATGAACAAGAATTACTTGCAAGACAAAATTAAATATTTTGAGTTTTAACTAAATGTTTTATTGTATGTTACTATTGATAAGGGAGAATGCAAATTTTTAAAAAACTAAGAAAATGTGAATTTTAATATTTCTTTTTCATTAAAACTCATCGTTAATCAATCATTAGCAGGCTAAATTTTCAAAACAATTCATTAATTATACTAATAGTAAATTCAGATAGAAACTGTTTTTTTTATTATATCTGTGAATAAGAATATTTCCTTCAACTTATATTACTAACGATTAGAGTATTGTCTGAATAACAATGATTAATCAAAAAACAATTCAGATTTTTTCTCGTTGAATGAAATACTGTTCTTTTCAGTGGAATAATCGATTAAATAATTACAGCTTGAACAAGATGATACAACTAAGGGGAATAAAAAAATTTATAGGAAGTTCTGTTGTTAATTTCATGGTCGAATGAACTCAAAAGTTCTATAATATGAGTGATTAAACTCGTATATCTGATAATGTTCAAGGAAAACGATCATTTCATAATGATTTCTATGTGAATAGTAACATTCAATAACTTCACCTACTAACGACAGTATTAACACATTTTTAATAAAAAAAAAAACTTATTGTAGTTTTGAGTGAGAATGTTTCAGTATTTGATATATGATATAAAAAAATAATGATTGATGAAAATGAATTAAGAAGAAAAAAAACATAAAATTGTATAATATATTTTTTTTCTCTCTGGAAATAGAAAGAGAAAGATTGACATTCTTTGGAAACTGCCAAAAATGGAATTTCGAATTTTATATTTGTCAATAATCATTAGCTAAAGGTAAGGCTTAGACCCAATTATTTTGACGATGAGATAGGGCGGTATAATGACATTTTATAAATCAATTACAGTTGATATAAAATATTATAGACACTTTTGGAAGCAATACTTTACAGACATAACTATTTTAAATATTTAATTGTTAATTTTAATGTAAACACAATCATTTTGTCTCATCGTCTTCCAGGTGTTTTATTAATATATTTGATAATGACGTAATAAAGAAAGAATCATATTTAATTGCTATTATATTTATGAAAAAAAAAAATAAGCTAATGTACTACAAAAATCGTAGATAATATATTTAATCATTTAAATATTTTATGCAATTAATCTTGATAATACTCACTCGAGTAAGTGAATAATTAGTATTAAATTAAAATGGATAAAAAAGATAAATTAATTAAAAATATTTATAAAATAAATGATAAGTGAATGATGTTAGCTATAAACTTTGCAATGGATGGCCAAAAAATACTATGAAAATAAAAATATTGTAAATATAAGAAATATATCTACTTGATTGTTAAACGACTAGATACTAGTATGTAAATAAAAAATATTATTCATTACAGAGCCTGGAAATTCACTTTATATTAAACAATTTATTTTATTCATTTATAACAATATTTGTTATAAGAAAATTGTTTAGATTCAAAAAAAATCCATAAGTTCACTTTTACATTAAATTATTTTAATTAAACGAAATAGTATTGCTCAACAATTTTTGTTTAATAGTTGTCTTATATTTTTATAATCTCACATAAGATATTTTTTTTGTTTATAATTAAAATTTGTTAATGATCACTTTTTTTATTAGAACTTCCGGGCACTGCTGCTATGATGATAAAATTGAAAAAAAAAAAAAAATAAAAATTATCTATCTAAAGTTCTAAAAATATTCAAGATGATAAGGTAAGCATAAAAAGCTTAAATATTCGATTACCGGTTTATTAAAAAATTCACATTAGTAACTTATCAATAAAAATGCCTTACTCATTTATTAAATATTTGAAAGGCTGGTTCATCTACCTTGCGGTGATTACCACTAGCAAAGGTATTGCTCCAGTCAAGTATAGTAAATTTTCTTAATTACTTTTTATCTTATTATAATTATCATTAATTTTTTTTTATACTTTTTCACTTCATGATTCCATTTTTTTTTTGTTTTTTCTTAGCTTGTTTGTTTTAAGCAACTTGTACAAAGTATTCATAGTCTATAATATGTATTCCGCCCTAAAGAAAAAAGTTTCAGTAAAAAATCACGTATAAACACTATTATAATTAATGTAAATTCATTTTTGTTACACATTTAAAAAAATTTAAACAATGTTAAAAAATTGTTTCCCTATTATTTTTCATTAATTTTTCATGAAAAAAATTAATATAAACATCGAAAAATCGTGTAAATTGAGGTAGATATGCCGCAATCTCATAAATGCTCACACGATTTTTCACGTTTACATATTCAAGGTCGAGTTTTTATTTTTTAAAGTATCAGACAATTGTGTGATAAAACGCTAAAGACCAAAAGCAATCATTGGTAAAGTGTTAATTTAAAAAATTAATCAAGTCTTCATTTAATTTGTCGCAAGATACTCATCAAATATATTATCATGAAGATCGTAGATGTGTGACTTACAATATCGGGCGAAGAAAGCCAATTGTTTGAAGATAATATGAAAAGAAAGTGTCTAAAACCTCCTACAAAATAACGCACTTTCTTCTCCTCACTACCTCAGGCGGTTCCAATGCCGCAAGAATTGCTTCATCAAAAACATTTTTAAGACCTTTCTGCAATAATTTATATCATTGATTAGTATTAAATAGTTATTAGATCATCAATCATTTAATAATAAATATATACTGCATTTTATTTTACCTGTGTAAGAGCACTACATTCAACATATTTGACAGCTTTCAATTCTTTCGCCAATTTCTCTCCTTGTTCTCCAGTTATAGGTTTTTGTTTATTCTTTGCAAGTTTTTCAATTGTTGCAGCGTCGTCTCGTAAATCAATTTGAGTTCCCACTAATAGAAATGGTGTTTTTTGACAATGATGAGTTATCTCCGGTACCCACTAAAAATAAATCAAATGTTGTAATTTTTTTTTCATCATAAATATCAAATCTTTAATGGAAAACCTTAATACTCTGACAAGTAGTCAATCGATGCAATTATTTATGATGCTACTCTTTAATTTTATTGGCATCAAATAATCATCTTTATTTGTTATTTATATTCTAAACTTGAAAGTGTTGCAATTACCTGCATAGCCGGTGACATATTTTCTGATACTATATGCTCTATTAATTACATGTGTTAAATAAAAATAACCAAGAATCTCGATATAGTGTAATACATTCTCAATTAAAATGACAAAAAATTATAAAAATATTAGAAAATTTTCTTATCTTTAAATTGATCTTATCGTGAAACTTGGTAATAATAAATTTTATTTACTATAAAAATTTTTAAATTCTTACCTTTTCTTTAACATTTTCAAATGAAGACGGAGAAACTACTGAAAAACAGACTAAAAAAACGTCTGTTTGAGGATAACTTAAAGGTCTAAGTCTATCATAATCTTCTTGTCCTGGGGATCAATTAATAACATATTAAATTACTGACAATTAAATCATTTTATTTTTAACTTTATTAATGATCATGCGTTACTTTATTTACGGATTAATTAATAATTCTAATTAGAATATTTACCTGCTGTGTCAAATAATCCTAGAGTATATGGCTCGCCACCGATCATTACAGTAACAGCGTAATTATCAAAGACTGTTGGAACATACTCGGAAGGGAATTTGTTTGTCGTATACGAAATCAGCAAGCATGTTTTACCTACAGCACCATCACCCACTACCACACATTTTATTGTCTGCATTTTGTATTGCTGTCAATAAACAAAATTTTAAAAATTAATTGTCTGGAATTACTTGTTAATAATCATTTATTTGAATTAAAATTAGTATCTAGGTTGTCTTGATGAATCACTTATTGATGACTAGATTGTTTCATTAAAAGTATTGTTTTGGTAGCTATTTCAGTATCTATAAAAAAAAATGATGTTTTCGATAATTTAATTATCGTTAAGTAATAAATTATTAAAAATATCAATGTAGTCATAAGCAGCAAAAAAATTTCTATAAAAAAATTATGCTGTAGTATTTGTTATTTTTTTAATAAAAAATACTAAAAGTAGTTATTCAAACAACATTTATGTTAAGTTATTTCATTAACAATAATCTTCTTTACTATACATAGAGCATTTAATATCTTATCTATATCTTTTATATTCTCGTCAGAATAAAAAAAACTAAATCGCTCTTAACATACAATAAAAAAATTTGCTATAGCTTTTCAATAAAAAACTAATGACATTCCAACATTAATTATTTCAATCACGAGTGCAACATCACATTGTATTAAAGTATAATTTCATTTTTGCCTTTTTTGTAAATTTAATGGCTTGTATTTATTAAAAAGAGATTTCTTGAAAATTTCCAAGCAATCATCAATCGTGCAGTCAGCAATCACTGAAGCGAGAAGTTAGTGCTTGGATTGGTGCAACGATACCGCACATATGCATACCGGAAAGATTGTTTTTGGAGGAGCCATTTTGCCTAATAGTAGTGGTACTTTACCTCTTTTTGGATGACAAAGACAATCGGTTCTATTTAATTTATTCCCAATAATTCTATGATACGTCACGTGATGAATTCTTTACACTTTACACAGTTATATTATTGCTGTTTTAATTATACACGTAAAATTAAAAAGCAAAGACTCACAAGTAACTGGGCGTCGACAACAATTTGCTGTCACAAATCTTGCACTTGTTATTGCGAGATAACACACTCAGTTATAAAGAATGCACAAACTACACTAACACCTCTTCGTCATGGAATTTAAAACTTAAAAGTTGCGATGTTAAATTATCATCGGATGATAAGAAAGTAAATATTTTGTTGTAGATGTCGCTTTTGTTTGAGAAACTGTCCAGTGAAAATCTTAAAAGTGTGCTGTCATCGAAGGAATATACCGAAAAGAAAGCAAACTTTTTATTTTCTATAAATTAGAAACAATTAATTTAAAAAATGTCAATGATGAGTGAGTACATGAACCGAAATTTGCCGGATTACGAAGTTGGAATAAAAAAAGTAGCATTCAGTCCTTATGCTGATAATGGAGGGTAATTAATGATGGATAACCTTTAATTATTACTTGCAAATAATCGTAATTCAGTACTTTATTAGAATTTAATATATTTTTAAACTTTTTTTGTAATTTATTTGATTATAAATATCATCCATTTATTTACAATAGAATTATAACACTATTTTACTACATGAACTAAATTTTAGATAAAATCTTTTTATTTGTATCAATAATTGATGACTACCATTCTATTTATTATCTAGGAGTGTGGTTGCAATTGCTGGAGAAGATTTCTCAATAATAGCTTCTGAAACTCGTCTAAGTTCTGGATACAGCATTTATACTCGTAACCAAGAAAAATTATTTACACTTTCTGATAAAACTGTACTTGGTTGCTCTGGATGTTGGTGTGATATTTTGACATTCACTAGAATACTTGCAGCACGTATGCAGGTAATTATTTATATTTTTATTTTTGACTCATTAAAAGAAAACATTGACTTCATAATTCTTATTTTTCAATAATTATGCATTGTTTTTTTTTAGATGTATAAACATGAACATCTGAAAGAAATGTCTACTCCAGCTGCAGCACAGATGATGTCAACAATGTTATATTATAAAAGATTTTTTCCTTATTATATAAGTAACATCTTAGCAGGGTTAGATGAAAATGGAAAGGGATGTATATTCAGCTATGATCCTATTGGTCATTGTGAAAGAAATATGTACAGAGCTGGAGGATCATCAGGTGCTTTGTTGCAACCTCTGTTAGATAATCAAGTACGTAAAATTATTTAGAACAGATAGAATTATTTAGAACTAATAGAACAGATTTACTCATTATTTATTATTAAAAATTTCCTAGGTTGGATTCAAAAATCAAGAAGGTGCAGAAAAGGAACCGTTAACTCAAGAGAAAGCATTGAAAATTATTAAAGATGTTTTTATATCAGCTACAGAACGAGATATTTTATGTGGTGATGGATTAACCATTAAAATTATTACAAAAGATGGCATTAAAAGTGAATATTTCGAACTGCGAAAAGATTAAACTGCATCCTTAAAGGATTTTTTTTTACAATAGATATAAATTATAACTATTCTTCTCCAATAAATTTTCAAAAATTGAACAAGATTATTAGTATTATTTTACCTCTCTTCTAGTGACATGGACGAAGGAAAAAACAAAAATAGATTTATGTTGAAGTTTTATTATTTTTTTTATTTAAGTGTTCATTACACATATAAATCTGGGAACTCAAATGTTACATCCCGACCAGTTAACTTTTTATAAACAGCAGCAAAAGTATCAACCTAAAAAGAAGTGATATTTTAAAAAAAATCATAAATTAAAATAAATAAAATATATAAATACAAGTTTAATTACCTTATGCTCAATATTAGTTTGTTCATTTTTATCGAGATGGACTTTGATTAATTGTGAACCATCTAATTTCACTCTAATACGTTTTCCTACGATTTCAACAGGGTAAACCAAATCTTCAAGAAGTGCATCATAAACTGCAGTCAAAGTACGGCTAGAAAAAAAATAGGTTTTCTATAAACTCTCCAATTTCTTTATGTCCGCTTGAGTTTCATGACACGTAATTTTAAACTTAAATTTAATATATTCGATATTTACCTTCGTGGCCTCTTTTGCTTATTTTTCGTGCGAGTTTTACGTGTAGGTTTAGGTAAAATTTTTCTCTCGCCAACAAACATCACGTGTTTGCCAGAAAACTTTTTCTCCAATTCACGTACAAGTCTTGTTTGAATTTTTTGGAATGCCTTTAATTTTGGCATCGGTACGTAGATGATGATTGACTAAATGAATTAAAATAATAATTAATCAAATACAACTCAATTATCATCAACAAGTATACAAAAGATTCAACAATCGGTAAGTAAATAACAAAACACTCACTTTTTTATTGTTTGTTTCGATCTCACGAGCTTTGGTAATGTAAAGTTCCCTTAGCTGTGATTTTAGATCACTGTTCATCTCTAATTCGAGAAGAGCCTGAGAAATACTCGACTCGAATGCATCTGGCTCGGCACCACCGCTTTTTACTATTTTTGCGCTTGCCGTGAACATCTGTTAAACAATTAAAAAAAAAACATTAATTTACAGAAGCCTAATCACAATGATAAAATGTAAATAATAATAGAAATAATTCTTAAAATTGAAATTTAATTTTAACTCATAGACAACTACAACAGCACTGAGTGAGGTTATGATTGTGTTGACATTTTGTATGTCACTTCTTATTGTTCAAAATACTATTAACCATATAAAATATTACTTGAAAAAAAACTCCAAAATCTATAACTGATAAGAAAATCTCCAAAATTTTAATATTGGAGTAAATTTTACACACTTTAGTAATTAATGTTGTTTAAAAGTAACAAGTGCAACAAACGAAGGAACAAATTGAATCCACTGTAATCGAAGGTTATTTATAAAAAAAGTACCTTAAATGTTGCTAAGATTGAAAATGAGTAATTATTCTTTCAGTCTAATATCATAGTTATTGTCCCAAATATGAGGAAATATTAAAAAAACATCAAAATTTATGAAATACGAACCTTGTTCTACTTGCAGTCGCGTGGAAAAGGCCACAAAAAAAGACAAGCATCTAGATGTTCTTTCGGAATTCAGCGCTTGCGCCATCTAACGTTGTTAGCTGAAAAAAATTCAAAGTTTCATTCAATCTGCTTTTTGGATAATTCAAAGGTTAGATGAACAAATAAATTCAAAAATTATTTCTACTTTTATGGCAACTAGCTAAGAAATAAGTTTTTATTTATTTTTGTACAATAATTTATAAATAAAAGTTTATTTTTTGAATGAATGCATGTCAAACAATGATAAAAATGATAGTTGACAAATTCTACTACGTTGTAATTGAAATGATTTAATTCATTTCTCCAATTCAATTCCACTCTATGATCTATTTGTTGGTTTATGGTCTTTACTGAATGGCTGCTCAAGTATAGTTGCCATCTTCTGCTGTGTTTTTCGAATAAAATTCACACCGGAGGTAAATACAATGTAAAAGTATGAAATTGATTGACATTACTAATAATTTATTATGATATTTTATACGAAATAATTCATTCTATCATTAAACTCTTATTTCAGTTTTTTTAACAACAGTTCATTACACTCAATTCTTGTATCGATTAGGTAATCATTTTTACACGGCATTGCTTCTAAACAAGATAACAAAATTTGTTCAAAAGATATTTATTTTTAGATTGATTTTTGTACTTAATTGATGTCTTACTTAGATCTCAATTCTATCGAAAAGAAAAGCTGTAGTTACATCCCTTGTGATGTAGCGATTTTTCATTGGTCGTAATTCGACACTACATTGTTAACTTTCTAAAAATGATCGGTAAAAATTCACGTCAACTCTAATATTATTGATGTTGCCTATAAAATAAAATAAGTTAAAAACATTCTTCTACTAAGTTTCTTCTATCTAAATATATAACAAGATGTCGTTGGTTGAGTTTTTTTTAGTTCAATTTTTACATATTTTTTTGTGAATAAAGTCATGTTACAGGAAACAAATTTTTATGAATGCTAAATAGACTATTAGCACTCATTTATAAATTTTGATCTTGTTTTGTTAATGGGTCTTGATTTATTTCTTCTAGAACATGGCTGGAAAGCTACTTGTAACCTGTTTGAGAAATTACAATCGAGTACCAATTCGTTTTTCTTCGCATGCTCACGGTGAACTTCCACATTGGAGACATAAAATAGGAAATCGCGAAATTGTAGGATATGGAGTAAATGGAGAACCCACATATTTAGATCTCTTTGACTATCCATTTCCTGCAGTCAGGTTTCGAGAAATTACTCCTGATCTTCAGGTAAGAATTAAATTTTTTCATTTTTAAATTAATAAATAAGATAAAAAATTTTTTTAATAGTTGAAAATAATTTATTGATTCTTTATTGAAGGTTCTTAAAGAGAAAGAAAAGGGAGACTGGAAAAAACTTACATTAGATGAGAAAAAAATGCTCTATCGAGCAAGTTTCTGTCAAACTTTTGCAGAACTTGATGCACCAACTGGAGAATGGAAATTTATAATTGGGTGCGGTTGCATTGGAATAAGCATAGCTCTTTGGATGTTCATAATGCTCAAACTTTACGGTATGTATATTAGATTGCCAAAATGAAATAGTTTATAATATATTTTTTACATTAAGATAAATTGTAAAAACTATATGTTAAATATATTTTTAGCCTATCCACCATTACCTCCATCTGTATCTGAAGAAGCACAGATTGAACAATTCAAACGTATAAGGTTACTGGACATCAATCCAATCTGGGGAATTAACAAGCGTCCTGATTTATAAAATCATCCAACAGGAATATTTATAGTTTAATTCCATGGTAGATGTTGTAATTATTTGAAAGTTATCTAAATTCAATGTAAGTATACTGTAAGTGATAGGCTTATCCAAGCAAAAATTAAATAAATGCTGGTTCTATAATAAAAATTAAAACGCAAATTTAACTTTTAAATAAAAACATCACATACTCTTGAAATTTAAAAATCCTTCATTGATCCTTTTAGTTATTAAAGAAATTTAAAAAATAAAGTAAATGAACGTTTGGTGATTGAAAGTAAATAAATAGAAACGAAATTTTGTTTTAGGCTGAAGCCTTTTCATTTTATTAAGAAATGTAATTAACTATATTTGTACTTGATATTATGATACAATATTGTATATAAATAATGTGATATCTTACAAAGACCGCTTAAGTTTTTTTGTCATTTTTTCTTTTTTTTTTTCTATACAGTCTTGTAAGTTTATACATATTAAATAAAATTACAATAGCATCAATAAACTATTTAGGCTTCATTCGTGCGAATAACAATCATTCAACTTGATTCAGACGAGATGTATACGTTACATTAATTAGGAAATACACATAAATTCTTACGAGTTATTCAGTATTTTTAATGAGAAAAAATATATCCTACGTATTTTTTCAGATGAAGGAAGAATTATTTATTGATTTTTTTATAAATTTTTTTTTTTTTTTTATAATTTTCATCCTTATACTCGCACGAATATGGAAATTATCCATACTTAAAAATTCATCACACAAAAAAATTATTATGAAATGGAATATCTTATTCTTTCGCAAAAAAACAAAATAAAAATATATTTATACATGTATACTAGATAATAGTTGACTTAATTTTCAATCGATTTATAAGTTATTTTACAATATTTACATCCACAATAGGTAAAATCCCATTTTTAGATTTATTTTTGAAATTTAAATTATTTTTCTTTATTACTTTTTTGTGTTACTTTTGTATTATGAAATCAATTATCTTGTATTACAAGAATATATATAGTTTCATGTAGAAAACTAACTTGTCTTTGTTGATGCTACAATCAAAAAAATGTATCTTAAAGTATACATGAAGATCCCGGGTAATAAGAATGATAAAAAATAGTAAATAACGTACAATTGATATATAATATAACAACAATGTAAGTTATGGCAATGCATTTCATACATAGTTCCCGTTACGCGGTATTCGTTATGAACACAATTAATTGCTTGACGTTACGAGTATAGTGCATGTTAATTAATACTATTATTAAAAATAATATTCTATAAAACGCACTGTCTCGCAGTCATCGTTTTGTTGTAAAAAGCCAACTGACCACGTAATAATCCGGGATTTATAATAAATCACAGTAGAAACTGAGAGACAGTTTATAAAGTTGATGGGATAAATATTATGTTAATGCTGAAAAATTCTTTGGTTCACTCATTAAAATTCAAGAACCAATTTTTTCTTAAGTTTAATCCAGGACGATCTGTACATAAAAGAAAAATAAAGCTAATCGTCCCATCGTCAACTAGAGTTTATTAATGTGTTATTTATCATCTTTTCTTCCTTCCATGGTTTTGTTATATTTTAGTTTTTTTTTTTTTACTTTTTTGATCGTTTTTTATACGAAATAAAATGCAGAATTTATTATGCTACGAAATGGATGATCATCTGAATATTTTAATATATATTTTTTTCTAGACCGTAATATATATTGCTAAGAATATTCACAATATTGTGACTTGGACGAGCAGCCTCGCGGATTTACCTGAGGTAACTACTCTTCGCCTTGGCAGAAGAATATTTTTAATACATTGGGATGTAAATTATGTTTCATCACCGTACACAATCGCCTGGAGTTCGATTAGTATAAGTCTTTTTACGTTTTACAGGTTGAATTCTTGTTCCTGGACTCTGGCTGCCACCATTGTTATTATTATTGTTGTTATTGTTATTATTCATATTGGTATTATTAGTATGATGCGAATTCTTAGCTTTATTTTGACCTAATGTGTTGTTGTTTATGCCGCGTGGATATATTCCTCTTGAGTTGTGTTGATGATTAACTAAATCAATACAATATTATTTGTTTATTAATAATAATAATAATAATAATAATAATAAATAATTATGATTAAAAAGCATAACATGTCTTGAAGCGGCAAAAGGGAATAAGTTGTAGTTTTTTTAAAAAATCTCAAAGTCGTTTCCTATTATGTAATATTTATTTACAAAATATTGAGAAACCTTATTAACAAAACTGTTATTTCTTATTTTTTAAGTTTCATTGCTTTTATGGAATGAAAAGTAATTGATGAAAGTGATTAAGAGTGATATTTTTGAAAAATGAAAATTCAATTAAGTAAAATTGAACACCACATATTCAATTTAAAAAAAATTTAAATTATGTCAATATTGTTAATAATAAAGTTATGAAATAAATCTTATAACTGAATTGAAATTCTTGAGACATGTTATACAATATTTTTTAGATGAACGGTTTCAAAAGGATATGTCAATCAATGCGTATTATTGAAAAAATTCGATATGTCAACTTAAGCCATTTTTCCGCTTCATCACAGAAATTTTTTTCAACTATTTGTATTTAAATACTGTACCATGTCCACTGGATTTATATGGCTTTTTCCACTGATTTTGTATATACTGATTTTGTTGATTATTGTATGCATTTCGATCTTTATTTCTCTCTTCTCCTTCATGGTTTTTTACACCAGTATTTGGCGAGTTTCCCCTGCTTGATTCTGAGTCCTATAAACACAATGAAAAACATTATAAATATCAATGGATAAATATTACATTTTTACATTAATATTATATCAATAATATTAAAGTGTTTAATTACTGTGTCACTTGCAGGAGCAGATAAAGTTGAAGCATCTGAACCAGTAGAACTTGATAGCGAATCCATTTCAGCGTGAGTGAGTGGAAATGTTTCCTTAATCCACTTCCGATATTCAATGACTTCGTCGGTGACTCGAATTATCCGACCCAATATACTGGATTTAATATTTCCATTCGTTAATGTGTCGAAATAAATTATTTTTCAATAAACGAATTTTATATTTCTTTTTTTTTACCTGCATTTACTGGCATCATTGATAGTAGAGTTTAAGGGATTGACTGCTTGACAAAGTACGTAGTAAGCCCAATCAAATGCATCTTTAACATAGAGAGCACCATAACTACTGCGTCCTATATCGTTACCTGGAGTCAAAGGGTCTTCAATGCAGAGCAATGAAGGTCGATGTCCATCTATCATGTCTCTTTGAACCTATTGTTTATCAATAAAAAATGTATTATTTATCTTTACATTTATATTATGACGAAATAAACATTCAAAACATAATTTGATTAAATTAGTAATGAAAGTCAACTTATCGATGCAATGTTTTATAATAATAGAAAATTTTACCTCTTCTTTAGAAATATAAGTACCACCTTCCTTCACTCTAATTCCAGTCTTAACATAATTAAATTTTCTACCGTATAATTCTAAAAATTCAATAAGTAAAACTCCTAAATTAGGATTTCCACAATGAGCATTTTGTCTAGGATGTAACTGTAAACAAAACACGTTAAATATGTTTATAATTGTTAAAAAAAAAATTATTAACTCAATAAAAATAATATTAATTACTTATGTGTCATTGATATTTCTATAATAAATTGAAATTTAATTTAATTTTAGTTTCCAGCAATGACCCATAAATATTCTTAAAAATTACATCAATTTTTAAACTAAAGCGAAAAAAGGTAATAGAATTAGAGACCATTTGTATAAACATTGACATTGGAAATTTAACTGTATGTAGGCAATTAGAAACATTTTATTTAATCGAATTGACTCCATCCGGTTTTTATCAGTTTTTAATGTTGTATTATGAGTTCCATTTACAAATAATCAAATTAAATATACAAAATAATAACTTTTTTCTCTATATATTTCCGATCGAATCTTATTCATACTATTTATCACTGAGATAATAACACTTGAGTCAAAAAAATAAAGTGGGAAGAAGTTATGTCAACATAATTCTGATGCTTATAATTAAATACAATTTAATTTAGAACATCTATGAAAAGAATTAGATGAAGTTAATTTATTAAGTTTTCTAATAAAGCTTTTCTTCGTAAGATATTACCTTTTACCGCTTTAGTAAGACGTTATTAATTAAGATAATAAATAGATTTAATTGAATTAATCAAAGCACAAACCTGCAGAAAACTAACGGTCATAAGAATCAGACTATAAGAAGAAATTCCGCCAGTAAATACTTCATTAAGATCTCGCTGTAATAAAAATTGTTTTAAAACCATAACAAGTTTATCAAGCACGGGAAACCGACGTTTGTATTCTTTTATTAATTCGGCTGATTTGACACCATTGTTCATATTAAAACTTATGTCAACTTTTATTTCAGTTTCTTTATCGGTTAATTTTACTATCGGAACACTAGCCTTATCCAATACTTTGATAGAGGACGGTTCGGCAATGCCTTGATCCAACAGCGCACTTTCAAGAGTTCGCAAAGGGAGATTACTCCATCTTCCAATGACAACCAGATCTATATCACTGGAAAATTAATAAAATAATTAAGAAAAGAATATTTTTTTCAGTTAAATTATTGTATAAGTGAAGAGAATGGAAAAATACCTGGTAGGTAGATAAAGACCAGTTCGAAAACTTCCAAAGATTTCAACTTTTGAGTCTGGCCATAAGTCAGCAATAATTTGTTCAATTCTCTTGACTACTCTTAGTCTTAAACAGTGCTCTTCATTAGAGGGACACATGTATGTGTAAAAATCTTCGATTTCTTCATGAAGACTGTATAGAAGCAGAGAAATAATTTTCATAATTAAAAGTTATTTCTAGAAAAAAGTAACAACAAGAAAAAAAAACAGATTATATAATGAAAAAATAGTGAAAAGGAAGATGTAATAAGGAAAAGATAAAAATCATAATTGAAGGAACATAATCAGTGTACGTATTACACATATTAGACTCGAAATACCCTGAAAATCCTCACGTGTATTTAATTCCTAACCTCTGAGAAAGCGCCCTCGCGCGGGCTGCGGTACACTCTCTAAATATATTCAAGGTTGGCGAGAGTCTATCTCGAAGTAGGAAAAAAAAGCGAGAAAAGATTTGAAAGAAAAAAAAAATAATGAAATGAAGCTCAAGATATATTAAGACATACCCAATAACTCCCTTAGAGTACTGCCTGTTGGGAACACGCCAAGGACATCCCCCATACTCGCCGATGAGCGTGTCTTGGTTGTAATTCATACCATAAGTCCTAGCACGGTTGTCGCTTTTCCTTCGAGATGGGTTGTAATAACTGTTACAGGTGTTGTGGGGAGTGCGTTGATTTAATATATTCCTATCATCGGGCACACGATTGTTGATGGTGTTATCAAGAGCTATATAGTCTTGGCCGCCTTTGCTGTTGGCCATTGCTGTTGTTGGTCCACCACTACCACCCGTACCACCACCGCCACCACTTATGTTGTTTTCGTTCTTAAATGTCAATATATCGCGGCCTTTTTCTGCCTCCCAAATTTGCAACCACAAATCTTTTGCGGGGCCGTACTGCTCCGGTTGATACCAACCGATAGTCGGATCCATTAAACGCCACCTTTCTCGGGCCACTAGTCCCGCGCGGTCGAACGAAAAACGACCCGCCGGCTTTGCCTGACAGCTTTAACACTACCACTAGAAACTCTTTTAATTTATTTTATTACAATTTTCTTGTTGACAATCCAAGTTTAATAAAACCAACCAACGTTGTAAAAGAGAGAAACCATGCATACAGGTTGCACTCACGATTAGATTCGCGATAGATGTCGCGCACTAACTATTAAACTCTTTCAAGAGAGGAACAATCTAGAAATATTTTACTCGACATTTAATCAGGTTGAGTTTCATTTCCATTGCGCAATCGCAACTGTTTTTTATCTATTGTCAGTAACTTTTATTGAGGCATTTATCTCGCCTAGTGAGAAAAATTAGAAATGCAAATTTTCAAAATAATTCTATTTTTTAACTAATTCCCGTAGCAAATTTATCAAAAAATCCATCATTTTAATCTACAAATCATATTTATTTAAATTATTTCATTTCTTCTTCTTACATAAATTGAAATATTTATAAATTTATCTAAAATTCTTATTTCTTCCTTTGATCAGCTACATTACCAATTGTTACTTGAGATTACAGATTTCTATTTAACCAATTTCATTTATCAAAATTTTCAAGTAGAAACCATTTCTAAATTGTATAAATTTAGTTTATGTTGAAAGCTTCGAGAAATCAGGAAGGTGTTACTTTTCAATAGCCCGTCGAAAAAATGGCTGCATTATGTAGACGAGCTTTTTCTCAAGTGATAAGCCGACAATTCACAACTTCATCAGCATGTATGAAATTATTTGATGGTCCATGTAAGTAACAGTTCATTCGAATCTATATCAATAATTTTTAATAATCATGAAAAAGTTTTTAAGTCCATGAATTATTATTATGTAATTTAGTCAATATAAAAATATAATTTTTTTCCCATACATCCATGAATTGTTCACGATTATAATCAAATTTTTTATTTGACATAAATTTGTTTGTTGTAGTACCTGATCCTCTGGAAATAGCCACTGGTCTACACAAAAAAGAATTACTTGCTTACAAAGAGGGAAACATGGTTAGTAATGAACCAATACTGTGCAATCCAGAATAATTTTTATTAATAATATTATTTCAATAAAAAATTAATTTATTTTAGGATCCTTTCGACGTTAAAGTGGCTAAACGTGGTGAAGGAACTAAGGAAAATCCAAACTTAGTCGGAAGCTGTTTTGATAGTCGTATTGTTGGATGTATTTGCGAAGAAGATTCGACAAGTATTGTATGGATGTGGCTTCATTCTGACACACCTCGACGCTGTTTTTGTGGACATTGGTTCAAACTTGTCAAGAGAGAGCCTCTTTAAAATAATTTAGTGATATTCACATAATATAGTCGATTGTTTGCAGTTACTTAGAAATAATCTTAAATTTATTACACAAAAACCAAAACTGGATTTATTTCTATCTGAATCCTCATCTCCTATGTTGTGGCTGTCATACAATCCAACACAGAATGCTTCAATTAAAAATAATAAATTAAAAAACTCATTGAATGAGAGAGTAAATTATTCAATTTCAACATCATAGAAGAATAATTGATGCTATCATTGTATTCCAAATATTCCATCAGAAACATAAATAAATCATGTTTGAAAAATTTAAACAAAACTTATTTATTCATAACTTCTAATTCAATATGTTCCTAAGTATAAATATAGTAAGGAAATTTGGTTAAATTTATTTGGCTAATTATATTGTAATCATTAATTACAAAAATGCACATTATGCTTTACAAGTATAAAATCTAAAAATACCCCCACTTGATCATTAATGACAATTAAGAATCAATTAAAATAAGAAATGATATTGAGTACTATAACAGTTAAAATACAATTAAATTCCTAACTTTATCCACAATGTATTTTTTATCTGTGTCATTAAATTCTACCTCGTTAAATAAATTATTGATTCATACATCATTTTGATATATAAAATTCATCAATTAGTTGTTTCTTGATTAATTTGATTCTCGATGTTAGCATCTTTATAATTTTCTTCTAATTCATTTTCCGTTGTTGGAGGAGTGACTTGGGTATTTTCAACATCAATTTTTTTCATCAACTGACCAACTATCGTAATATAATTTAATGGAACTAAACCAACATTAACACGATCAGTGGCTTTTGACCAGCCGGGTAAATGTTTTGGTTGTAATGATTGTGGAGCCAGCCATATCTTTTGTCCTGCCTTTAAACTCATTTCATCTGGTGTAGCTGCAATGAAATCATAATTCGCCGTTGCTGAATATACTGGCTCATTATATTTAAACCATTCCTTAGGATTATTTTCATTTTCTCGAGCTTGATTAATATTATTGACTAGTTTACTGATTAAATATGGAATTGCGATTAATAAACTGAGAAATAAAAGAATGGGCCAAGTTGATGGTCCTTTTTTCTCTCTATTGAGTACTTCATAAACAGTTTTTTGCCACAGTTTTTCATCATTTGGATCTGTTGGTGATAATCCTGAAATAAAGTGTAAAATCATTATTGAATGAAATATTAAATTAAATATATAAACATGTATATTTGCAATTAATATTTATACCTAATGTAAACATTATTTTTCTATACATCCATTTTAAAAATCTTATAAGCGCAAACGTGCTTAAAAGTTGCCCAAACATTGATCTCACTCGACCAACATTTTCAGCAACACCAAGAATTGCACGGAATGAACTGGTCATTGCAAAAAATGTCGATTCTAACATCATTGTAATAGAAGAAAATGTATGAATTATGGATTCAATTGATTGAAAAGCCGGTCTGCTGCTCTCTTCTGCAAATTGAATCAACCTATTTTCTACATCACCACTTGGGCCTCCAAATTGTCCATATGTTGAAGAATACGGAGATCCAAATCCTCCATAAGATCCATATCTTCCATATCCCCAATTATTTCCGTAATTGTTATAGCCTCCGTATCCTCCGTATCCACCATATCCAGTCATGTAATTTGGTCTGTAACTACTTAAAGCATTTGATGGTCTTGGTGGTAGAGGTGGAGGTTGTGGAGTCATTCCATACGCTCCTCCACTGTAAAAAATTATAAAAAATTTAATTAGAAAAAAACAGCAAGCAATGAATACTGAATATGAATAAAACTTTTATGATCAAGATCTTCTTGAATTTGAGTTGACTATATTAATTTTTAAATTTATAAATGTAAAACTTGATTAGCAAGATTTTTCTTATGTTTATTCATTATATTTAATATTAAAATTAATATTCCTATTGTAGGAACTAGATAGATATATTTAAATAACATTGATTGAAAAATATAGATATTTTATGGATTGATTGATAGTAGGTGAACATCATAGTTACAGAGAATACAAAGTTGATGTTAATTTTTAAGATAACGTTATTAAAGATGTAAACAAAAAAATCAAGAATGTCATTGCAATAAATCAGTAGATTTTATATACATTAGAACATTTGCAATGAGCAGCATACATACGTTTGACATGTAATAAAAGAATAATAATTCATGACAATTTCTGCTTTTCATATAAAAAAATTCAGGTAAATAGTATTATTATAAAAAAAAGGAATAATAACATTTAAATAATTACCTCGGTAGAACTCCAGTTCCTTGCTTAAATTGATTTAAATTAACAGTGTTTGATCTCTGTTGATTCATGTTGGTTATTGTTTGAATGAATTTACTAGTAGATTACTTGTACAATATTAATATTCATCAATAATCAAGGGTTTATAGGGAAAATGACAGGTAAAAAATTTTCCCTCGGTCAAAGGTCGTATATTGCAACGTTCGAATTATAAGTCTTTATATGAACCATATTTATAATAAAAAATTATTTATTTACAATTAATTAGAATAGAAGTATCACAGATTTGTCGCACTTATTATTCATTTAATCTTTTATTTATTTCCATTTAAATAAGATATTAGTTTCGACAACAATTTTCCGTCATGCTTTGTAAGAAAGCATTTTGATAATGATTACTCGAGTGAAAAGAAAGATTCTAATCTAATCTATTTTTGTTTCTGACACCGACACCTAGTTGGCGCTTTATCATTTTTGCAGATGGAATTAGCGCGCTATTTAAATCATTTGAGTGTTTCAATTAATTCAAAGTAGAATATTGGAAATTATTTCAATGCTTGGGGTAACAAACACAAAAGAGAAATCAAAAAGTAAATAAAGGTGAAGCTGCTTCTGTCATGCATTGATAAAGATTCTCCAATATGTATGATATTGAAAGTAATTTGACAAAATCAAAAGAATTGGGCCCCTCCGGGATTTGAACCCGGGACCTCCTGCACCCAAAGCAGGAATCATACCCCTAGACCAAGAGGCCTTTTTATACGTTAAAATTGAAAGACATATATAAATAAATTTAAAAAATGAAGCTTTTGGGAATAAATTTCAAATACAACTTATCATTTGGGGACATCAAACGTGTTGTACATGAATTATTTTGATGTAATTCAGCAAAAACAATAGTCCAATGGGGATAGAAAAATATAAGCATATCGTTTCGAGTTCCATCATGTCATGATATAGTTCATTTATGCTTCTATTATGATTGTATTTGAAAACCAAAATTTCTTCTTCCAAATAAAAAAAAAAATCCAAAAAGAATTTTTTGAAATGAAAAATTAAAATTTTTTTTATGGACTGAACTATTTATCAAGGAAGTTTCGTCAATTGTTCACAAGAAAAAAAATGATTATATAGATGGCATTGCTTCTTGTTTACGATTGACGATAAGACGTGAATGCGAAAATAAAGGTGAATTCATAAAACTTATGCCGCGATTGATACGAACGACATTCGACTGGTCGACGGTGATTGTGTTTCTGACCAATCTGAACTCTTGGCTGGTCTCAAAGCGCTCCCCATAGTTTCTCTAAAGACTGAAGACAGTGCACAAAAATGAATAGAACCACAAATCTCTTGTCAATCGTTCAGTGAACAGACGCGTTCAACTTATACCCGCGTTTTCTGACAAATTCTTAATTTCTTATCACTAATTTAAGTGCAATTATTAGTCTTAACTGGTGTATTAATTACGTGATTAATCCTAGTTAGCACAAAAATAAAAAAAAAAAATATTAATTCTTATCTATGATCACCCTCAGTGGTTAAGAATCAATTTCTTGAATTATACAAACACCGGGCCATCAAATTCCTCCTGCTCTTGAGGTAATTATGAGTAATCGTCATAAATATTATTATGATTAAAAATTAATATACAATGAAACGAAAACAACAAAGAACTATAGAAGGTAGATGATATTCCATAATTAATATATTCGCTCACGAAAATTCTATAATTTAATTACATCTTTTTCACTTGATATCGGTTAAAATAACTTAATTATTTTTATCTATTGATTTTTTGATAAATTATAAACAATAAATAGATAAAAGGAACTAGTTTATCCATTTTTTTGCTATTTCTTGAAGTAAATTAGAAAACAATTGAGGTTATTTTATTGAAGGAATTAATATTCTTTAAAACAATCAAAATTAATTATATACCCACATAATTTATTACAAAGAATTATTTCTTCCTGAATTTGTAGAACGATAATAATTTGTACCAATTAACGTATATTTCATTTTTATCGTGTGAATATTTATTTTTTTACATTGTCATGTTTATAATAATTTTTTCCAAAAGTAATTATTTATCCATCTTAAACAATCTATGTAGTTAAAGTTAACATCTTTCTATAAGAAATCCATTGTTTTCGAACAAATATATTAGAAATATATGTCCAAGTAAATAATGTTAGATGTTCTAAACTAACTTTGTTTGCTATGAAGTAATTAATGAAAACAACAACTTAAATTGAATAAATTATAGTCCAAATTACCTTTAAAATAATTAAGAACTTCTATATGTGCGTGTGTATTGGTATTTAACAAAATAATATTACGATTCGATATTTAATCGAGATCAAAATAAACTTTTCATAAATTTTATTGAATATCTTTGAATTGAATTTAAATATCACGTTAGCCATTGCTCGAGTTTTTATAGTATGTAACTTCACAGACTCATAAATAAAATTTTTCAAAAACTCTTTACTTCTTAATAAATTTATTTGAAAGTTAAATGATTTACGTCTGTTGACAGATAACAAAAGAAATGGAGGGAGTTGGAGGTGTTTTAACTGCCGAACGAAGCCCAGCTCGTGCTAATTTACACGTGGCTTTCACAGAAAAAGGCGAAGTTAAAGAGAGGCGTGAGAAATTTCTCACAGCTAAATATGGATCTCACCAAATGTCTCTCATTAGAAAAAGACTTGCTGTTGAGATGTGGCTTTTTGATGAGCTCCAGAAACTATATGAATCGGTGGTAAGATTTTCATTGGAAGCAATTTAATCAATTAGTAAGACCAACTTATAATTCACCACAAGTTTCAATTCATTATTTATATTTATTACAGAGCGACAATGGAAAGAGTCTGGAAGTTGAAGTTGATATCGATGAATTACTAGATATGGATAGTGATGATCACAGACGAACTTACCTTCAAGTAAGTATCAACAATTGTTTATTGTATTCATAATAACTTATTCCTAATAATAAATTAATTTCAGGAATTACTGGTGGATGCTAAAAAGCCTCACGATGTAAAGGTATGTTTCATTTTATTATTATTTTTTTAGATTAATATTAGTCATTCAAATATATAGTCTATATTAGAATTATATATTTTTTCACTATTTATCAAGTATCATAGAAATAATTTAAACCATTAGCAACAATAACATGAAACATCTCGAGACTATATGACATTTTTTGGCACTGTATACCTAAGATTACCGCATCATCAAAAAATATTTGTTAACGTTGCCAAGATTTCCGGCAATTTTTAGAAATATTGCTAAATATAGCAACAAGTTGATTAGATCACCAAACTTTAAAGTTTGTAAATTCCAGTATATTAATTGATTGAATTCAAATGAATATTTTGTATTTTTATAGAAATTTATAAATGATTTGTTGGAGAAAGCGAAAACACTCTGAAAAGTAAGTACCTGCCATGGATTAGATGCTGATTTAAAAAAGCGTTACGTTTGCTCACTCTTCGTTATACGATTTGATGATCAAGGCAAAGTCTCTGTAAGTTTTTAACTACGATTGCATTTTGATTATTGATACTTAAATTTAAAACTGAAATCCAAGAGCTCACCTGGATCAAACTATGACTGTCCAAGTATATTCCATATTTTAGTACTTTAATATCGCTTTATTATATGTAATTATTATTTTTATTCTTTTTCAATATAGTTTTTTTTTAATTTTATTGTTTAATATGAATTTTTAAGTATATATTTATTGATGCTGAACACGATTAAAGTATATGTTAAGTTTGAAAAAAAAAATTTCTGTTGATTAAATTTTAAAAATTTGGCAAGAAAGTTTAAGAGCGAAGCCATCCATATTGATAAATCTCTGGCAAACAATATTATGAACAAAAAAAAGGTACAAACAAATTAAAACAAAGAGAAAAATTTTTCGAGCAATAGTTTTTCTAGATTTCCATATTTGTATGAATGGAGTTGTCATTGTTGAATTATTCACAAAAAATACCTTGAATTTTAACAAAAGGAACAAAGAGAAAAAAAGTAATGAAAATGATAATTAACACAATTTAGAACGAAGAATCATTAATTGAGCACTGGAACAGAGACACAGTGGCACTATAAATTAGCAGATCATAAAAATTACGTTAATCGAAAATCAATTAAGTGCCAAATAAATACTATACGTTGATAAAAATTAGAAATTGATAATAATAACAATAATAATAAATTGTAGAGATGAAATTTTTAGAGTGATGTACTAATATAATGTCTCATGTTCTAGTAGTAATAAAAAAAAAAATTTCCACCTCGTGTTTTGTGTCAATATGATTGTCAATCGTTATAATATTCGATGGAGAGAGATAATCGTATTGTGCGAGATTTTTTAAGCTATTAATAGCTCAAGTATCTTCTAACTTCTAATTTCATTGTTGGCCTTGCAAGTTGTTTCGATATTTATGAAGTTGAAAAATGTGATGTTAATAAAAGATTGAAAAATTGAAAAATTCACTGCCTGATGTTGATGATAGAAAACTTTAAATTAAAGAATCAAAAATTATTTTCATAAGCTATGATTGGTATTCATGTGTACAAAATGTTTTTATTCTTCAGTGGAAAATATTCACTTTATCTTATTTATTACGATTAATATTATTTTCATTCACTTATATTTATGGTTGCTTATATAAAAATACTCTAATTTAGTTCAGATTTCACAATCAATTGATATTGAAAATTTCAATTATAAGATTTATCAGTCATTATGTTTTATTATTTTTTTTTCATTGACAATTGAAACATGAAATGGCTTATGTAGATACATATCTTTAAATTATCTTACCATTACCATATCGCACTATTCAAAACAACATGTTGAAGTGAAAAAAATTTTTTGTAAATGTGATATAAATTAGGCCGTATAGATAATAGAAGAATAAAATGTCAATTGATTATCTCTACTTCATAGAATATTTATAAAATTTTTGCATTTGAGTGCGCTTATAACAAACATGTTAAATTATAAATACTCTAATTTAAGTTTAGATGTGATGATCACGGATTCACATTTAATTATTATAAAATAGATTTATATAAATGCATTTTCTGATTGTTCATGATAATTACCTAATTATTCAGGCATCAAAATTTTTGTGAACAAAACAAACTGCCAAAGATTTATTTGATTGAGTAAAAAATAAAAACCTCAAATTACAATGAATTAAAATGAAAGGAAAGCTAATGGTGCTTTATGAAGGAACAATTTAAGTAAGATTTTACTGAAATAATATAATAGATAAAAAAAATTACAATCAAACAGATGGTCTCGATTATGTATGCGATATTTAATTATTATTATCATTAATTTAAGAATTTTGACAAAAAAATGATTGTCATCAACTGATAATGTTAGAGAAAAGTAATCGATTTAACTGTAATCAACGAAACAATATTTATATCTACGTTGGCTTATTTTTAATTGATTATTATTAACACCCCATGACGTATTTACAATTTTAAAACAAATTTAAAATTATCAAATAGATTAAAATTAGTGATATATTTGTAATCGTATTCATCATAATATTACGTTTTTAATGCTTTGCTAGGGGCAGAGTTTGTTAACTGTATTGAATATAAAATAAACTAGAAAATTTATTATAAGAACATTGCAAAGAATGTGTTTTTAAAGAGAAGAAAATTGTATTAATAATTTTTGTGAATTAATTGTATCTGCAAGATTCAGTTAATTTCTTTCTCAATATCTTCCAGAGTAGTTTAGTTTATTTCTACTATCAATTAGCCAGTGAATAGCTCATTTTAAAAATATTCGAAACTGTCAAAAGTCTATTTCTAAAGATATGTTTATTATTTTTGTATCTGGCCATATCTTCATACTACTTCTGGCTGGTTCGTTCAAATAAAAAAATATGTGTATGAATAATCCATTTTTGTATATGTACATATATTGATATCATTTTTTGAGTAGATAAAACTAAAAAATATAAAAATTCTTTTTCTTAATTATATACTCGTTAAATCACTAAAAATAATATGTTAAATAATCATAAATTTAAAATTAAAGAGATTCAAATACTTAATAATTTTAATTAAAATGTTAAAAATTTTCTCTTTCTCTAAAAATAATTCTTTATACAATGTTTATAATCGAAGAGGCATTATTAAATCTCAATAATATGTCTACTTGTTTGTTTATTTCAATACAAAAATTTATTTGTGAATGTGCGGAAAAAAAGTACGTTGGATTGAAAATTAATCATTAAAAACAGTGAATGTATAATCAATGATAATTAACAAATGTAATGAAAAAAATTATTATTTAATTGTTAATTTTATATATCTTTGTACTTCCAATGTGTGTTAATTAATGAGAATTTGGTATTATGTTTAAAAAAAATTGTGAGAATGGGATTTGTAAAATCTAAAAACTCGTAAAAATGTAGTTTTTATGCTTAAAAAGTAAGAATAATTGCTGATTGCTAGTAGATATATTTACAATTCATATATAGAAGCATGCTTCCAAAATTCAATTGTCAAAAAGAAGAATGAGCTTGGAACTTGATAAATAAAAATAAAACCAACATGCATCGACAGTGTGATTTTTCGAGTATAGTATTGCAATGTACTCAGGAATGTCAATATATAACAGTGATTTGTAATAATTATAATAACGAAGTTTTAATTGTGTAATGTTTTTTTTCCATTTTTACATATACAGATAGATGTAGAATTTTATAAAAAAAAATCCATGATTGTGCTGTTATTTTTAAACGATTTAAGTTTCACATCTGAATAAAATAATAAGAATATCGTCCAAACGCACCACGAAAATAAATTACAACATACACCAATGTAATAACATGTACAATTTATAAGAAAACCAATTAAGTGTCTATTTACTGCGTTAATTAAGCAATTAGATTATCATTCGAAATACGTGTATAAACTATTTCAAGTAAATATCTATTTAAAAATATCTAACTTTTGTATTTTTTTTTTAATTAGAAAATTCGCCAATAATTATTTTATTATTCATCATAATTACATTAAATATTAAAACATAAAATACAATTACTTGAAGTCGGTAACAAATTTTCATCAATTAATCAATCAGTTTTAATTTCGAGCTGTTTTTTTATCAAACTATATTTAAATTATTATTTGGAATTTATGATGATGTGGTTTCTGTAGAACAAGATTGATGATACAAGTAATTTATATATAATCCAAAAATAAGAATTTATAATTTATTTTTAGATTCCATTAAAATTTAATGCTTTGACTTCGATATTGTTGTGGTCTGCATTTGTTTACTTCCGCTAAGGACAATGTAAGGGGATTGAGTTTCTTTCTGTTTAGCCTGAAGAAGATTCAATGTTCCTAAAGGTGTGTCAGTTGATGACATTCTCTTCATTAAAATTTCCTGTTCAGCTTTTTTCATTCTTTTTTCTACTTTATTTTTTCCTGGACCTTTCCCATGAAATTTATGAGATAAATATCTAAAAGCTTCTTTCGCACTCAGAACATGGCCATCATCATCAATATATTCTAACTTGACATTAGGTTTAAATCCTTCTTTTTCCTTGAATTCTGTTGTCGGCCCATTAAACCTATCTCTTCGACCAAATTTGTCATCATCTCCATAAGTTTTGTCTTCGATAGAGTAATTTTGAGCCTGAAGATGTGCAAAACGACTAGCAGAAGGTCTGTTAGTGTCTTCTTTTTGTAAGTATCCTTTACTCATCGCAAGTTTTAAGGCTCCTGCAAGACCTTGACCAAGAGATGGTTCAGCATCAAGAATAGCAGCTTCTAAAGCAACTGGTTCTCGTACTTGTTCATCTAATTTAACCGTATTCCAAGCGCCACGACCATCATCTTCATCTTCATGGTCCATTACTTCTTCCTTGGACTGTTCCAATTCAAAATCCATCATTTCTCGATCATTATCTTCTCGATTACCTGCTAAGCCGTAGGTAGGAATGTCTCCAAGCGTTCTACAAAATTCTGCAGTTGCATTCAATGTTATGTAACCTGTTAAATTATCCTCAGTATTTGGTGCTTCATTTTTAATTTCATTTATAACTTCATTGACACTTGGTTCAGCTTTTTGTAGACTCTTAATTCTTTTTGATGCCAAATAAAGTTCAAGATCTTTTTCATCTTCTTCAATTTTTATATTTGTAAAATCTTCTGATGGTGTTTCGTAATCAGCAACATCTAACATATCATTTGGTTCTTCTTTTACTTTAGTTTCTTCATGCTTTTTTCGTCTTCTACTTCCTAAATCTCTCAAATAATCTGTATTATCAGGTACAAGATCATCTGCTTTTAAAATTTTATTTTTTCTCAATTTTCTCACTTTCTTTTTTGGTTTTTTAAATTTCGCAAGCTCCTCATCATTATAATATTCACTAGCAAGCTTAGGCTCACTTAGTATTAAACTTTCTAGCTTCTTATTTGCTAATTTTTGTTTAACAATTTCTACACGACGTTGATGTATTTCTTTAGTATTTGTGACACCCAAAACAAAGCTTTCTTTTTTCTTTCCCTCAATTTCTTCATCATATTTCTCAAGTATTTTACCTTTCGAAAATCCAAATTCATCATAATTATCTTCATCATATGCATCGTAGCCAGGTTTTTTAGTTTTATTAAGTATATTTTGTTTATAGTGTTCATTATCTTTCATATTGACATTAACCAGAACATCTTGACTTTCATCTAATACCTCTTTATCTTCTAAAGTTAGAATAACCGTTTGTCCTTCGGTAAAATTTTCCTAGAAATAAATGAAATTAATATCTTGTTTTTAATTTGTCTTACAAAATAATTAATCTTAAATTAAAAAATATGTAGCATTAACATAATAAATAAAATATTACTTACAAGATCATGTTCCACTTTTAAACCTTTAAGATCTTTATTAGTATATGCAGTATGTCTTTCATTCCTAACTTCTTCTTTGACGAGGTTACCAATGCCAAACTCTTCATCAAGTTGATCCAGTAGTTTAGCTCTTTCTTCAGCCTTTTTCTTCTCTTCTGCCAATCGTCGATTTTTTTCTACCCACGTGCTAGCATCATCATCGGAATCATCATCCCCTAATGATTTAAGTTTTGACAAATTCGATTCAATCTGTCTTTTTTGTTTCAAAGTATTCAGTTTATCCCGCATTTTTTCATTTCTTACAGTTTCTGTTGTATTTTGCGCTGGTTTATGATAAAATTCTCCTAAATCATCTTTGATTTTATTTGGTTCATCCTTAGAAGAAGTTGAATTTACCTCCAGAGGTTTTAATCCAAGTTTTGCTCTTAACCTATTAGTTTCTTCAATTGAAATAGATTCTTGGGAACCTCCTCCTTTAGACGGCGAAGGACTTCGTGGTTTCGATATTTCTGGTGGAGGCGGTGTAACATCATGATTCTTTGATATCTTTGGTGGTGGTGGAGGTGTACTAACAATCTCAACTGAAATAAAATAAAATTTGATAAGCTATTTTTATCCTTGAAAACATTATAATTTAATTTAAATAAAATTAATTCTAAAAAATAAAATTGTTCAAAGTTACCATCACTATCATAATCTTTACGATCTTTTCTTTTATGTTTTTTGTGATGTCTATGTTTATCCACTTTTTCTGGTTCTGGAGAATAAGATCTTGAACGACTACGATGCCTCTTCTTTTTCACATCTTTATTTTTATCAGTCTTATGTCTTTTATTCGATCCCATATCTTATGATTTTATGATTGTAATTAATTTATACAAACTCTAAATATTTTTACACTTGACAATGCTTTCTTACGTTAACCAACGTTAACAGAAATAAACATAACCTTCTAAATTCCAGTAAATATACGCATGCGCGAAAATAATTCTCAAAATATCCGTCAGTTGGCGTGCAGTGCATATTTTATTACCGGAAATCCAAGGGAACCGGAAATAGATGATGGACTGATCAAAAATTAAGTTTTTAATAAATAACGTCGGTTTTATTTATTATTCATCTCTCAATTGTTCGATTTCAAAAAATTCATATATTCATACTTTATTGATATATTAAATAAACACATTACCGGAATGTATAAATAGTTAGATTTTGAAAAATATCAAAGGAATTCGAAGAATCAAATGACTGGACTTTCTACAAAGTTCCAAACTCATGTTAATATTTCATAGGAATCCTGCTGGAAAAAGGTTTAACATGTTTCTGAAGTAGGAAAATACATATGAGCTCCGTTAGAGTCAGCATTTTAGGTTGTTTGAGGTTCCGACTACCTGAAATTGTCATTAGGTTAGTTGGCTGTTGAAGCATAAGATTGAAAAGAAGGTCTGCGAGTGTGTCATCAACGGCTAGATGAAACGTATTTTTTTCCCACTCACTTATTTTCTAGTTCTCATGAGTTTATCTTTTAGGATAAAGTCATTATCGCTGGATAAAATGGTCTTTCGTGAGGTATCTCAAAGGATCAAAATGATGAGGAGTGGAATGATGAGCAGAATGGGATGAGGAAGCAAAATGATGAGAATGAGAAATAAGAGGTTTCTTGAGTAAAAAATGATGGTATTAGCCAATATATGAGAACTCGAGACCAGTCGGTAGGGTCTTGAGTGGTCCCTTGTTCGTTCGTGCATCGTGAATAACGCGAGAAAGTGCTTGAGGGCAACTCGTGGGCACGGGCCATGCCAGTAGACCTGAGAGAAAAGGAAGAATGAGAAAAAGACAAGGCGCATTGGGTTGCTACCACTACTAATACCATCAAGAACCGCATTCTCTACCTGTGTGGTAAAACGCTCACGCAGGACCCCAAGGGACACTCAAAAACAAAGACCATTCGACGTCCTGTTCTAACATGACCCTTCATTATGAAACAATTTCCACATTCTACCGCTGGTTCGACAAAGAGAAAGGTCCACACTCTTCGATACTTAAGGTACCAAAATTGTCCCCTTCAGAATTGTTGTAATACAAGTTTATTGGTAGACTTAGTTACCTAGCAAGTAGTTATTTGAACAAGGGTTTCTCATTATTTACAATGTAATTATACTAAGAGCATACAATCCTGAAGATTTACTAAAATGAATATACGTGTTATGCTAATCTTCATTGAACACAATAAGACTGGTACCTTATTACTTGAAAATTACCTGCTTTCAATGACTCAGGAAATTTCAAAACTATTGTCACAAGATTAGAAAAATTTCCATTTGATAATACCACCATTAACCTTTACTGGTACCTCATAAAAGTCAGGTTTTACCAAGCACAACTATAAATCAACCTTACTAATCTAGTTGTATTCTATTTTCATATTTACTGTGGCTCTACATTGGTAAATTATATTATTCAAATAAATTTATCTTGAAGATATTTAATATTATGTTATATTTGAAATTGAAAGAGAATGAATCAATTGAACTACATTAAGTTATCGAATAAAAAAAAGTGAAAAATTGAAAATAAAATATTTTTGAGGTAATATATAATAATCATAACAATAAATAAAGTTAAACATAAATAAACACAATTATTTGATATGTTTTGATCCAATTTATTTGCAAATACAAAGAACATATAGTTTCATTCTTTGTACGACTATTTACTCATAAATTTGGAGCATTTGTATTTATTAATTAATATTAACATAATATAGATATGTTTAAAAAATATACATTACTTAATACTTTACAAATTATAAATTATTTACAATATCTTTACACAACGATTAATCGCTTATTCACACATTTTACACAAGGGTAAAGAAGGGGTAATCAAGGATTAAGGAGAATTAGGATCAGGTTTTTAAAGAATATTTGTTTAATGCTATCAACATAAGCTTCTGTACAAATATACATGCGAGCTTTAATTTGAATTGGCTGTAGTTTCCTTAATTATTTACGTTATTTTTGCGAAATAAAAAAAATTTAAAGCAAAAATAAAAATAAATAGTAATCCTTAAGCAGGTACGATTTACATTGACATAATTACATACACTTAGAACATCTATAAAAATATTTATAAATATTATTTATAGCTTTCAATGCATCAATTAATTTTTAAATGAATAAAATGACGAGGAAATCACATTACAATTAATCCACAACTACATTCACAGTAGTTCAGCCACTAGGAGGATATGGAGATAAGTTCTAAAAGTATGCAACCGTCTCAATCAAGTGTTTTGTAAAAAAATTAAAAAATTCACATACAAGTTTATCCAGTTCACTAGTTCATTTTGTCAAGTAGAAATAATGCTTAAAAATTAACATAACACTGTTGATTCACATCAAAAACGTCAGCACGACACTTAATCAGAGTAGATCAGCATAAGTAACTTGACTATATTCATTGTTTAATGCGAATAATAACCATACCAATGGCACTAAAGTCGCATAGATGATAAAAAACTAAGCTCCTCCAAAATACATCTATGTATCCGTATTCTTTATCATGATAATCATTAACACTATCATCATCATAATCATCATTTTCGGTATTGAAATATATGCCTTTTCCATGGGACATGTAGCACCTATAGATGCAGCAGAGTAAATCTTATACCGGTTTTTCTCTACAGCCTTATTAATAAATTATACGAGCGTCCAAGGAGGTTCGGGTTTGCCTATCGTGTAGCTCTTAAGCCAAGTGAACGAGCGAATAAGCGAGTTAGGCAGGAGACCAACAGCCAGGCACCTTGGTTCATAAGTTGTTGAGTTTGTTGATTACTGAAAGTGTAGAGAATGCGGCAGCGTCACGCACTCTGAGCTGGTTCTCTCTCAGAGCCCGTTCTCTCTCGGTCTAACGAGCAACAGCCACGAGGATGGAGCAATACACAGGTGGGTGGAAGGGAGAGAATGGAAGCTGGTAGTAGCAGCAGTGGCAATCCACGCACCAACGTCACACACTTGTCCTCTTGCCCGTCGTTTTCATATATTCCAGTACTCGAGATATTTTTAATTCATCTCAGTATAATTATTACTAAATTCCAAATGCCTCATATATAGATATATGTATATATATGTACATGTTGCGTCAAGTCATATCAGCGACAACCGCAACCAAGTACTGACATGTCCTGGTAATTTTTAAGCACCACTTTGTTCTCTTCATCAAGATACAGCATGGATATTGAACTAAGAGCTGTTGGAATACAGCAAGCCTTGGGAACCAGTGCTGGATTCGTTGAATACACAAGATTCTGTACTATTGCGTGGTTTGTTGAGTTTAAATGATCAGATAAAGGAAAAGGACAATCTCCATGGCAATAAAATGCATCATAACCAGGTGGTGCTACAATCCAATCATTCCATCCGACATCAGAAAAATCAACATATAAAGGATGTCTTCTACAATTTTCTCTGCCGTCTTTGCGTCGATTTTTACGTACTGCAGCTCTTCGTGTTCGACGTTTTATGATATCCGACGCTGAAGCCATTTTGTTACGACCATCATCAGTGTAAGTAAAGAGTGTGGGTCGTACGTCGTCCCATGTATCATGAGATTCTTCAACATTACGTTTTAATCTAACATGTGGTTTGTCGTTTTCTTTGATTCCATGCACTTGGATCAATAAGCCGTGATTATGTTTAGGTTCTTCTAGCCATCGTGCTACCGCCGGATTTACATCAAGACTTATTGTACTGTTGCTTGTCACATCAATTACTTTACTGTCAATGAGTCTTAATATTGGTGCTTTCTTTTCTTTTTTAGCACCTGGACGAACAATATCGTATACCAAAACTCTACCTGTTTTTTTCTCTTTTGAATTTTTCTTCAACAATGCAGTACGTGATAAACTTAATTCCGCTGCTTGTAATTTTTCTGTTGAAGGTATACTGCTTAGATCAAATGATAATCGAAAACGATTTATCGATTGAAATTTGTCATCCAGTGGACTTTCTGTGAACAAAAAAAAGATCATTCATTTTTAGTATACAATTTTGGAGTATAGAATTGCTTTATCTATTTAACGAAAAGTCAATTAGTATAACTGTTGAAAATTGATTATGACTAAGCCAAGTGTTGTAGATAGAGAGAACAAAAAATGACCAATTAGTTGTTCAGAGGGTGGTCCAGAAGTTCAGCTATGCTTGAATATCATGTCAGTAATAGCACTCATCTAAAGGTCTAGATAAGAAATCTTCAAGGATACATTTATACTTGTCGCAACTTTTAAGTTGTAGAGTCGAAGTTTTTCTACTTATTCATAGAATTCCTCTCGGTTATTCATGCCTAAAATTTTTCCCACATTCTTTCATACATTTTTCTATCTTAAAAATGAGTATTGTCTAAATATGTATAGTACTTATCCTATTATAGATTTAAAATGGATTATATGAAATAAGTAGTAAAGAGAATTCGAAGCGTTATGCACGAATAAACAAGTTATATTACCTTGAAGTCAAAACCTTCCTTTCGATATCTCTATTTGAACTACAGCAGCAACAAGCGATCAATGTAGTAATAAAATCAATAGCTTTTCAAGAAATCAAGGCCACCGCCTTTCTGTTTTTTAAGAAAAATATATAATCTTTGGCGTAATTAAATGGGATAGAAAATTATTTCACTAGGAAAATATTTTCCAACCATGAATAATCTCATTCTATAGACTCAATAGCAGCCATGAAATGAATAAGAATGAATGAATGGGAGTTGACGAGAATGCTATGGCTACCTGTGAGAGCTACCTTAAATAAAACGCTTCATTTTTTTTCTTAATGCTCTTATGTGTATACAATGTATCCACTAAAGCTCTCCAGTCTTTTCAGATTTAGAAATGGATATCCCTGACAATGCACCATCTTTCTCACCTATTGTGTATTTTTACTTGGCCTGTCATCATCAATTTCAACAAGAATACCTTTGAATAATCGTCTTATAGATGTTAAGAGTAAATAAAAATATAAATAAAGGATCTACTCAATCAATTAACCATAATTGCTGGTAAATAAGTAATATTATATTGTTAAAAAATAATTTGATCCTTCAAAAAATTTATCTTCTTCATTTTCCCATCTTATTACTGTCATTTATAATTAATTACATATTAAATACATATGTATTTTATTTTTCTATTCATAAATTTTTATTCTGAATTAATTTATTCTTTTCTTAAGTTAACCTTCAATCGGATCATTGGTCTATTATTAATTTTTTCAAGAAACTTCATTTTTAAATATAAATAACTATGAATAATAAAATGAATATAGTGATTTGATATTAAAAATTCTTGAATAATATATTTTCCTCTCAATTTTGGTTTAACTGGTGGAAAGTTTTGATTGCTGAATATTGACTATGTATTTATTGTCAAAGAGATCAAAGTATTCTTGTATCATCATTAAAAGATATTCAATTAATAATTTTACTTTATATTTCTTGCTTAATGTTATTGAAACTGATATTGGAGTAAATTTCTTTGGGTATATTTATCATAATAATTATTTATAAATACTAACCTTTATGCAAGAAAGATCGAACAGTATTGGCGGATCTAGTGTGTAATCCTCGTTTTGCAATATCTGCAGTACCAATAGAATTTTGTTTAGCATAAAGTTTTCTCAGTGATTCTGGAATGTGTGCCTTTCCACCAAGAGGTCTTGGTCTCTTGGAAAATCCCAAAAGAGCAAGAAGAGATGCCTCAACAGTAGCAATAGTTTCCTGTCTTTCAGTCAAGTTCATGTTGTTGGTGAAGTTCTCTTTGACTTGGACAATGCTGTCAGCGTTTGACTTTGTCACATCACCAACCAGCACGCCCACTCCCACAAACACCAATCTCAGCAGCAGCAACGTGCGCATCGTATCGCCAGTCACTGGCACTGCCACTCCTGAAACATACAATTATCCAGGGTGTGGCTTTAGTACAGATTTTTTTATAATCTAACAGCTTTTTAGCGATTAAAACTAGATAAATTACTAACTTCCAAAGCAAATTGAATTATATTAAGAAAAATTTCATGCATTCTTTCATTTTATATTTCAGACTAGCATCATAATGTTTGCCAGTTAAAAGTAGACATTTTTTTATACTTCCAAAGAGTATCAGATAATTAATGCTTCATTTTGTAAAAAAACGATTGGTAAAATGCCATGATAAGCTAAAATGATGAAGGATATGTCTTAATTTTCTGCATAATAAGCATGACATTTGTGATTTCACATTACCATTAACCCTTAAGAACCCTCGTTCCTCATACCTACATTACTCTTGTGATGAGTAAATTACTTATAGCGAGAATTCTAAAGGATTGACTTAATAAAATATTCCATGCAGATTAATGTTGATGAAAAATATGTAATCTAAATAAACAACACGTGTTAGTAGTAAGTAAAACATTAAATGGTTGTGAAGGTTGGATTGTACATGTAACTTTTGCAATATGTAGTGCGCACAGACCACCGGTTTTTGGTTGATGATTTATCTAACCGCATATACTTTTCTTGTTTTACGTTTATATAAATAATGTTACAGCTTGTTGAATAATAGAATTATTGATGATTTTAGTTTGTCGAGAAATTTATCAAATAAAACCATAATTTTGAGAAAAAATTGTAATTAATTGTATAAAAAACTAGAAATAACAGATAAAAAATGATAGGTAGATGGCGGCATCTGAGAAAGACGCGGCTGGTGGAGACGGTAAGGCTGGCGCTGCTAGAGCCAAGCTGTCTGCTGGAGATTCCTTATGTATATAATCTCCCCCGCCGGATCTCTTACGAGGCTCGGCTGGGGAAGCCACAGACCTCTGCTGCTTCGTCTTCTCGTTCCTCAGGTTGTGTTCTAGTGCGATAATCGATGACGGAACTTGTTTAGAGATCAAAAGTTGATAGAATACATGACAAAGATCAAAACTTGCGGATGAGTACAAACTTACAGCTGTTTTTTTTCAAGGTAAGCTATTAGCATGTGAGTAATGTAAAGATGACTGTTTTTTTTAAAATACTTTTTGTACTTCCGGGTATGTTGAAAGATGCAGGTGTAAGATAGAAGGTAATTGATAACAAGAATTTGACACATCCTGATAATCGCCGCCATTTTGTTCCTGATATTTAGTACGAATACGAGTTGAAATCATATATTCAATTGATGATATTGATAATAAAGAATGTATAGAAGTGATGAGAGAAACACGACAACCTCGATAATGCATGATACGTGGTCATAAAAGTGATCAACCTTCCAGAAATATCTTGAAGCTCTTTCAAAACAAGTAAATATATCACAATTGAGTGAAATAAAGAAACGCCATTGATGTGTTTTATGATTATTAATGTTTGTTAAACAGGATGCTGTAAGTAATTAAATATATTTTTTATCCTGCACGTGACGCTGCAGATGGATTTATGCTGAAATAATTGATGGAAAAAATTTTATGTTGGAGAATCAAGCTGGCTCGCATCCGCTAAGGAATGTGGTCCGCGTCGTGGAATCTGCGCGCAAGCAGGCAAGGATACGGGGCCGCAGAGCGAGTCTGATGGTGGCCGATTGCCACGGTGGAACGCGCGGGAGCACGCATACACATACACGCAACGTCATCGTCGAAAATAATCAGACAAATCTTTCACGATATAAGAATGACAATTAACTTAATAAGTGTTATATGAATGTAGAAGAAGTAAGTAATTAAAACTAATATTAGAAGAGAATGATATGTAAAAGAAAGTCATCAATTTATACATATATGTTCTATCAATATGTATTTGTTTTGTAGAACATGTTACGCAAAATTTATATGCAGGATATATGTGAAAATGGATGTAGGTTCTTACCTATAGCTAGCCGTGAGTCCGAAGCCTAAACAGCCACGGCATCTCAGCGTGTCCATACAACGTGAAAACTCTTTGGTTGGCCGTAGCCAAAGCACTTATATCACCGACACAAACCACCATTCACGCGTTTAATCAAGTCTGGATCAAGTGTAGAATAATCAAAGAATCAAATTGATCTATTTGAAGATGAAGTGTTAACGTTGATTGAACACTGGATATACCGATGAGATAAATGTATAATTCAACTATTCACTGTTATTAATAATGAAGGTAAGCACATCACTACGAAAATGTCACGATGAGAATGAAGACGACAGTAAGAAGAGTCGTCCGACACGGTTGATAGGCGTCGTGTGACTACTGGTTGCTGCTCAGGAGCAAGCGCCAAGGAGCCTTCCTCGCGCTCACCACGATTACCGTCCCCGCCGGTACGGACTGTCGTACGCAAGATGGAGCAATTCCCCTACTGAACCGTAGAGAGCGTCGATTCATAAGTACACGCGCTCATTTGGACAGGGCCGCTCCAAATGGACTATGGGCCCCGACCATGGTCCCTTTTATCCCCTCCATTAAGCTCTTCCACCTGCTAAGTTTAAAAGAAAGCCCTCCTCCTAGGCGCACTTATGCTATTTCCACCACTTGGAGTCCTCGCTTTCTTTCCCCCCACTGTGGTATTTTACCTGCGCCAAAGTATCATAGTTATCTTCTTCAGCTGGTTGAAGGATGGTCCATTTCACTTGACTCGCATGACTAAGTAAATCTTGATTAAGATTTTTTATTTTATTGGTGAACCACGGCACTGAAAAGAACTGATTAATTGATTATTAATATTAAATGTAGATGATGAAACGAATAAAATGTTGGAGAAGGATAACAAGGGAATACGAGAAATGCTACTAGCTTGGCTGACCGGTCTTCCTGCCGCGCGCCATGCTGTCTGCCCGATTCCTGCATACTTCCCACTTGGCAATTGGATATTTTACGCCATTTCCGCTTGACAACTCAATCACACTGGAGATTTCATGGAGATGCCCACGCGTTTCCTTCCACAAGACTGCAAATGCGGCTAATAAATGACCTGAGAGACTGCGGACAATGAAAAATGATAGAGTGAGAAATCTAGATGCAGCAACTGAACAATCATTATCGTACTACGGTTGTTCGCTTCCAATTATTATTTCTGCAAACTATAACACGTTTCGACATGCTGAAGAAGAATGATTTCCTCTCCACGAATCCATCTGAGATTATATGCAATTTCCGCTCTGCCAATAACAGACTTGGTCGGAAGTTGAAAAATTCTAAATTAAATTCTATCATCGCAATAAATGCTATCGAGCACCCTGTGGGTTGTGAAAAAAAAGAAAAAGAAGAAGAGAATGTGTCCTCTAGCTTGTAAAGGGGGTTGAGGGGGTCATGATGGAGAAGCAGAAGAAGAACCGGCCGAAGAACTACAGAGAGCAGAGACGACAGGAGTGGCGGTGAGGAACAAGGTAGAAGATATCGTGCCGGTTAGTGCTCCGCCCCAGCTTCAGGGTCGTCTTAATTACCGGGTGGTCCAGTTCGGAACCCCATAAATATTTCGTGCTGCGGCGCTCTTTCCTTAGAGACCCCAGAACTCTTCAGAAACTATCTTTAGTGAATAAGCAACAGTATCCTAGACTCTAGCAAGAATATGAGAAAGATATAGATATACTTGAGATCCTCATCCAAGCTTTCACAGTCGCTTCTATATATAATTCCATCATTAGATTGGCTCTTTGTATTTTGACTTCCACCGCCAGATGAACAACCGGATGAGATCCAGCTCTTTCAACGTTCCATTCTCATCCAAGCTGGGAGCCACCAAGTCTACCGAAAGTTAGTCATCTTGTACATTAAAGAATAAAAAGAAGGAGAAACGAAAAAAAGAGAATATGATTGATTTTTATCTTATTTTCGGCGTTATCAAAAGAAAAATGAGCCGTAGCACTAAAAGAGGATTAGTAGTTTTTTTTTCTCTATTTTCTCAGGTATATTTGAAAGATAACAAGGATCCTCGACCACGTCACCCTGCTTCAAACTGGGTAGAGGCCTCCTACGCTGCATAGTCGGCAGAATGTCTTTTGCATGAGTCACATAGGACATCTCTATTATGTGCTCAATTCGCCAAAATTTATTATAACTTTAACAGATTTATATCTCATATACTTTTCCACGTATATTGAATCAATCCTTGTCTTATCTCTCTTCTTTAGAATATTTTTCTTCTTTTTACGACCCGCCCACATGCGAACAGCCTAAAACAATGGCCATTACTACCAATTTTCGATGAGCTGTCATCAACCACCCACAGGCATATAAGAGTAAGACGAGGGAGCTAGGGAACTATCATTTGTGTGGTCTGGCCAGCGGAATAAAGAGAGACAAATGAAAAAAAAAAAGAGAAAGACCACCTTCGTAGAAGCCACTTTACTCTCGCGAGAACAGAGAACGTTCTCTCTTTCTCTCTCTATTTCGAAATTCTTCGCGGACCGAGTGGGGTCAGCATGAGAACCAAAGATGTAAATTCCCACCGAGTCCACTTGCGTTGCTCGTTCATCAAATGGATTAGAAATTAATAATCAATGTTCTTTAGTCATTTATATTTACTTGGAAGAGAAAAAATAACCATAATTGACGTAAATATCATTAGTAATTACCTTTTTAAATTTTATTGCAGAAAACTGATTAAGTATTCCTTAAAAAAAAAATATCAACTGAGCTGTTATTCAGACACCTGATGGCAACTCATTGTGCAAGGCGTAATTATGTAACTTCAACTTGTAAGTGTGTGCGCTGTAAATTTCCAATACATAACTTAAGGACTCTAAAGAAAATCGTATAATACGTCATAAAGTTCTACGAAGACAAAAGTAGAAAAACCTGTACCTTAGAAATAATGCATACATTATCAATGTTATTTAAAATATGTGCATTGCTCATGTTTCTCATCATTAACTTCAGCACGTCTTCAGAACATATTATGTCCATTCCCAGCAGATGAAGTTTATTTCAAATTAAAATGGTTAAGTACCAAGAACAGTAATGTTATACGCTAAGGTAATGACATATAAAGTTAACATCTTACAAAAAAAAAAATCAATCTGGTCTTTTATTTTAAGCAATTCAATTTATATTTTTTATTCTATCACACAATAAGTCAGGTATTGGAAAATAAAATGATTTTATTTCAAGGTGATAGAAACCAAATTGATTAATAAATTACACTCTATATCAATAACATTTTTAAATAACTAAGGAACATTAAATAATTATATTAATATTAATACATGTTATATAATTAGATTTTTCAAATATTTTGTCTTCGATTTTTTTCAGCTAATTTCCAATAGGAATGAATTAAATTCAATGATTGGAGATAATAATAGAATGAATTTTATGATGTGAAATCTCAACTGGAAAAAAATACTCAAAATTGGTTTAATGGAAGCAGTTTGCAAATATAATGAAGAAAAAGTGTTACGTTGAAAATTTATTCGATAAAAGACATACATAGTATTGGAGCCAGATATAGCTGATGCGATCTAATGAGCACCCTCACCTGTTCATCTACACATGTAACAGCCAGCTGTACGCAGTAAGAACGACCTAGCGGACAAGTAAACAGGTTGATATATGTACCTTATTCCTATATATAGCCACATCTCTCGTCTCCCGGAAACTTGTTTCTTCTCATCGTGACGAGGTATCTCAGAGGAACATTGAATTTCACTCATACATGTGAATAAATTGATTCTCAGACAGTATCATTGATTCAATCAACATGCATGCTGAAGATGGATTAAGGTAGTTGTTAGAAGAATGCGTGAGTGATCAATGTTAATAAGACCACATTCGAAAGACTTGTGAGAGTATAGAGGTAAGCAAGACTCTGGAACTTGGCACTTTTGGTACGCGGCAGACAGCGCGTCGCCCAATCTCCACAGGCAACTTCTGTACTCGTACCAGTGTTAACTAGTGGCTCAATCCGATCATTCCATTTTAAACCAACTGAAAAACTAGAAAAGTCTTCCTAACTTTGACTCCTTAATAGTCATTAAAATCAATGTAGAATTAAAGTCTCGCCAAAACTATTAAGTCTAATCCAGCGGATTAAACACTAAACTCAGTTAGTAAAAACTTTTGTTATAAACGTAGTTCCTATGACCTCATATACATTATCATGATATCTTAAACAGCTGGAAAAAGCTTCAGAAATAGATTCACATGCCGCCAGAATTATGTCTGAATATTGGAATATTCTCAGAAGTTGATGTTTATCATTTCAAGAAATAAATTTGACTGCGCAAAATATCCATTTATAATACAAAAGAAGTTGATATTTTGACGTTAATTTTCCTTTGTTAGCTATTGGTTTTACGTAGAAAATTATTCGCTTCTGTAGAACAATTCATTTAAATAAAATAAAACTGAATCATTAGTTGGATCAAATAATAAACTTAATTAATAAACATTAAAAGAATTTTAAAACTATGAATTTATTTGCTAAAAATTAATTGTTATTATAATCATCTATACCTTATGATAAAAATAAGAAATAATATTATTTATAATAAGATTTTTCTGTGAAATGTGAAACTCAGTATCACTTTACATAACGTATGAATATAGAAAGTCTACAAGTTAAGTTTTTATATTTTTTATGCATATCCCATGGATTTATGTAGTAATAACAATTTAGATGTTCTCTTTTAGAAGTATATTTTGATTTTTACATTACTGAGTGAAACAAAAAATATTAGAGAAAACAAGTATTTTTAACTTGAATAAAAGACATAATTGATTATCCACAGTAACATATTATCTAGTTATTTAGTTAATGAAGTAAATATTTCTTAAAGTAAATGATTGTATCAATGGAATAATTAATGTCAAACATAAATAAACCGATTCCTAATTATTCTAAATAGCAATAGTACTAGGACGTAGTAAAAAAATTTATAAATTTCAATGAATAATGGCAACTACAAGATGATGCAATATTTATAAATTATTATTCGATACAAATTTAATTTCATATTTTATTCTCAGGAAATAGTGCTGCTAATAAATTAGGTTTGTTTACTTTACCAAGAGAATTTTTGGGAATTTTGTCAACTATTTTAAGTACTGTAGGAACAGCGTATGAAGGTAAAGATTGTTTTGCAAAATCACGAAGCTGTGACAAAACGATTTCTTTACCTTCACGGGTAACTGCAACGGCCGCAACCTGAAATTAGTAAAAATAAAAATATCAATGGTAGTAAACATCTTTATTACATCAATAAATTTTATTTTCTTTTTCAGTTCGAGGGGCATTGTGATTCAGAAAACGAAAGAAAGTTTCTTTTTCTACAATTCAATAAAATACTTATTGTCCACCATTAATAAAAACTTTTACTACCCTACATTTTTTTTTTTAATCATTTAAATATATCATATAACACTGAGTGCATCATTATCATTTGATATCGAAGTCTTAAAGCAGTTTTTATGTGGCATATTTAATGTCAGTGAAGAGAACAGCCCATTAATAGGACATTTCACCGAATTTCTTTTTTATTCTTTTCTTGAATTTCTCCAATTTCCTTTATTATTTGATTTATTTTTAATTTTAATTAAAAAATAGTTTTATTTCTTTAATATAATTGAAAAGTTAATCAGTGTGAAGATTTTTTTAAATTAAAATAAAAAAAACTTTTGTTTTACATTTCAAACCAGAATATTTGCTTGAAAAACTTGGCTTACTTTTTGTCCCCATGTTATGTCCGGTAAACCAACAACTGCACAATCTATGATGTCTGGATGTCCAAGGATTACCGTTTCCACTTGCAGGGCACTGACCTTGTAGCCTCCACTCTTGATAATATCCACAGAACTTCGTCCTAATATACTGTATACACCATTTTCATATTTAATGGTATCACCTGATGGAAAAGTACAAGAAAGTTAACAACCATAGATAAAAAATAAATTTCCCATCGTTCTTACCCGTTTTAAACCATTTATCCCGAGTAAATACTTTGTTCGTTGCCTCAGGCCTATTCCAATATTCTCGAAACACACTTTCACCTTTGACTTGTAACTCTCCATTGATGGGAGGCTTTGATTTGCTAATTATCTTACTTCCTTGATAATCACCTTGAACGAGAACTTCTGGTGTATTATCAGGAGATTTGGGATTTGTAATCCGTACCTGCACTCCAGGTAACGGAGTTCCAACCGTACCTAAAAATTTATTGTTTTCATAAGAATATTTACCAGGGAAATTTTTAAGGTGGTATATTAGTTTAAGCACCTGGAATACGTTGACCTTCAAGAGGATTTGATAGAACCATACCTGTCTCTGTCATGCCATACCTTTCTAGTAACCGGTGGCCTGTAATTTCTTCCCACTTGTCGAAAATAGGTTTTGGAAGTGGTGCTGATCCACTAACCATCAGTCTATATAATGAGAAAGTAATAACGTATTTAAATTAGTTTATTTAATTAACTATTATTATTTATTCAAGTTATAATAAGATTTCAAGACTTCAGATTTTTATTACATAAGAAGTTTGAAAAAAATAAATTAATTCATGATGAGTATACTTTTAGACAAAAAAAAATAATAATAATTTTTAATTAACTGCACGGTGTTTATTTTAGACTATAATAAATGCATATGAATTCTTAGAGTACAAAATCATGCATATAATGAATGTTTAAATAGATGAACGTGCAATTGTACGACTTATAAAATGTTTACAATTAAACATATTTAAATTTTCTTTTTTCCTCAATAATTTGAATACTAAGATAAAGTTGAAAACATTATTTACAACTAAAATCATTAAAGTTTCCTCAGCAATATTCAAATCCTAATACGAATATTAATTTTGAAATAAATTTCAATTAAGTAAGAAGAAAAATTAAAAAAAAACACATTTACCTAATTTTTGTGCTGCATACTGTATGAACATATTCTCTAATTTTTGGATTTTTACTAAATAATTGTTCATATTCTTGAATAAGTTTCATGTAGATAGTTGGTACAGCCATGTACATATTAATTCGTTCTGTGTTAGGTACGTTAACTGCGAGTAATTGACTCCAAACGCTTGAGGTTTCAAATTTCGGTAACATCACACACCGTGCGCCCACATAAAGTGGACACATGAGAACATTGACAATGCCATGAATATGATTTAACGGTAAGGTATGAAGAATAACGTCTTTTTCTGACCATTTCCAGGCAGTTATAAGTGCATTCATTTGTGATTGAAGATTTCTGTGAGTCATTACAACCCCCTTTGGAGGACCAGTTGTTCCTGAAGTATATACAAACATTGCATCGCTATTGTTATAAAATTCATCTTTCAACAGAAGTTCACCAAAGTCTTCTAAATCATCATAATCATTTTTTAAATTTTTATTATTTGCTGTCTTTCCATCAGGTTTCATGGCTAATATTCTGAGAGCATCGTCTAAAACTATAAGACGAATTTTTGATTTAGAACAAATTGGCTCTAAAATAGGTGAATTTTCGGTCGTTGTTATGACTACTCTGGCTCCAGAATCTTTGAGGTAGTATTCTAGAACCGTTGATGGGCTTGAAACATTCAATGGAACAGCTGCAAGAATATTCAATTATGTATACAGTTTTTTAAAAAAAAAATTATTATTTATATAATACCTATTTGTCCACTCATCCAACATGCCCATTGAACAATCACATATCGAGCATCGTTTGGCATTAAAAAAGCGATCCTTTCTTGATGTAAACCACCTAACAATGTAGATAATTCAACTGCAAATTGTCTCGAGCTGAGAAATAGCCCCCTATAGGTGTAATCTCCCTGTAAATCTCTGAGGGCAGTTTTATCTCCATATTTGATTGCATTTTTAAATACTGGAATAACTCCATTATTTGGAGGCTGTAAAAATTCATTTCGATGAGATACATTAGATTTTATTTCAACTATTTATATTTAAATTTATTAATAATTTTTATAATTAATATTTTCTCATACTTTACAAATATGCTAAATAAAATAGCACTTTTTATAGTGATTGACAGGCAAACAATCATCATTCCATTTTTGATTCACAAATTATTTTATCAATTCAATCAGAACCTACTTGAGTTCATGCAATCATTCAAGTTCACATCTACAGATGAATCACATGACATAGACCTTGATTCATTCAAACGCGGTCGAGACTAAAATTGAATTGTGTGATCGAATTTCATGATCGAGTTTAAAGAAGATATCATAGATTATTTAGTACAAAAATCTCATGCAATGATGATATTTTTTTTTATATTTAATATTATTTCTTCTTTATTTTTAATATCAGGTAATTGTTAACAAATAATTTCATTAATTTTATCAATGTAATTAATTTTGATGGTGAATTAATTTAGAAGTGAATGGTGCTAAAGTAACAAAACAAGGAAATGCAACAACAAATTGTGGCTGTTCGGATAAAATAATTTCATTTTTTAGAGACAATAGTTTAAATATATTGTCTCAAAATGAAAATGATCAAACTCCACTCTGTTTTGCAGTAGGCCGAAATAATTGGCATATATTAAAAACGCTCCGACGAAATAATGGAAATGTAAATGTTCAAGATGCTAAAGGTCAAACTTTACTTCATATAGTAATTGAAGAGAGCCGTTTAAATATTATTAAAACACTTTTAGAGCATAATGCTGATGTAAACATTCAAGATAAGGATGGTGAAACACCACTTCATTTAGCTACTGAGAAAAAAAATTTCAATATTGTTATGATACTTCTGCAACATAATGCAGATGTAAATATCCAAAATAAATATGGTGAAACTTCACTTCATTCAGCAGTTAAAATAAAAAGTGTGAAAATTGTCAAAATGCTTCTGAAACATCAGGCAGAAGTAAATATTCAAGATGTATATGGTTGGACACCACTTCATTGGGCAACTGAAGAAAATACTCTAAATATTGCAAAGTTACTTTTACAAAATAATGCTGATGTGAATATTCGAGATATGGATGACTGGACACCACTTTTCTCAGCAATTCGAAGAAATGCTAAACGTGTGATTGAAAAGCTATTGCAATATAATGCCGATGTAAATGTTCGAGAAAAAAATGGCTTGACTCCACTTCATTATGCTATAAATAAACAATGTGACTGTATTGCTTTACTCAAACAGCAAATAGTTAAATTAAAAGCTGCTAAATTATTTGTTCGTAAGGATATATTAAAATTAGTCTACAATTCAACAAAAAACATGACTTCAGCATGGATTAGTTCCTATGAGAATGATTGTAAGCAAGAATTATCTAAAATGAAGAAGGAAAAGCCAAATAATAGTAGTATATCTTTCTATGATCTTCTAGTTAAAAATTTAAACAGTCAGATAAATATTACTAATCATGAAAATATTGTAATTGCATTAAATTCAAACAAATTAAAAAAGAAATTTCCCTTATATGCTGGGATTTTGAAAAGTCGTTTTCAAGATGGACAAAAGCAGAATGAATAGTTTGGCAATTTACTTTGAGTAAATATATGAAAGTTTATTTATATCTAATGAAGACTATGTATGTTTATTATATTGATGTAATAAAAGAACGATAAATAATTATCTTTGCTTCGATCACATTAATGTACAGTATAGTATATGATTTCATTAGTTGAATCATAAAACAGATATGTACAAATACTTTTGTTTAAACTGAATATAGTACAAAGTTTAAATGTCGAAATTCGAATTAAATATCATGATTTCGATTTTGTTGATAAATATTCTCATCATATCATCAATATTTAGTTATAATGATAATATACAATTCTTACTAATTTTCATACTTTGATAAATGCCTTTCTATTCATGTTGATGTAATTTACCTGATGTGTTTCGTTGACAGAACTCAAAGCTGCATGTGTCTGTTGTAATCTTCTAAATGTCAGAGGACCGTTGTGATTTCTAGCAATGTTACACGCAGTCAAATATAAATTACGTCTCAATAATGAACCCATCGTGATCCTTTGCACGTGTCAAATTAATATATTTCTGAAATCCAAAAATAAACTAACCTATAATAAGCATTACTGGCAAACATTTAACGACTACTAATCAAAATTCAATTATTTTTATATCCAATCCATTTAAATATAATTATATTTTGATATTGGAGTTATCTTTATGTTTGATTAATATTTAAAATTATATCTTTCATTTAAGGATGAAGATAAACAATAACAAAATATGCAACTGGATAAGCATGTAATTTTATCTAAAGAGACCTTGAAAGTAATTTTATAATTTTTTTGTTCGAAAAAAAGTACATCTTGTCATGTGAATGTTAAATTTGGGATAATTTCTTACCGGACATAATCATACACTAATTTTCTGTTAAAATTTCACTTTAGATTAAACATATTTTAAACATTTCTTTCTGTTCTTTAAGTATCATTTTTATTATAGTGATAATTATAACACTCGAATATTTTAAGTAATTATTTAAAATTTGTAATAATTGCTGAAAACAAAACCTCTTTTTACAACACCCTATGCCTTTTATTGAGTACAACTTTCTTGATTTGTCACTAGGTCGCGCTGCAATCGAAATGTTGATTGTCAAACAGAAGAAGAATATGTGTATATTAAATTATAACCTCAAAAGTATTGTGAAATAGTTGACACTTGCCTGCACACAATTGAGTGAAAGTAATATTTTTATTGATGCTGTAAATAATCAATCCTAACAATTGAAAATTTAAACGATCTTTCATAATTCTTTGTTCAATACTTTAGCAGGTAATAAACTTATTTTATATGTGAAATATGAGGTTGGAATAATGTAAACAATCAGTATTGGAGCATTTCTAAAAATTGTTTTTCTTATATAAGAATTTATTCTTACAGAATGGGTGAACGTTATAATATTTACAGTCAATTAGAGCATCTTCAATCAAAATATATTGGGACAGGACATTCAGACACAACTAAATTCGAATGGCTCGTTAATCAAAACCGAGATTCATGCAGTTCATTCATGGGTCATTATGACCTTTTAAGTTATTTTGCCATAGCTGAGAATGAAACCAAAGCTAGAGTAAGATTTAACCTGATGGAAAAAATGTTACAGCCTTGTGGACCACCGCCTGAAAAACCAGAAGATTGAGACAATAAAAATATGATGTTTATTATGACTGATTATAAAATAATTACAATATAAAAATATTCATTTTCGAACATTCATTGAAATTATCCACATTGTTGATATAATATAACTTATAAGGTACAAAAATAATTCGATTATATTAGTTATTTATCCTCCTTCTCTTTTTCTTTTTCTTTTAGTGTTTTTATCACAGATTTAACAAGACATTGTTGCATAACCAAACATAAATCATTACTTGTTGATAATAAAATGTCCATAGTTGATTTAATTAAATTGAAATCAATATTTCCAACAAAATATAACTCTGATATTTGACTATGCTGAGGTAAACTAGCTTGTACTATGATTCCATGATTTTCTGATTTATATGAAGCTGAAGGGAATGTATTACACAGTAATTCTTCTTCAATTGTTGGATCTAAGAAAACCGTGTCCGCAAATACACCCTACACATGATAAAATAATTGTTACTTTGATAATTTATTCTTAACAATGTATGTATATATCAGTGAATTGTAAAATTTCACTACTCACTGCAGTAACAGCTGTCACAAGACCAAACATTGAAATACTAGCGTTAGCAAGAGCTAAACTAGCAGCAGTAATAGCTGCTCCTAAACAAGAACCTCCATTATCTAAAACTAGAACGTAAATGTCCACTTGAAAATTAGGAAACTCGTGCTGGAAAAAATAAATTATTGGAAACATTAACACAAGCCACTATATTATAATAAAGAAAAAGAGAGTGATTTAAATGTAGTCTAAGAAAACTAGAATTGATGATTTATTATTACCCGACAAACTGCAGGTTCCAAAGATCTTTGCATTATCAAACTGTATTCTTTTTCTTCTGCATCTTGTTGATGTATTCTTCTTTTCTCACAGGAAAAAGGTGCATATTTGAATTCACAATAAAGACTTCCTTGTTGGCTATAGCTGGTTTTATTTGGTATTTCACGTGGATCAAACACTGAACAGACCAATTTAGTTTTTCCTAGTTCAATGTAAGCTGATCCTTTCGCTTGACTTACGATTCCTGTTTTAGCAACTAAAAATAGAATAAAAATTGATAAAAGTTATGTATAACTGAAATTAAATTGTTTAATTTAAAAAAAAAATAAAAGAGTAAAATTTAGAAGAATTAAAAATAACCTTACACATTTTTCTAGTTTCATTGAACGCTCTTCCATCAGCTCGCCGCTTTAAGTAATTTTCTGGATTTTCTTTTGTTTGATTATTAGCATCAAAAAAAAGTTGATAAGGTATTGTTACCTCTGGTCCATTAACTCGTTTATGATCCGGCATTTTTTGGACTTTAAATTATTATAAATATCAATTGTAAACAAGTTTACACATTTATTTGAGAAGCCGGTTCTGAGATACAACTATAGACATCTAGTGACGGTTATGTATTTTTATTCTTTAGAGAGTTTTCGTATTTCTTGTTATTATTTTTTACCTGTAAGAAATTGATGATTAGTTAAAGTGACATATTAGAAAAATGATTTTTAAATATCTTATCAAAAGCAGTGCATTTTTTGTGTATGGTATAGCAGTTTTTTTATTTATTCATTTTCTCAACATTTCATATGTGGCAGATATTTGGATAGATTGGTTCTTGAATGACTTGAAAAGTGATGAAACATATGACTTTATTATTGGTAAATAGATTTTTAGAATATTAATTATTGGTCAAACGAATAATGTATATCTTAATTTTATTAAACAATAGTTAAAATTATTTTTAGCATTAAACAATTTAAACTGTAAGAATATGTGTACAAATATGTATATGTTGTAGTTGGAGCTGGAAGTGCTGGTGTAACAGTTGCATATAATTTAATCAATGCTGGATATAAAATAGCATTAATAGAAGCTGGAGGTGCTCCTCCTTGGTTTGCTGATATTCCAGTTTTAGCACCTTTGTTTCAGCAATCACCTTATGACTGGCAATTTAAAACAATTCCACAAGCTTACGCATGCAAAGGTCTAACTAATAATGTATGTCATAAAATGAAAATTTATTATTCAATAAAAGTTTTAAACTTTCCAGAGTAATAATCTTTTAATCTCCTATTGCAGCAAAGCATTTGGCCAATGGGAAAAATTTTAGGGGGTTCAAGTCGGTTAAATTACATGGCTTATGTTCAAGGACATCCAAGTGATTACCAAGGATGGTTCCCTGATTATACCAGTCAGTATGTATTCATTTTTACTATGCTGATATATTTCGATTAATTTATTGTTATGTGGAACTAACTTGTGGTTTTAGATTACACAGATAAATTGAAAAATTTCATCTCTGAAAATCCTGGATGGTGTTCAGAATTATGTGATGCAATTTTAGGAGGTATTGAAGAACTTTCTCAGCTTAAATTTTCCTCACAAAATGACGAAAATGAGGATATCTTAGACTTTGAGAAAGTCAAATTGACAATGATTAATGGGCAAAGGTGGAGTACAGATAAATTGTTATCAAACAAGAATAGTAATGATATAAAAGTCATAACCCACGCATACGTTGAAAAGGTATTTCCTCAATGCAATAACAATTATAGTAAATTTTATTCTTCTACGAGAAATGAGTAATTGTAAATATTGCAGATATTATTTGAATCAAATATAGCTAAAGGAGTAAAATTTACAAAATGGAAAAAACAGTTTAATCTCTTTGCTAATGAAGGCGTAATTTTGAGTGCTGGTACAATTGGAAGTCCTAAACTACTGATGCTTTCGGGAATAGGACCCAAACATGATCTACAAAAATTAAATGTAATTAAATACAATAAGATTCTTTGTCAGTACGGTAATTTGAAATCCTGTTTTTATTGTTTAGATAAATGTCATTCGTGATTTGCCAGTAGGAAAAAATTTAATGGATCACATACTCACTGGAATTGACTTGGTAATATTGAATAGTAGTCTATCAGTTAGCCTACCTCAACTTCTTCAACCTAAATCAATAATTGATTATTTTCTATTTCATCAAGGTATAATTAATGATAGCCATTTTTGTTTATCTGACATAAAAATTAGTAATATTTATAATTTTGTAATATTTTTAGGTTCTTGGACTTCTGCTGGAATTGAAATTGTAGGGACCATTAGTAAAGCCAACAAACATTTTTCTATTCCACCGAATATTCAATTCATGATTATACCAGTAGGAGTATCACAAGATAATGGAGTTGTATTGAGAAAAGCAATGGGGATCAAAGATGAAGTAAACTAATAATAATATTTTTTTATTTAAACCAGTAGCAAAAAGTATTTAATGTTTAATCAAGTAATATAATAATTTTATCAGTTATTTCAAGATTATTTTGCACCACTTTCTCATCAAACAGCAATTACTATTGCACCTGTTTTATTGCATCCTGAAAGTCTTGGAGAAGTCAGATTAAAAAGTTCGGATCCTTTTGATGACCCCATTATCGATCCGCGATATTTATCGCATAATAACGATATATTGACATTAATTGAAGGTAATAATTAATTTTATACATCAAAATATTTATTTCATGTTAATTTCATAAAATAGTCGAACAATAATCGTTTATAATACATGTTAGGTACAAAATTTATTAAAAAATTGATAAATACTAACGCCATGAAGGCTTTAGGAGCTTCTTTATACAATAAATCTTTGCCAGGCTGCGAAAGTAATATTTTTGGTAGTTCTGAATATTGGGAATGTTACATACGTCATATAACATTGACGTCGTATCATCCAGTCGGTACTTGTAAGATGAGAAGTGTTGTGGATGATTCATTCAGGTATTATTTTTTACATAAATTTTATGTAATTAAAAAAGATAATTCACTATGTACATATTTTTCATTTTCACACATTTACATGGCAATATTATTTTCTATACAATACGAAAATTAAGTCAATTTTTTATTCCAGAGTTTTATCAACCAAAAAACTATACGTTATTGATGCTTCTGTGATGCCTAAATTACCAAGTGGAAATATAAACGCAGCAGTTATTATGCTTGCAAATAAAGCAGCAAGTTCAATCATTAATTCAAGAGTACGCAAAAACAATAAATTATTGTATTTCGGAAAATCTTGTAAGAATAGTATAACCGAAATGTTTCTACCAGATTCAAGTCACAAAAATGTATGTAAAATGGTGCCAAATGACTATTATTAATGGACCGAAATGGTAATTAGAAAAATAAATTTTTTTTAATTTTTCCAAACAGTTGAATCATAACTTTATCGATTTTTTCGTTTATTTCGACTGTGATGGTGGTGTGATCTATGATTTTTATGTTCTTTGTGATCTTTATATTCTTTATGGTCTTTATGTTCTTTATGATCTTTATGGTCTCTGTGATTTTTTTGATGATGATCATAATGATCACGATTACGGTTTCTAGCTCTTTGATGATTATCTTCACGATTATATGGGTGATTACGTTCGACACGTCTATGATGAAAATTAGGACCGAAATTAGAATCTAATTGACTAGGATAAAATCCTGCACCAGGTGGAATAAGCATGGGAATTAAATTTTGTTGAACGTTAAACATGTGATTATTCAATAATTGACCATACTGCAAAATTGAATTAGGATCAGGAATGTTTGATTTCCACGATGGCTGCGGAATTTTCCAATCCGAATTTTGACGGGCTTTTAAAGTCAAAACACGATTATATAACATTGTACCTTCGAAAAGTTTTAGGGCATATTGAACGGAAACTTCGTGTTTATAAGTAACAAATCCAAATGATTTTATTGTTCCATCTGCATTTTTTGGAATATTTACTTTTTCCAACGGCCCAGCCTAAAAATTTATATTAATAAATTAAATAACAAATAAATTCAATAAAAGAAAATTAAATTATAAAATTAGAAGAATTACATCAAATCAAGATACGCGTTAAACTATTACCTGTAAAAACAGCTCATGTAAAATATCTTCAGTACATTTACTACTAAGATTTCCACACCAAATAGTTCGTGCATCTTCATCCATTTCTCATAACAAAAACTATTATGTATCGTCTAAATATAATTCAATAATTTTTATTGTTTAACTTTATTTATATTTACTTTTTCATTCGAACAATATGGCATTTACAGGCATAGACAATGAATATACAAAGATTGGAAGAGAAAGAATGAAAACGATTGTGTATAATTGGTGTTATTTAGAACTTCTGTTAAATAGCCGATAGGTGTCACTGGTTGTAATTTATCGCGGTTGGACCTTCGAAAATATTTATGCAGATCATTAATTTGGATACAGAAGTAGAAAATATAATTATTTGAGTGTTATTTTTTTAAAATTTTCATCATGAATGAAACTGAAACAATTCAAGATTTTGTACAGAAAATTTGTTTAAATTTACTTGACCATTCCACCGTAATTACGGATAATAATGAAACAAGTATGAAATAGAGTGAAATGAATGATTACTATAGCTTTAAATATTCTGAACTGATTAATTATTTTTTAATGTATTACAGAATTAATTCGACAAAGGAAGTTATTAAATAGATCACCAGTTTTTGATGATTTAAATTATGAATATAATTCACTTAAGACAAAAAAAAGTTTTGATCACAATGTTATTCATGAACCTGAATTGTTCAATGAACCTCAATTTGAACTGATCGAATCAGATTCAGAATCAGACTTTAATTCTGAAGCATTTATGTTTCAAATGTTTACATGGTTAAAAACCATAATTCGAACATCAAATAATATTTCCTCCAGTAGTATTCACAGAGTTTTGGAGAATTTCTTGAAGATGGTTCCAGGACAATTTTCTCAATTAGCTTCAAGTGGAGTACAAAATAAAGTTCAAAAGAACATTACAGCATTTGATTCTGGAATAAATGACATAGAAGATACAGAAGTCGTTTATGATTCTCAGATTGTATTACAAAAAACACCTTTTGTAACAACAAAGTCACGTTTACCAGAGGTAGATGTAGAAGCAAGTCAAATAAGCAACCCAATAAGCTTTTGTGATGATTTTAAATCTATTGATGATCATTGTCCACGAAAAAAACTTAAAAAGCTAGAAGAATGTATTTCTACTGAATCTATTGAATTTATTTTAAACAAATATCAGATAGATCATTTTTGTTATGGAATAATGTTAAAGATTGTTGGTGGTTTAAGTAACGATAAAGTACCTAAAAGACTGTATCAAAAAGAAAGTGTTTATCAAATCATACGTACAATTATAAATTATATGAATGTTCTCAGCAAAGAAAATAATCAACTTATAAATATTTATGTTAATCCAATCGTTAAATTAATAACAAAGGTGTTTGATTTCTCATCTTTTGAGCATTTTGAAGTATGTATTTAAAGATTTTATATTAACTGAACTGACTAATATACTCTTAAAAAAATTATTTGATTCTTACATTAATTACTAAAAGATATTCTATGTTTAGGTTCATGATCGAGAAGCATTCATGATATTCATTCTTAACTTTTGTGATTGCAAACAAGTATGTGTACTAGTAATTAACTTTCTAATAGAAGAACTTCAACAATTAATTACTTCGAGAAATACCAATGAGAAGAGGAAAAATGATTATTCTCTTTCAGATAAAATTAAAGAATCTCTTTTATTACAAAGTTTAGAAATAACGATCAAGAAGTATTATACAATGAAATTAATTAATTCTGGAAAAAGTAAATTATCGATTCCTCATCCAGTTAACCAATGGCAAAAACAGTTTAGATTTTTTCTCCCATCAAATGAAGAAAGCCTTCTTGAAGATGATTATACTTTGATTTGGATGAATAATCTTACAAATTTGATGAAAATAGAGTTTAATAATTCTTCTAATAGTGTAGAATATATAGATGAATTGATAAATATTTTATCAGGCTTAGTAAAGTGAAAATATCAAGTTTTGGAGTTTTTTAAAAATCTCAGTTGGCTAGATCATGCTCTGGTATACCGATATAACAATGTCAGTATCAAAAGAATAACTGATAATGATGAAGCAAGATGATGTTAGTTGTATCAATGAAAATACCATGTCAGAAGTGAACATCTGTTTCTCTTCTTTGGAGTAATTCTCAGTCGCAACGTCAACACGAGTTGTATCTTATTATAATACGGCATCAGTTGTGATAACAACCCCGGTGACACTTGAAAGTTTAACCGTTAATTTACATCTGGTGTTGACAAAAAGTGGAGCCTCAATCCTTTTAACTCTAACAATTTTATAATAAATGAAATTTATTAATAATTAAAAAATAGTTGTTTTTTCCATTTACACCATGAAATAATTGAGAATAATTATAATTAATATATATCAACAATAATAAATTATTTTTATTTATAAGTTAAAATTTTTCATTAGTAAAATGTATCGACCCTCATTGACGTTGATAATCTCTGGTTTATTTGTTGCATGTATTATTCATTCAATATATAATATATCATTATTATTTACTGCTCCATCATGTGAAATTGGTGAACGTTGTTTATATTCGTATCTTGAACATAATCCCAAATTACAGCTACATCTTTTTATTTCTCCTACAAGTAAACCAGTCTCTAGTGAAGTTTCATCAATTTATTCAACATTAAATTTTAATTATACGATTCCACAGACAATGTAAGTAGCAAATATATTATATTCTTCGTTCAAAGTTTAATTTGTCCTATTTTCTTTTTAGACCTTTGAAGATAGATATTCCCGCAAAAACTCGTCAAAATGGAACATTGTTTCTACATATTATCGTTTTACCAAATAGTCCAGATATGAGTAATACATTTAATGAATTATTAAGGGTAATTTTGTAAATAAAGACTATTAAGAAAAAAAATGTACCTGTGAATAAACTTCAGAAAGCATATTTTTGTTTCAGAATCCATACACAGTTTATACACGGGTTAAAATGACGCAATTTGCTGTTCCTGAAGCAGAAACTTTTAATCTTCTGGGTGAAAAAAAAACTTCAGAAACTTCATCAACAAAGCGAGCACTCTTTCAACCAATTACTCACTTAAGAACTCAAATTACCTTTACAATAGTTACTGATACAAAAGAAATACCAGTTAAAAATATTCCAATGGAAATAATCCCAGTACTAAGGTAATTTATCTACATTTAATATTATAAAGTTTATTCAATAAATTAATGAGTATTACAATCGATCAAATAATATTTTCATTGTAGACTTCATGACGAACGTGTATTTCTTCCAATTGTTAATTATGATTTCCTTCAAACTCGTTACAAAAGTCTTGCAAAAATAACAAGTGAAAATCATTCTATGGATGTGCAAATAATGTATACACCAATTTCTATGGGAAAATTACGATTAATGTTACATGTAAAATCAGCCATGGAAGGATTAAAGTATATGGGATTTACTGATAAAGATGTCGATGAAGTTAAGGGTATTTATGCTGATACAAATGCTTATCTATTAGCTGGTACAGTCTTTATTGCTTCAATGCACGTAAGTACTCAAATTATAAAATAATAACTCCATTACTTACTAATTAATATTAATTCTTTACATATAACTCTCATTGAAATCAATTTCAGATTTTATTTGACTTCTTAGCATTCAAAAGTGACATTAATTTTTGGAGAAGTAAAGGCAGCTTTGAAGGTTTAAGTGTTTCTACAATTGTTTGGAGGGCATTTAGTCAAGCTATTATATTTTTATATCTTCTTGACGAAGGTTCTTCCTTACTCATAATAATCCCTGCTGGTATTGGAACACTAATTGAGGTTTTTATAAAATAGTCATAATAATTTGAAACAAATGATCAAACTTTATAAAAATTACATATAAATAATTTTTTACAGTTATGGAAAACAAAAAAAGTACTGCGATTGGAAATAACGAGAAGTAAAGGAGTAATACCAAGGATTAGAATACAAAAAAATAATAAAAACCGTGAAATGGAATCAAAAACACGTCAGTTTGATGCAGAGAGCATGAAATATTTAACTTATTTACTATATCCTCTTGTTATTTGTGGTGCTATTTACTCATTGCTATATCGACCACACAAAAGGTATTGTTTATTATTCTATTGTTCAATTAATCGATTTTGAGAAATAACTATAAAACAAATAATAATTTCTATTTGTAGTTGGTACTCATGGAGTATAAATTCACTAGTTAATGGCGTTTATGCATTTGGCTTCCTCTTCATGTTACCTCAATTATTTGTTAACTATAAACTGAAATCAGTAGCTCATCTTCCATGGAAAGCATTTATGTACAAAGCATTTAATACATTTATTGATGATGTGTTTGCATTTATAATAACAATGCCTGTAGCTCATAGAGTTGCGTGTTTCCGAGATGACATTGTTTTTCTTATCTATTTATATCAACGATGGTAAGTAGTAAATTATTAGTCAAAATTATTGCATTTACTGTTTTTTTTTTAATATTTATAATTTGATGTTTATTTTTTTTACAGGTTGTATCCTGTTGATAAAAGTCGTAAGGATACAATGACAATCTCAGAAGATATGAGTTCAACTATTGAAGAAAACACGACTGATAAAAAGGAAAATTAATAGGCAAAATTAATAAGAAAATATTAATAGAATTTTTAAAATAGGATAATAATTCATATTTATCAATTTTAATATTTACACTGAAAGATTTTTTTAATGATATACAATTTATGTTATTTCTCTGTTAAACAACTGTAGTTTGATCAAGCTCACCTTGTGGCACGATTGTTGTGGAAACTGGCCTTTCAGAAAGACAACGAATTTGTAATTGCATTGTTGATGTAACTTTTGTTAGAAGAGCTTGAATTTTTAAAGCGTCAGACTCACCATGACGTGGTAAAGGAATCGCATCTAAAGCTTCCTCGAAGAAGTTTCTATTTGAAATGAATAAATAAAACCAATTAGAAAAGTTTTTCAATAAATTAAAAAAAAAATGATTAATTTATAAAGATATAAAGATAGAAATACTAACTTTGCTCGAGGCGTGCTGTAAACAGCTAAGGCGTCTCTCAATAAGATTATGTCTGCACGTGCTTGAATAATTCCAGATGGTCCGAATTTTCTAACGCACGACATTAACCGTGCCAATTCTTCAGCAATAGTTTCTACAATATGTGATAACACTCGTTTTAGTAATCCAGGAGAAACTCTGGTGACTTCTGCATGAACTGCGATGAGATTCGCTAAAGCTTCTTGAGCGTATGGTCGAATGTGTGATGGTTCAATTTCTGAATCCCATTCTAGGCTTCCTAAATACATACTTGGTTCGATTGTTCCTACAAGAGGATCACATCGCCTCTCAAGATAAGCATCAAGAACTGCTGTATCTAAAGATTCTAACTGAGTCCAATCATTTGTCCATCCTTCAGCTTGTGACAAATCTGGGTATCCTTGAGCTTTCAAATTAGTTTTTACTCTTGGTAAAACAATGTTTAAAGTATAACGAATATTACTGAGTGATATCAATAAACATTTTTCCCATGTTGGAGCAGTTAAACCTCTATGTTTATTGTCTCGACTTTTATAACATGCTGGAGACCCCACTAGTTGTGAAACTGAAGGATCATCTTCATCTGCAGCTTCTTCACTACCACTGAAAGCCAATTGTTTTAAACATCTTGTAAAAGCTAGAAATAATGCCTTTACGGCATTATGATACAAAACTTGTTGAGTAGGACTTTCTAAAAGAGGAGCTTCTCTTGGACCACAGGCTATTGCAGTTTCTTTGGCTAATTCTGAAACTTCCATTACTATTTTCTCAAACATACCAGGAAGCTTGGTAATGCCTCCATCTTCATTAGGAAGGTATTCTAATTGCCAGGTTTCATTTTTTTGTAATCCACTAATATTTTCAGCAGTTTGTTTAAATAGAGTTAACAAACATTGTAGCCGTAAGTCAAATAAAAATTTTCCAAAAATATCTAGAGCATCACTTGGTAAATCTAAATGAATAAGAGCTGCATACATTTGTCGAATACATCGAAGACTATGAAGTAACCAAGCTGGTGTTAAATGAGAGCCACAGGATTCTCTCATAGCATCACTAGCATTTTGGATACATGATAATACTAAATTTTTAAATGATACTTGTTTTTCAGCATCTACTGCTACATGTAATTGACCAGTAAAGTAACTTTGACCGAGTCTCCATAAGTCAGGAAGTTGTTCAGCAACAACATCACAAATAGCTTCTATACAAAGAACTCGTGATGGTACATTGCAATTAGCATCAGATTTATAAAATTTATGCCGTTCTGCGGATATTGGAGTATTATTATTGGACTTATATCCTTTATTTAAATCATCTGTAGCACCATCAGATCCAAAATAGTCCTGAAGACAGCTTGATATATTTTTATCTAAATAAGATCCATGAGCCACAATTGCATCCCAAGCTGGATCACCTTCAGCGTCAAGATTTACTAAATTTCTTATTATTTTTTTCTGTGCTTCTATGGCAAATGGCGTCTCTTCTAATTTTTTTCTTAAAATATCTCTTAACAATTCTATTTTTCGTTCAATTTCTTCTAATACTTTTTTAAATATTGCTATTTCTGTATTACCAAAAAGATTCTTCACTCGAGCATAATCATTTATTATCAGATCATAATTTCCACGTTTTATATTTTTCTCTATATTGACAGGCATACAAAATAAAAATTTGTATCGTTGCATCAAAGAAAGAGCACTTCTTGTTGCATCTGCTCTATCTCTTCTAGCCAATACATCATCAAAAAGTTTATTAGCTTCAGCCATTGATGTTTTAATTGCTTCTTCTAATTTGGCAGTCGGGTTTTCACCAAATTTTTTAACATCTTGTTCATACTGTTCTTTTAAAAAGACAATTGTGTCTAACTGTTCCATTACTGCACCTACATTAGCTTTTAAAAAAGATAGTTGTCCTTCTTTCTGGGAATCAACTTTACGTTCTATATGTTTTAAACCAGCTCTTAAGTCATTAAAGGTTGTTGCATGATGATGTTGCAGTAAAAACCAGCCGGGATGAAATTTTTCACTCGTGAGTTCTCCATTACTTTCGCCAAATAATTCACAGAGTTCATCTTCTGGAAATTTTTTACTATCATTTCCTTCTACACTCAGGCCTAAAGGATCTTCTTGTTGATAGTTTGTTGGGGAGAGAGCTCGACGTCCCCAAACAAAGTTTTGTACTGGTGCTTCTTCAACCCACACTGCTGATTCTTTCATTGGTCCTATTGTTTCATAATATCCACGAAATTGAACGGTTGAAGTTCCTTGACCACCACTTCTTGTAGTGACTATAATATCTCCTCTTCCTTTACAGGGACCTGATCTTGCAATTATTTTGTTGGGAGATTTCCATTCAGCAGATAATAAACAATCACACTCACAAATAGTTAATCCTGAATACAAGTAATATGTGTCAACGAATTATGAATAATATAAACAATTTAAAAATAACATAATTCTTACCGATTAGATCTTGAGCTCGAATACCTAAAAATTCACCTCTTAAAGTTACTCTAGTACCTGGAGGTCCTTCTTTTGGTGAAATACCTGTTACTACTGGAGGAGGTCCCATTTTTTAATGATGATATTATAACAAGATTCGAACAAAATTAATCAATTGAAAAAAAGGCTCTTATAAATATTATAGATAAACAATAATTAACAACAAAATTTTTCTTTATTCTTTAATTATTAGAGTACTTATTACATAAATAAGAACACTCATTTTTTGACAGATAGAAATGAATTTAAGGTTAAGGCTGGGTTCAATTCAAAAGTTTCCCGAAGTTGACTTTACGCCCTCGCGTTGTGCGGTAGAAGGCCGAAGCTCAATGTCAACTGAAATTGAGTAGGTAACAAGAAAATCGTTTGAAAAATGATAAGTTAACTTAGGGAAACTTTTTGACTTGAGCTTTGCTTCAAGAAAATATCAACACAGAAAAAATGTAATTTATTGGTAATAGGCATTACTAGGGTTACAACAGAGAGAAATATAAAAAACGATGATAATTCTACTAAGAAGTTTATTTAATAAGTTGATAACATAACATGCTAATCTGGATTTTTTGAAATTCTATAAGTAGTTTATATAAGTATAATTATTATGAGTTTTATTCATATTTAATCACAAATTTTTTAATCATATTTCCAGTCATCTGGTAAAAAAGTTTCAACACCTGAAAGACTGTTACTTTGAACACTTTCAGGAGCAGTGTCAAGTGTCGGTAGCTGAATATAGCTAGAATCTAAACCATGAACAATTCCACGACTAATAGGCTTACTTGCTAGCACTTGAACAGGTATTGAAGAACTTGGTATCACTTGAATAGGAACTGAATGACTCGGTATCATTTGGAGTGGCACTTGGTTATTTGACATTATCTGTACGGGTACTTGATTGTTTGATAACATTTGCACAGGTATTTGGAATGGAATTCCTGATAATCCGGCACTCACAGAAAGACTAATCGGTTGTACAGATGAAGCTTGTTGTTGACTTTGAACGGGTTGTTGAACCAGATCTGGACGTGGTAAATGATGTATAGGAACTGGAGCAGGAGCCGGAGATGGTGGTGGTGGCGGTGGTACTGTAGGACTGGGAGCTGGTGGTCCATTCGTTGGTGCTGATCCAGATCCAAACAAAAGTCCTTGAGGAGCAATGAAGATAGGTACCGGAATTCCGATTTGACGAATTGGTGATGGTCGTTCAACTGGATATGGGATGATCTAAATCAAAGTTTTTTTTTCATGAAACAGTTTTTAAATAATCTCATTCGATTGATTTATTTGCAAATACCTTACCTGTGGTACTGCAACGGGTACAGATTTTTCTACTGTTACAGGAACAATTTTTTCAACAGGAACAGGTACGTGCACTTGCTTTTCAAGTACAACAGGTTGTCCAGGTACAGGCACTGGTTTTTCAACAATCACATGTTTTGTTAATACAACTGAGGGACTTGATATCGGTGGAGATGGTCGTGCACTTCCATATATTAAACTAAAAGTAAATAAATTAACTTTGAATTGATTGATAAGATAAAGATAAAAGAACTATTTAACTACTTACCCAGGACTCGAGTCATACAAATCGGATGTTATTTTAAGACTTTTCCAAGGATTTCTGCTTCGAGACCATGGATGACCGTATCCATAGCTAGATGTAGGTAAAGAGCTTGATATTCTAATATCACCAAACAAACTCCGTTTTTGTTTTACTTGATTGGATGACGTTCCAGAAACAATAATACAGCAGCCCAAAAAAACCTAGTCATTCGAACAGTTAAATATATTAAACAAGAAATTAACAAAAATAATGTGATACGTTTTCAAATCTTTAATTTTTTTTACCAAGATCTTAATCATCTTTCTAATCTGTCAGAACATGAGAGATCAACTGATCTGCAGTATGTTGAAAATCCTTTTTATATCTCCCGTGAAGAATTCCAATAAGGACCAGAAATTTTTTATTTGGTTTTAAAAAGTAGAGGAACTTGTATGTATCAAGCAAATAGGAAAAAGAGAAAAGAAGTGGCTCGTTAATCATTAATTGAACAAGTCAAGATCTCTACTAATCCAAAAATTAAGAATCAAGATATTAAAAGAATGTGATTAAACGTGTTTAGTAGTAATGACCTTCTATTGAAGAATAATTTGATACAAATACTTTTACATAATTTTTACTTCTTCATAAAAATTCTACTACAAAAAAATTTACATCCAGTAGTCTTCATATTTTAACTACATAGTGTGTAAATTATTAGCATATATAATAAGCTACGTATATTTTTTGTCACTGACCTACTTCTTATGTTATTATTCATCTATCGTCACCAACAACTTCCGGTGAAATGAATTCCTTCAAGTAAAATCTTAATTTATTGAACAATTATTAGATATTATTTGAAAAATGTTATTTTATTTAACAAAGAAGAGAATAAAAATTTAAAGTAAAAATTTATTAAATATGACTCATAAAATTGTTTATTGATTTAGAGTAATTATTTATGATAGCCTACTTTACATGAAATCGAACGAAGAAATATATAAACGGCTTATTTATATTTTCAAGAAACAAACATAGATAGTTTATAAAAAAAATTCAGTTTGCTAATTAATTATTATTCATCTATTTCAATAAACAAGAGAAACATGTCTAGAATGTCATAAGATGGAAAACAAAAGTGACTTATACAGCTCAACTTCTAGTTGAAGATAGATTGCTTAATTATCAAGTATGAAAAATAGTCCAGTAATTAACTTAAAACCAGTTCGATCATGGATTGATGTATTTGCGTTTCCATTCCCGGAAGTATCTCCTTGTATGCTTAATATAAGCAGGTACTTACGTTTCCATATCACTAGCTTTCCCAACTTTCATTTTCTAATGTGATTCTTCTTCTTATGCTTTTAGTAGAACTCGAGCTTCTAGTTTACGTGCTATGTATCATTAATTATTTGTTGCACTTGTCCGAGTAAGCATAATCGTTTTTCACAATGCTACTTTGCCGTATGAAGATATTATCATAATGGATTAACAGCAATTATGATGTTTATAAGAAGTACAAAAAACTACTCCAGTGATAATTATTTCATATATCAAACTTATTGAAGAATTTACACTTGACTGTCATTCATTGTTATGCATTTGACGTACTTTCTTGAATCAACTTTGAAACTACTTAAGAAGTGTAAGTTACCCTTTATTGATTTTATAATATAAAACATCATTAAAATATAATGAATTTGATTCATTTGATTGCTTTATTATTCAAAATACCACAACATTAGATTATTATCAAATACATGACTTGCAACACTTAATTATTTAATTATTGAGGTCACTTAATTATAGGTTAAGTGTTTAAATTGCAAAAAGGAATGTTCCTTATTTAGTAATCAACGTAAGACAGTTTATGGAACTAGGAAGAAAACACGTCACGATTTTGGCCCTCGCCCAACGTTAGAAGTAGCGAAAGTTATTCTTCAACAATAGATAAATGCGTATGTGAAGCTCACACTTGATTGATTGACAATATATTCCTGATAGCCCATGTGACAATTGATGGTCTATAAATACTTATGGGGGTCACAATGCCAATCATGTTCAGTTTTTAGTTGACTTCCACTACGATGACAAGTTTCACTGCTGTCATGAAGTTGTTTTTGGTACCCACTTATATATCTTTTAGTGATTGATATTTTTTATAAACTGTCTAATTTATCAAAATCTGTAGAAGTGACTCAGTTACATATAACTTTGAATTATTGTTGTCAGGTTTTGATTTCTTGTTTGACCATTTCATCAGCTATAAGAGTGGATACTGGTACAAATAACTCAAGAATAGTCAAGAAACATGGAAAGAGAGGTGTGTTGAATTTGGGCTATGGATTACCACAGCAAGATCAATATCAGCATCATCCTTCTCACGTTTACGGACCACCGGAAGAGCCAGCACCTATTTCTGAACATCCCTTACATGATCAGCATTTCCCAATTCCTCAAGAACAACATCAAAATCATGTAATTTATCAACCTCAGCCTCAGCCTATTCACCATCCACTTGGTAAGTACTTAAACTCTAATGAACTTGATAGAAAAAATGTTTTTTATTACCTTTTATTTCATTAGTAGCAGCAGTTCCTCAACCAGTAGCAGTAGCACCCCCCGTGGCAGTTCCTCATCCAGTTCCAGTACCTCATCCGGTTGCAGTGCCTCAACCAGTCCCGGTAGCAGTTCCAGTTGTTCAAACAGTCACAAAACATGTAGGTGTTCCTGTACCAGTTCACATTGATCGTCCAGTACCTGTTCCTGTCGCAGTTCCAGTGCCTAAACCATATCCAGTGCATATTGAAAAGATTGTCCACGTAGATCGACCAATTCCTGTACCTGTAGAAAAACATATTCATGTTCCAGTTCATGTAGATCGTCCAGTTGCAGTTCCTGTACCAAAACCATATCCTGTAACTGTTGAAAAGCTTGTACCTGTAAGTAAACCTTATCCAGTTCATGTTGCTGTACCTGTACAGATTCCTAAGCCTTACCCTGTACCAGTTGCAATTCATTACAAACATGGATGGTAAATTAAAAGTATCTATCAATTGTTAATATGCTTTGTTAAATTATTAATAATTATTGAATATATGTTATTTCATTTAAAAAATAAGTATGTTTACGATATTCCAATTTTATTTATATAAAATTCGATAAAAATAAAATTAAATATTTTATTAAAAAAATAGACAATTTATGAATAATTATTTCTAAATATATCAAGATTAATTATAATGTTTGTTTAACTTATAAAGTTCTTCTGCAACTGTTTTGGATTTGTAAAGTGAATCAAACATCATGCATATAGTTGTAACTTGATGTAGACTAATTATTTTACCAATAACTGTATAACCAATTGAGTGTTAAACTTGAAAATATTCAGGTGTGAAGGTCTATAAGTGCATAACGATTGCTGTCCAATGGGGTGCGACCTCGTAACTATCAGCGGGTGTCGAAGGTTGTACGCTTCCTGGCTGGCGTGGGAATGTCACACCTCAACATCGTCTACTTGCAATATGACGACACCTTTCAAATAAATCACTAAAATATTTATAAATTATAAAGCTCGCATAATAATTTTATCAATAAGACGCATGATTTTTTAAAATTTCCATGCACTTTCACCATGAAAAACAGTTACAATGTCTTGCTATTTACTACGTAAGATTCACATTGTATTGACACCTGATTAAGTTCATCTATATGTCGAGCTATTATTATAAACCTATGGCTTATTCATCAGTTGCCCTCGGTTGCAAAAATCAAGTGTGATACTGCATAAGTCTGACACCTCAACCTACAATTCGCTCTCTATGTTGAATATGCAATAATCATATCAATTGAAAAGTATGATATGTCATTTTTATATGATTTAATAAGTTACTTATTGCTATTATTTTTTGCCTTTTTTATTCAATTATTCAACCACCTTGCGAATTTTTCTTTAATCTAACAGATATCATAACTTTTTTAATTTTCTTCCGTGAAAGCTCTGTATCATCAAACAAGTTTTTTTATCACTCGAATGAACAGAAAAGTTAGAAAAAATTTCTTAAAGCTGATAATATTGATAAGTGAGATATAAGAATTTAGCTAAAAAATATCAAAGGACTTTGATTCATCAAGCTCACGTGGTGATAATAGTGAGGAATAAAATTAACAAGCATTTTTTAAGTGGAATTTTTCATACTTTTTTATGAATAATGATAGAGAATAATTGCTCATTAGTTTAGTATATAATTTATGGAAAAAATAATATATCAAACGTAGATATTATTTATTTGACACGTCTTGAACACCAAGTGCGCAACTGCAAATGAAGCGATCAAGAATTCTTCAAGTGGGGTACGTGTAATATTGGTTCATGTATATGCAGATTCCTCACGACAGTGCATTTTCAAAAGTCCACTCAAGTGCCTCAGATTCATTCTATTTCCTGGACTTTTGAAAATCATTTTCACGTATGAATTATTAAAAATTATATTTAATTCAACAAAAAAGTGATCAAATTCAGTTCTAATTATTTCTAAACAAAAATTGGTTTATTTTATTTAATTGTTTGAATTTAATCAAAGGATAATTACCAAAAATACACACTCAATATGTTGTTACATATGAAAGTTGGTATTGCTGGAAGTATTCTCTTCTTCTTGGGGTTCTTATTATTCAGCGCCTTTCCACCATTTCTTAAAAGCCAAGTCAAAAAGGTATGTTCATCTAATTTCTACAACTTGTTATTCACTTTTCAACATTTAAGATTTGAAAAATTTTTCTAATTGAAATTTTATTCTATAAACTAAGTCCAGCTATCAAACACTATAACTATGATTTTTATTTAACGTTTTAAAAACTACAAAGCCGCGACAATTTGTTTTCTATTTTTTCATTAACATGACGTAATAGGTTGATCAAGGTATCAACATTGGTAATTATCAATTTAATAATCACGCAAATGAAAATAATATTTATAGCATCATAAATATACTTTTTTTTCACTCCAATTTTCCACCTGACAATTATTTGATTCATCTGCATCTAATTTTGTAACGCATAAAGAAACAACTACAGTTTTGACTGACTTAATTAACATACGAGACTTTGATTTAATGATTGGTTTGATGATGACGAGTGACACGACATCACGATTTGCTTCAGAACACTCATGTTCGCATGATGATACCTAATGTTTCCCTGGTTGTTTTTACGGCAAATATATTTTTCATATTATTTAACATAGAAAAAAAAAATAATTCACTTGCTACCTATTTGAAAAGAATATCAGACAGATTCTAATTATATTCTTTTTTATCATTCTTTTTCCGTTGTTTTTTTCTTTTCTGATTTCATTTATTCGCAAAGAATAACATTATCACATATCAGTTAATGATTAGCAAAATTGCGAGTGAAAAAAATACTTCAATCTTACTAAATAATGAATGATTTTGTATTAATCTATCAAACAAATCTCTAGATAATGATTAAATCATGATAAGTAAAATGAATTTTTTGATTGTGTTTCCATCACTCTTAATCACTATCCTAGTTGACCTTGCTCTTTTGTTCATAATGATCGCTTACTTGTAATTAATGCTTGCTATTTTTCAATTATGCATAAAATTTTAATAGGCAGTACGACTAAAAAAAGGAGAAGATATAAGAGATATGTGGGAAAAAACACCTTTTCCATTAGACTTTAGAATTTATTTATTCAATATTACAAATGCTGATCAAATCAAGACTGGAGCTAAACCCATTGTCCAAGAAGTTGGTCCATTTTTTTATGAGTAAGTAATTAATAAAAAAAAAAGACTAATTATTTCAAACAAATAAATATAAAAGGTAGTTCTGATAATTAATAAATTTTTAAAATTTACAAGTGAGTGGAAAGAAAAGGTAGATTGTGATGATAATGATGCTGATGATACAGTAGAATACAGTAACAAAGCCACATGGATTTTTAATCCTGGTAAAAGTGCTCCAGGTCTTACTGAAGATGTTGAATTAGTCTTACCTCATATAATGATTCTTGGAATGATATTGACTACTGTGAGAGAAAAACCTGGAATGGTTGGTCTAGCAGGTAAAAACAGTGTTTCTCATAATTATAAAAAAAATCTAATTATTATGATTATTCACCTTGATTGTTTTAATGGTTTTGTTTTTACTATATAGCCAAAGCAATAGACAGCATTTTTCATAAACCTGATTCTATATTCATCAAAACAACAGCACGTCAAATTCTTTGGGACGGTTTGCCTGTTGATTGTTCGGTCAAAGATTTTGCAGGCAGTGCAGTCTGTTCACTTTTACGTGAAGATGATAGTGCATTAATCAAGGATGGTGAAAATTACAGATTTGCACTATTTGGTCATGTAAGTATTTAACAATATTTGTTTTAGATTCAAGTAAATAAGTATGCTATCATGATAACTGTTTTAATGTTGGTCTATTTCAAGTACCTCTATATCCTTGTACTATTGATTTTTATATGAAAACTTTCCTAGAAAATTAAGTTTCCTTTTCTAATTACCTTTACACTATCATTATCAAATATGTATACTGTTGACTAGAAAAATGGAACGGTTATTCCTGATCGGATAAAAGTCAAACGTGGAATAAAAAATTACTTGGACGTTGGAGTTGTCACTGAATTTAAGGGGGAACCAAAACTGAGTGTTTGGTCTGAAGAAGGAACTTGTAATGAATTTAATGGTACTGATTCCACCATATTTCATGCTTATCTTTATTCAAATGAAGATGTCGTGTCTTTTACTCCTGATTTGTGCCGGAGTCTTAGCACAAGATATCAAAGGCCTACAAAAATTAAAGGTATGTTTAAGGATTTTTAAATTTGTACTTTTTAATTAAATTGTATTCATTTTATAATTGAAAAAAAATTTTTTTTAATAAGGAATTAAAACCAATCGATATTCGGCTGATTTGGGAGATATGAGTAGTGACCCAGAGATCAAATGTTTATGTCCAGCACCTGATAAGTGTTTGAAAAAAGGATTATTTGATCTTTATCCTTGTATTAAAGCTCCTATTATTGCTACATTACCACATTTTTATCTCACGGCTGAAGAATACCTCACTCAAGTTGACGGTCTTAATCCTATGGAGGTAAACGAATGAGCTTTTATAAATAAAAACAGTAATATGTAGTTAATAAACAAGTGATTATTTTTAAATGTAAGCTGTAAGGAGTTCATAAATTATTACTGTTGATTTCAGGAAAAACATCAAATTTTTCTGGATTTTGAACCAATAACTGCAACTCCTCTTGCTGCTGGAAAAAGATTACAGTTCAATATGATGATATTTCCAATAGAAAAATTCAAGCTTATGAAGACATTCCCTACTGCTCTTTTACCGTTGTTTTGGGTGGAAGAAGGTCTTGTTCTTGGTGATGAATATGTTAAACAGTTGAAGGGTGTATTCAAAGTGTTCACAATAATAAAGTAAGATGAAAAAGGAATTTACTTAATTTTATATATTTATAAATAGTTTTTATATTTATGGAAATTAATGTAATTATAAATTTACAGGATCATGAAGTATTTGTTTTTGACTCTCGGCGTAGGATTATGTGGGGCAGCCGGTGGTTTATATTATAAATTCCAACAATCAGCACAAAAGCTTGATATTACAAAAATTACGCCAAAAGCTGCACCAAATACTAATGGACAAGAAAAGAAATGGCCAACATCGGTTAGCACTATTCAAACACCAACTGCTCCTCCAACAGTTGATGCTTAAACGTATCAAAGAATGGATGAATTAAATCAATTTTTATTTTTTAGAGGTTCAATTCATTTTTAAAGGGTTAGAATAAATTAAAAGTTTAATTGATTTTAACTATGACTTAATCATAATAACAAAATCAATTGAGCTGGACTTGATAATTTAGTAAATTAATATTTTTATTTCAATCATTTGTTTATCAATAAAATATTGCAATTTAAAAGTTATAAATAACTAGAATAATATCAATTATAAATGTATAAAAAATCGAAAAAGATTAATAAGAAAAAATGTATATAATTAATGTGTTTACAATTAATGAATTTTTAATAGTGATAAGCTACTATACATATAACTTGTTTAAAAAGACTTTTTGTAAGTCACATTCTTTCTTGAATCTATCTTATTTTTTTGAAATTCTATTTTATCACTATTGTTACATATTTTTGAATGCAAGATAAACGAAAATCATTTATCCGTTTCAATTACATACAATGACTAGTTGATAATTATTGTTTTAATAAATATATTAGACACATTTATTATAATCACATAAATTTAATGGAATTATCACTGACACGTGAGAATTTTTATAATTATATTTATATATATATATACTCAAATATATATTGATAAAATTTCTTATAAAATCCTAAATTAATGTATAAAAAATATTAAAACTTATATACTCAGCAATAAAATTATTAAATATCAAGTAAATGCTCTGCCTCGATTAAACATTTAAGTATGTAAAAATAAATAAAGCCAGAGCAAATCAATTGTAAAATAGATATAAATCAATAAAGGCTTTAAAAAAATGTTGAATTTCTTGTGTTATTTACAAATATTCAGTCTTCTTATTGAAAAAAATATATAAATAAAAAAATAATTATTTTCCTCTACTTTTTTTATCTAAAAAATTCATTTCACTTCTACAGAGGAGAACATTTTTGTATGCACTACGATATTCAGAACTCATTACAACGTAAATGACTGGATTAATACAAGTTGTAAGATAAATCAATATATATCCAGCAATATTTAAACCTCGCCAGTCTATTATGTCTTTAAATATTTTAGTGATTGTAATAGGAAGATAGCAAATCAGAAATGATAAAAATATAACAAGTATCATTTTTAATAATTTTTTATCTTTAGCAGACATTTTACCTGACTCTAAAGCACGATTTCTTATACTTCTGAATCGTGATTCACGCCTAAAAATACTGTTCTTCTTAATTCGACGTTCTGATGGAGATTCCGAACGTGAACTTGGAAATTCTTCAGACATTTCCGAAGTCTCATACTTTGGTGAAGGTGGAGTGAGTAAACGAGTCGAGCATTGTCCCAAGTTTTTTAAAAATCCTTTTGGAACTTGAAGACACTGATCATTGTTTTCAAAATGAAGAGCTTTTTCTTTTGCTTTTCCTTGAGATGAATTTACTTCTGGGAATTTTAAATTTGGAATTGTCACTGAATAAATTTTTCTATTTCTATTAATATTCTGACTAGCATCAACACTAATCTTATCGTCAATGTCAGTTATTTCTAACACTTTTATTTTATCATTTTCACTCTTATTTGAATGAGAATGTGAGCACAATGTATCAAGTCTAGGTACTTCTTCTTTTTTTTCATCATTATCATTTACTTTTAATGATTCATCCTGATGAACATTTTTTGATAGATTCAATGCTTTTTCTAAATCATTTCTTGCATCAGTAATCAGAAAAAACGGCATATTTATTTGAGTACATGGAATCCGATCACTTCTGACTGGAGACCCACCATTCTCAGTAGTCGTTGCACCACAACTTGAGCCCAAAGCAGAATCTTCAAAATTTTTAGTGTACTTTACCTAAAGCATCATCAAAAATATTTTTGTGTTACATGCTACATATATTTTGTATAATGATAGATATTATCATGAGATGTTTTTATTAAATAATAGATTTAATAGTTTACCTCAATAGTGGCTTTGACAAGATCGGTTGTAACTTTATCACGTCTTCGACTCTTTTTAGCAGTTTTTCGTACTATATAAAAGATCCTAGCATAACAAACAACAATGGCAATACAAGGTGCAAGAAATGCAAGAATAAATAAAAATTCTTTCGGTGAACGACCATTAACATCTCGGAGTATTGAACATGATCCTATGACCGGATCCAAGCCGAAACGGCCCCAATGTTCAAACCAGGTCGCCACCAGGGCGCCGAATCCAAATATCCAAGTTGCTATCACCATTAATACTAAGTATCTCGGCTCATACAACCTATAGAATACATTATGCATTATAGCTGACACTTTGATAGCAAAGTTTACGGCGATAAATACTCACTTGGGATATAATCGTGGATGACCAATCATTACATAACGATTGATGGTGATAGCAAGGACTGTAAAGAGACTCACAGCAACAAGACCATACCTCAATAGTGGAAAGAGTCGACAGAGAAGTGGTCCGTGCACCCAGGAGCCATACCAGAATGTGGAAGTTGCCAGAGGCAGATTGAAGCAACAGAACATGAGGTCTGATATTGACAAGTTCATTATGAAAACTGCAGTTGCATTTCTTAACTACAATGAAAAGAATTAAATCAATTATTCATTAACATTTTTTAATTATTACAATATAATTAATTAAAGTTTAAAAGCAAATTTACTATTTAAATTATACCACAACTATCTTTGTAGTAATTATGAAATTTAAAAATGCAAAATTTCTCATATTCATGGCTGGTTAAATTTGTAAAGAATGATTTTTCTCCATGCAGATTATGACAGGCATTTCATGCATTCATAAAAGGGTTAATTAAATTAAAATTAAAGCTAGCAAACTAGTGTGTGCTGGCTCATGAAAATGTGATGGTAATATTGAGGTTATGTAATTACAGTGAATGCAATTTCACGCGCCTAAGGAAATAAAGACCTTCAGGACACTCGAGCACATTAATCTTCAAATGTCTCAAAAGAATAAGGAACTGAGAAATACGGTAAAGGGTAGTTGTAAAGTAGAATCCAGGAATAAAGATGTAAGAAGAGAAGTTAGTCATTGGGTTAGTGTGGCATGTTGCACGATAAACTATTCTTTATTCTCCAGTCTATTTTCTGGGCGTTTCGAAAGCTTTATCTGAAAAGTAAGAGCTACGTCCACATAAACTTTTTAAATTCAGTATAAAGAATAGATACATATATTGACCTGATCGATTACTCTAGCTGAAGGAGTAGTAGTGAAAAGCTGAGGTATTTTAAGAAATGAATAATGGAAATTTTTGTGATTTAAATGATAACATAATAAAAATATCAAAGATAAACTATATTAGAGATTGGCTGCCAAAAGTGAGATAATCACTGTTATACAGCTTTTTTTCTCTTCCTGTTACCATTTTTGTCTATGTAGTTGGAATATTATAGACTAGTTAGGGGTCAGAATAGATGTTCACTGATCATAACTACACTTTTGGGTTCACCGATTATGTTTCCGGGTATATTGTCCTCGTTTCAAGCAGAACACGAGTTTTTTTTTTACGTAGTAACTGCTAGAGTTGTTTTTTATTTTCTACATTTTCTGTTGTGTAACACCAAATAAAATTATTAATAAAGCTATTATTTAATTTTAGAAATAAATAAAAAATTATTGTCATCATTATTTTTTATGTCTCTCTAGAAAAACAAGTTTAAATTTCAAAATTTATTGATCAATTATAACTTTCAGTGATAAATGTAAAAAAATTTAATTTAATAATCGACTTTTATTGATACTTATTCGATACAATAAAAATGAGGATTAATAGAAAAAAGTGTATTATACTTAATTGTAGTTTAAAATTTGATATAACCTTAAATTGTCAAATGAAAAATTTAATTGTCTCACGTAATAATCTTTTTTATTATTTAGTCTGTCTATTTTATGTTCCACCTTGTCATTCTTCTATGCTTCATTTTATTAGAACAGAAAAGAGCTATTAAAAATTTCATGAGCGTTTCTGACACATTGATACCTTTCTACAAAGCATGCAAAGAACCAGAAATAAAGTTATAAAGTATCGTTGGAATGAGGACAATCAAGAGAAATTGAAAATTGATGATCAAGCGACAAATCGACTTACAAGTAGCTTCTGTATGTGTAGCAATAACTCGAGCTTTTATGTGAAGAAAACCTAATTCAATCACAAATTCATACGGCATATTATCAACGATAAATTTCAACTTATTCTTAAGGGCGATTTTCATAAATATTTGAATAAAGAAACGATAAATTGTAACGACTTACGTCAAACTCGTTACAACTGGATGATAAATATTTTTTTACAGTGACGGAAAGAGATTGATGTGAAAGGTTTTTTTAGGGTTAGAAAGATTTCAGTACCAAGTATAATATGCGTGGTAAAATGCAAAAAGAATAAGAGTAACAGGAAAATGGCAGAAGAGGAAATAGAAAAACATTGGAAACAATAATAAAAAAAAAATTCCAGAGGCTAAAATAGAAAAAAAATTACAAAAGAATGGTCTTTATTTTTATTCAAATCAAAGAAATCTGTCATGTATTTAAATGATACTGTCAATCAATTGAATTATTGTTTAAATATTCTATTTTCTTTATTCTTGTATTAATGCAAGCCATTTTTATTTTATTACCTTATTGATAGATCAATAAATCAACATAACTCGAAAACATATATTATCCTGTTGCATTTGCTGGTTAAATTTAAACTGTAGTTGAGATATTTAGACGTCGAAATTATTTTCAAATTAAATTTTCTATTTTAAAGAATTATTTATTCAATAAAAAGTGAAATTATAAAGAATAAAAAAGTAAATAAACTTTCGACTGAAAGAAATCAATCTCAAATGTAAACCATGTTCTAGGGCTGACAATAAATATTGAAGAGGATTGAAAATTCAACAATTTCAGCGCACCCTAAAGATTATGTAAAGGATAGAAGATACGTAAGGAAAAAGAGGGATGTTCCTACCAATCTACTTACGTGAGACTAGTATTCTTAATCCTTTCTGGGTTCATTGACCCTCTTCACGTTCGCTATATCAACGTCGTTTTATCGGTTACTCTTTTGTTATGTGTCGAAATAACGTCCGGGTATAAATTTAAATCACGAGTTATTCGTCAAAATCAACCTGACTTATTGCAAATAATGCTTTTCCGCACTTGTCAATGTTTGCTAATATTTATTAAATAAAACTATTATTATTTTCGTTCTTAATTAATTATTCATTACTTGTCATAATTAAACTTTAATAATAAATAAATTTCGAGAAAAGCTCTCGTCATTCGATGTTGATCACTATGAAATTAAAAAGCCATAGACATAAAATGGAGTACTTTTCCATAGAAGAAAAATAAAAAAAGAATCTAGTGTACTTTTATTTTTTTTTATTTTTATCTTCAGGGTTTTTCTAGCACAAAAACAAGACGTCTTTAGATATTTTTTAGAATAGTAATCAGATGCACAAAAATAAATAAATGATAGCCAAAGCAATCCAGTTCTTAGATGGGTCTTGTTGTCTGGACAGTCCACGAAATTCTAGACCGAAGGAAAATGAAAGTACACACGTCACGTATCACAATCTTGTTTCATTCAACTTTTTCCAATTCAAGTAAGTTTTATATTTATTTTTTTATATTTAAAATAAAACGAAATGTATAAAGATATTTCTAAAATGTCAATTTCATTTACATTTTAAAAGACATTCGATAAATAACAAAATAATCTAAAAAAAAGTATCAACTGGATAAATTTAGTGAAATATAATTAAAATAAAAATTGAATGTGATAAAAATAAAAATGACCTCTTTTCGTAATCTAAAATTAAATAATTCAGTTTAATTGGGGTAAAAAGATTGTGTGGAAAGTTATTTCAGAATGGAAATAGCAGACGAGGTTTTTTTTTAAGATAAACACGTGAAGAAAATTCTTAAACAAAGGATGAAGGTAGGTCAGAATCAAGTGCATCTGCTCGAAATAGAGGGAAAAAATCAAAGACACGTGCGCCAGACAGTAAAAATATAATAAGAGTTTAAGCTTGAAATTTCCAAGATTTTCTACGCTTCAAAAGTGCAATAAAAAAAATTGATGATGTTATCAAAAGGTGTAAAAAGTGCAGCAGACGTTATTTGAGCTGAAATATATCGATGAATCCCATGGCAATGAATTATCGGCTATTTTATATCCGTTCGATTTTTTTGAAGACTATGTCAAGATATGGACGTCAAGGTGGACCTTTGAGAGTAATAAAATACGACCACTCGTTTTTTTTTTATTGCATAATTATCCAAGGTAAACTAAAATAGAAAGTAAAAATCGCATAATATTTTATTAATCAATTAATGGGACAATTAATTGAGAGGAAAATATTCTTCATATTGAGAGAACATAAATCAATGTCTGGAATGATAAGTAAACAATGTGTGTAGGCATCGTCAAAAATAAATAAAACGTAAAGAATTGTAAGATATTTTGAGACGTTAATCAAGTTGTGAGATATAAGCTTATATGTGTTATCAATGAGAATTGTAATTGATTCCGGCAGGATAATTAAGTTAATCGATAATTCCTTTAAGCAATCTTGGATAATACATTGAAGAGGAGCACGAGATACTAGAGTTTTGTGTGAGGAGCTTTGACCCCAACTAAAAATAGACATATAAGTTGTATATATAGATTACTCAGTCAATTACAAAGTAAACAATTCAATTAAATGTGTATATGACATTTAACTTTTTTTGGTTAAAACATTTGCAGTTGTAAAAATTTTATTAATAAGAAAGAACCATTTATAAACCAATCCAAAGTCTTGTGTGTTAACTCAGAAACTCGAAGAATAGGTTATGAAACTCGTTGCAATAGTATCAACTCTAATAATCCAGATAACAAATTCTTAAGTATCTTGTAGCTTAGTTGAAACTCTGAGTCTTCATTCAACTGTTTTATTTCTGGAGTTCATTGTTAATTTTTTTTTTCTTTTGAATAAAATTTCAATTAATTCCAAAATTCCTAATAAATATCGAATGGAGAACCTTTTTGTGTCAAATAGAAAACGTTTAAAGTTTAATAAATGTGAAAAGATCTTAGATTGTGTGGATATATATCACCGAGTACGTTTACGAGGAAAGAATCGTTAGTGAAAATAGTCGGGAGGCAGTTAAGGGTTTAAACTTGAAACGAAAAAGAAAAGTATATCTACTTGAGTCGACATCAGGAAATGTTTTATTCTTATACTCCCCTCTTAATTTACAGTACTCCAGATCGTAAAGTAAACTGTAACGTCTTCACAAATTACTTGAAACAGAAAAATGGAACTTGTGAAATTGCTAATCATACACTGAAAGAGTTTTGTACTCAATCAAGAAACGAGTTCCTAACCCTACTTGTGACAAATAAAAATTCATTGATATCATAAATAAAATGAAATCTTACATCAAGTTGAAGACTTATCACTTTTTTACTTAGATTAAATGGAAATTTTTTTCCAGTTTATTTGATAATTATTATTTTCAAATCAATTACTAGCATATGAATCATATAATTGTTAAGTAATTAATTAATTAATGGGAGAGACTTGTGAAATTTACCCAACCTTTATGCACAGATATGTCGTAATAGTCATTTGCCAAAGTGCTATTAGAACTTAATGTAGTACATAAATTAAAATAATAATGAAACTTCCATTTACCTATTAATAGAAACGTAAACGAGGTATGATTTTTGACTTTACCAGAAATTAGTTTGATTAAAAATCTTTATATTTCAATAAATCAGTACTAAAAATATTCTTTTTTAACCTAAAAATAACATTTCACTTAATTTTATCAATTTTATGTTATTTGATATAAAACTATACGATTATATAAATGGAATAAGAATAATCTGTCTATTTTAGGGATAAGAAGACGAATTTTCTTCAACAAGTTCATCACACTCAGCTTATCCCTAAATTTATTTATCGTTTCTTTTCCTCACTAACTACGTGGTCTGGAAGATAAACAAAATGAACTTCCAAGCACGGATATAGGATAATTAAAAATGTAATAAGAAAATATAAGTTCTTTGCGGATATCAAAGGATTGCAAATTCATCCGGATATGGGAAATATACGAGGTATAAATAATAACGATGTAAAACCAAAGTAACCAAGATATATAAATTTATGAATAAAAGATAAATGATTACAGGAAAAGAGATAGCTGAGAGTCAAGTCTGGAGGTGTGTTATTTTTTGTGTATCTTTACCTTCTTAGTACGAAAAAGGGCGACGACAGTGATGAGATTGCCAGGTATGCCGATCAGCATAAAAAGAACACAGCATCCAGCAGCAAAATGAAGCAGCCATGGAGGATAACCACCAAATAAAATTGCTGACTCTGGATTTTCCAAGACCTCTTCAATTTTAGATAGGCTACTATTTGTTTCAGTATCGTTATTTGCCATCCAGTATTCCAACATTCTGTTAATCATACCAGTGATTCATCAATTTATCAGTTTATGCATCAATTATTTATATGCTAAAAATACAAAATAAAACAATTCCTGGATTTATTGAAATTGTTGATGTTTTCATGATGTCTAGACTTCTAAAAAATTCATCAGATTTTTTTTTTGATAATTTTTTGACGAGTTGTAATAAATAATACTCGACTTTATTCATAAATTAAGTTGCTTTATTTTAAGTCTATAAAGAGGGAAGTACATGAGTTTTAGGTTTTATGTGTCAACTTGTTTTATAAGTTTGTCACAGTTTTAGTCATTTGTCTTTGATAATTTTTTTATTACATCGAATAAATTACAAAAGAATGTTGGGATACTCTAGTAAATTTGTCAGATGAGAATGATTGATTAACAGCTAAATAATGAAATATTCAATATGAATTTTTGGTTGATAATGAAAATAAATGAAAGGTTTAAGTACTAACAAGAAATATTGCAGAAATTTGTAGGCCTAGTCATAGTTAGATATAGTCATTTAAGAGGGTCTTAATAGTGAGAACGATGAGAGAAAAAAAACGCTTCAGAATGCTCCATTTCATCCTCAATTTCACTTTTTTCTTTATATTTTTCTTTCACTGTTTCTTATGTGTTTAAGTATGTAGTTTCGTTCGTATTATTTAACAAAGAATTATTTGCAAAGTTCGATATCTATTTAATAAATATTTGTCTACGACAAAAAAATATTTCTAAAGACTTGAAGAGTTGAAATTAAAAACATTGGCAAAATAGTCAAAGAAAAATAACAAAGAGCTTAATTTTTTTGTCAATCATGTCAATAAATCGATAATGCTTTTCGGTCAATTGGGTTTGAACTCAACCACTTTTCAAGAAAAATAGATACTCGATTTTTTTCGTATCATACATTTGATTTTTTTCTTATCTTTTTTTCTTTACTTCCTAATGGACAAAAAAACATGAAAATTTTTCTTTTCAATTCCAGAGAAAATCTTTATTAATTCAACATTCTATTTTTAAACAAATATGAGATAATAAACTTTTTATTCTTGAATATAAACATTTCATTTTTTTTAGCCCAAATATAAATATGTAAACTTGAACTCTTCAGTTAAGAAAAACGAAATTCACCACATGCACAGATTCATACTTACGTGAAGAAAAAAAAAATTTAATGTACGTCAAAAGATGAAAGCATGAATTTTTTTTTGTTTTACGAATATTTTTCTAACGTTAAAAATTTTCTAATTTATTATATTAAATATAAACATTTTCTTATAATTAATAATATGAATAAAATTTACGTACCTCAATGAAAATAAATTTGATGATAATTTAATGTTCTACTGAATATGTGACAGACATTGGCGTATCACTAATTAAATCGTAGCTGATTTAATCAACAAATACTACGAAACTTGGTGCAAGTGAATTACCCTCATTAGAACACAGATAAACATTTTGCTAAAAAAAATTAACAGGTAATTTAATTTTTATACTATGAAATAGAGAAATCTTTTTGTTTAAATTCATTTCATCTTAACTCAAAACTTGTAAATATCTAATATTAAATAACCATCGTGAAATGAAATCCTTTTAAACTGATTATATAAATAAATCAATCAACCAAAGACTTTGAAGATCAAATCTCACCTTAAATTTCATATTGCACGTGTCATTACAACATATCCTTGTTGTAATAAAAAAATTAATCCTACGTCTTTATTCATAAAATGAACCTAGCATTATAAATACTAAACTTTCAATACTTTTATTTAGTTATTAATAAACTGATTAAAATATAATACTTATTGGTAAACAATAGAAGCTTGAATTAACTTGAGCAGTGTAATTATAATTTAATATTAATATGTCTTTTAATTTTGATTTATTTTCATTAATACTTAAAAAATAAGTACGATAAAGAGTTTTAGTTATTTGTTTATTTAACAAATTTATACATAAGTATATCGATGAACAATAATAAAAACGGCGGGAAATTCATTGATAACACGCTGTACCAAAGTCGCGGCGGAACTGCTCCAAAAGAAAACAGGGAATAGAAAGGAGGCAACACACACACCTCTCCTGAGATCCCAAAAGCTCAAAAGCGCATGCGTTTTATTTTCAGTATTATTTTATTAAAATTCCTGAATAATAATACAATCATTATCATTCAATACTTATCATTATCATTCAATTGAAATTAATATTTAATTATGTATCATAAATAATATATCACTTTAATTATATAAAACACAAAATTCTTCAACCAGTCTTTATTAATTCCAAGAACTTTTTTAATTACCGAAAGTATAACTGTATAAAGAAATACAAAAGTTGGAAATTAAAACACCAGAAAAAATGAAAAGATGCAAAATTATATTTAATTTAAAATTTAAATTGCAATTAATGTGATTATTTATTTTACTAGTTTTTAAAAGATAGTTTTTTTGACCTTTTTCATTATTTTTTTATTATTCTCATTTTATCACCGTCAGCACTTATTCTAGTACTACATGGCTCTACTTCTGATACTCGCAAATCGTATGAACGTAATTGACCATGTCATTGGCAGTTTCACGATCAGTACTTAAACATGTGCAGTGAATCGTCGACATGTAACTTACCCTTATTTTCAGGGGATTTTGTTGATAAAGTTGATAGATATATTGGAGAGAATTATTTGCAAGAAGGAAAATAATTTAAAAAAATAAATGAAAAAAATCCAAATGGAATTGATGAAACAACAATATTGAGTAATTTCAAATTTATGGTTTCAGATAAAAATAGTATGAAGACAGACAGGCAAACAAACAATTTCATATGTGACAAAAAGATGAGGGTCGCATGTGTTCAGAGAGCTCATCGCAAGAAATGTTAAACTGAACTATATTTGTGCTACTGCATGGCGAGTAGACAGAAAGAATGGATATATAGAAAAGCATAGTGGTGAAACACATATGTTGAAACTTTCATAATCGTTTTGTGGTTGCTATAAGAAAACTACATATGAACACTTAAAGATGGTATCCTTTTTATTTTACAATATACCATTAGGATTGTATATCATTCCTTCCTAAATCCAGATTTGGACCATCAACAACTGTGATTCCTTTTATTTTGTCTGCTTCATTTATAAGGTGCGATTTCAAGATCATTTCACACGCTTAATTAAATTTTTCTGCACGATAAAAAATATTCAGTTGCCGCAACTAATCGAAAGTCTGTTCCTACAACAATCTTGATTTCTGTTGAGTTTGCAGAAAAAATCTATAGATGCAACTAACTGGGGACAAATTTTTCTTGCAGACACAACAAAAATCATAACTGTAAGTAAGATAAATTCTTTTTTTCTTATCAAGTCTTTTTAAAAGGATTTTTATAGTATTTTCCATTGTTTTATGCTCCAGGATATTTCATAATAAAATAGAAATCAATCAAAAATCATTAAATACTTTTCTTGAGAAAAAATGATAAATAATATAATGAAGAGGTCAGTGCTTCAGAAGAAATGTGATGATGGTGAATATTTTTTTTCATTCTTCGTATATATAATTCATACACTTGCTATTAAATACGTTGGTGTTTAATAACGGACATTACACCAGACTCCCAGGAGTCCGCCAACGTTTTTCGTGCTCACTACTGGAGTTGAGGCATTTACTAACACATACCAACAATATGGTAGACCTTCGTGGACTATTCTAGCTAGCTATCCATTGTGTTGTGTTAAAGCAAGCATAGAGCAAAGAGACCAAAGAGGAAGAGGAGGACCTAACCAAGTAAAGGGAAGAATGGAAGTGTGGAGGAACCTGGGTGCGACCATGTGGGTCGTGGAAGCTGTGCCCCTACATCCTTTTTAAAAATAATTACATTTTGTTAAGTGATCGAGGGCATCTCTTTAGACATGATTAATCTAAATATTTTTTTCAACACATTAAGGTTTGTATTAATCGATTCCTTCCAATTAACCTCATATTTTTCATCATCTAACCTTTTAGATAATCATTTATTTTTCTGACAGAGACTAAATTAAATGATAACATTCGGTTATCCAGTTTTTTGTATCATTCCGACAGTCTTGGAGCTTTTTTAGTCTTCGATTATGTGTTTTTCTAATTCCTGTTTACGTCTCTATCGCTATGTCACAATTCACTACATGATAATACTGAAACTAGCATGATGATTATTGCTTCAACATCTAGCACAAAAGATTTACTTTTGTTCTATAAAATTTACTAAATTAACTTTCCATGGAACTCATGATTTTTTTACTTTGATTTTTTTTACAACAAACCAATGAAATTGTAAAGATTTAAGTTAATATACAAAAAAATCATACTGAGTTGTTTAATATGTATGAATTACATTTTATTATATCATAACAATAATATTGAATATACTCTTGAATTATGTGAACTCCAAAAACCTCTAGAATTTTATTTCAAAGTAATTCGAGGGCACGATTATTCTGGGAAAATTTGCTGAGCCTTACACAAACAAAGCATCCCAACATGAAGCTAAGCTTCATCCGTCACATAATATGAAGGTTGTAAGGATGATGGTCCATTGAACAACTTTGCTTTAAGACCAAAAACATGGTCATGTAAACACCTGGTGAGTTCCAATTTCTAATAATAGATGATAAAATGTCAGTTACAACTATGTGTTTTCTTCATTAATGGATTTATTCTATATCCATAAATTTTATTTTATTTATTTGTGACAGTGTGGTGGAGTGTAGATGATGGAGGAAATAATGAATGGCGTAATTTAAGGATGTAGGACATTGTAGGATACGACCTCGTGGATGCGTTTGTCATCGTCATCTCCCCTCCAATACAACTGCCTCGATTCACTGCTTCGTTTGACAGAATGGCTCAGTATTCACTAAGCAGTTGGACTGTGACACTTGCATACAGTGGTCGACGATAAATTTATTATTCTTAGCACATAGCAATATCATGAAATTTGATAAACAAACTGAAAAGAAAAGTTGATAGTTATTATTTTTAATTCAACTTTTGTTTACACTTTTAATTACTGTCGACAAATTGATTATTTATCCATTATTATTTTAAATAAAAAAATGTGTCTGATACTTGTTTGTCACGTGTTTTATACACGTACAGTGTAAAAAAGTGCTACTCTACACTTGAAGATTAAGTTTGAGTGTCTTTAATGGGCCTTTTGAACTCTTGAGAAAAAGGACAACTCTCAAAGCCTCTAGAGTTTAGTTATTTTTTTCTGTGACAATTCTACGAACGTCTGTTCATATGAGACTATTTAATTTAATGATATGATATTGCAACTATTTAGCTGGCAAATGAACATCTTCTGAATCCAATGAGAGACATAGAAACTCCGAAATGACTGGGGATTTACTCATTTCTGGATTCAATTACTTTGATACAGAAGTCCATGTTGGAGAAATAATATAAAGTATTATCTTTTTCAATTGTTTGAATGTATAATTAAAATTGATTGACACTAGTTAAAGTTTTATTTGGAGTTTGATTATAAATAAATAAGTTATTAATTTAAAATAGTGCAACGAAAATTAAAACTAAAGTGACGTTAAATTGAATGCTTGATAAATTTGAAAAGTAAGTAGATTATGTTATGTGTACTTGTTGAGATGAAACGTTGAAAAATTTATGTTTACACGTGCTTTGTATATCCATAGCTTTCATTTTTGTTACCCTACACTCATTACTCATTTTCCTCCCTCACATTCTGTTTTACAGATCGTTTATCAAGATGTCTATAAGAGTTTAGCTTGTGTAATATCAAACAGTCGATGAACCAAAAGCTTCTGTGAAGAGTTGAGTAGCAATTTCAGACGGATAAAAAATTTGAAGGTACCAATTGTTTTACCTAAAAATAACAATTTTTTTGTTAAATGAGTTAATTTTTTATTAGAGAAATAATAAGTAGGTTAAAAATTTCAATGTTGATGACTTACCATGCTCTACAAATTGACTTAGATATCAGTCTTTTTCAATAATTTCTTTTCGTATTTAAAAATAACATTGCTGGGTACTATCTAAAAGTATTTTTCCAAGTGTCGATATTTATTATGGAGTCAAAATAAAGGTACGATAAAACGAAAGTAGAATCACTATATATAACAAAATTTAAGCCTAAACAAATACAGGAAATTTCAACTCTCCCTCTATCGAACAATCCCTAGCTCTCACAAACTCTATTGTACACTATGAAATAATACATATAACGTTTCATTCCATTTAATTTAACGGTGAAAGAAAACTATAGACTTGATACAATCTCAGAATATTGAGGTGCGTAATTTTCTTTCCGCGTTTTATTTCTAAAGTATAACTTTACCTACTATTTTTAAACTTATATATTTTTTTTTATTGCAATTTATTTTCTTGTTTTTCCTCTATTTCTAGTTTATTATTATTACTCGTTATGTATTCACATAACTATGAAAATGATGGTTACTTCTTCTTTCAAGAAGATGGATTGACTGATGATGTCATTCAACACTCCAAGACAATACGCGGAAGTTTATTCCCTGACCTGTAAGCTATTGTTTTCACGCCGGCACTTTATTCTCTTTATTAAACACTCGTTTATAAAATTTCATATCAATTTAATGCAATTAAAAAAAAAAAGATGTTAATTCAAATACGAAATAGAGTGATGTAAAGTATATTTGTAAAATGTGTTATATTGTATACAGCAAACATATCGCTGGATAAAATTATGATTCATTGCTGACTCATGATTAAATAGGATTTTTAGAATTGAGAAAATAATTATTTGGATACATTTTGTATTATGTAGGAATGATAAAGGAATAAGACGAAAAAACACTTGATAACTTACTGAGAAACTCAATGGTAATAAAGAAAACAGTAGCACACGTGTATAATCGTAATGTGAGGAATAAAACGTAAAACACCTGAGGCACTTTCACTATACTGCATGAGTCAAGCTTTGAGTCACATGGCCAACGTGATTAAGTCAGGAATCATTCAATGACATCACTATATCATCAGAAATTCAATAGACACACTTGTTGAAATCAATGCTGTTTTTTATTCTTCTCAAAACAATACTATCATTTTCTATTATTTGCATAAAAAATTCTTTTATTCTTCTCAAACCTTTTCTATGTTGATTGTTTATTAACCTCTAAAATTAGAGATTTCTGTTTGATTAAATCTTGAAACGTTAATTAAATTGAAAATTCTATTTATAATTGGGTGTTGTGGTAATTAAAACTAATTTATGTAAGAAATGTTATTGATTTAAAAAAATATTACAACAAATATAAAAACATCAGAAACTTAAGTCAATAGAGCGTAAAAATGATAAATTACATGTTCTCCCACGTTCAGTTATCCCTTTTATGTTCAGCATGTCTGTAATAAACCTAGTAAGTTGGCAGACTTTTTTTTACACCATTACAAGTACCCAAGAGGGGAGAATATATACCGGGTGTTTGTTAATTTTCCTTAATTAAGCTCAATCGAGGTTAATACATGGCTGTTTAACCTTAGTTTACAAAATCCAGCACCCCCATCGGTTGAAAGCAATAAAATGTACGAAAGACCAAAATGTGACGAAGAAAAAAAAGGGACAAAATTACATGAAGACTCAATACAATGTTAAATTGCTCATCCATATATCAGTCTGATCATTTGCTTTGTGATCATTTTTTCTACTCCAATGATTTAATCAGTTGGGGTCGTTATGAGACATCTAGACTGACACCTTGAATGGTTCGTTGAACGAAGTATTTGCACTTGGATGCACTCGACGTATGTTCTGTGTTTCTCTAGGTCATTGAACAAACGATTATACTGTGGAACGAATTGAATTCTATGGTGTACGATACATAAATGAGTTAAGGAATATTATACATGTACACATGGTGTCTTGTCATTATGTTCCGGAACTATGCGGAATAAAGTCAACACTCCAACTTCATATACAGTCTCAAGGTACCCCTATGTATACTATCAACCCTCTTGAACCCTCCTGTGTTGTGTAATCTTAATAACCCAGAGGATGAGAGAAGTTATAGATTCGATTAAATAAATGAATTCGACTGGTAATGTCTCATGAGGGTTTCCTTGAATGCAGTGATCAGAAATATCAAAGAAGAAATATTAATAACTTCATTGATTTCATTTTCTTCATCAATAAGCTGATGATGTTAAATAACATATTAGTCTTACGATTTAATAAAATTTAGGGTAGAACATGTGTATTGAAGAGATTATTGTGTATCATATTACTGAATTATTCAACACTTTTGATATGTGCTTAACATCTACAAGTATACAATATTAAATATATTTAATCTAATCTATTTTATAGCCAGAATAAAATAAGAGGTGTGAGACTGATGTATCGTCACAAAAAAATTTCGTCTCTAAAAAATGGAAGAAAACAGTTGATATATTCCTATCATTTTTCTTTCTTTATCAGAAGTAATTGTTTGCATTTCAAATAAAGAAGACTTAATAATTCAAAATTAAATATTCAAAAATATAGAATGGATAGCATAATTTATTAATATCAAAAACAACGAATAATTGGATGGAATAATAAATTTTAATGCATGTATTACATAAAGTATTTTGTACTGGTTCTTGATCTAGTTGATCTAAATACCATCTTATCCATCTTGACAGTAGCTATCACTATCGCACATATCTCACTATTAAAATTAATAAGACGTCAAGGGTATATGAACAGTTGTCTTTTTTTCATCTCCTTCGTCTTAAACTCATTATTTATCTGTTTCTTATGTTTTACATTCATTCGTCTCATTTACCACATCCGTTTTTGTTTCAAGAATTGATGCTTCTTTCACTTAATTATCAATGACCCCATGTTAACTAATAAAATTATGGACAAATTCGTGAACTTGAATTTATTTTAGTTAAATTCACTTATTTCTTAATCTAAGAAAGATTACTTTCAAACAATGGGTCAACTATGTTTCAGTAAAATAAAAATAGTTTATCTTTGCCACATCCTTCTTTCATCATATTCTCAAAATTGTATTTCTCTGAAAAATGTTTTTTAGAATCTTCCTCTAAATGATCGATAAATGTTAGAAAATATTATATATTTGGCATCAATTTTATCAAAAAAAAAAAAACACTAAATTAATAAAATATCAGAATAATGAAAAACTTGTTTTTTTTTAGATGACAGGAGCAGAATCAGGTTTGAGTATGAGTAGTGTAGCAACTTGGCTTCCGCAAGTAACGAATGCAGCCAACCAGACAATAATAGAAGGGGAAATATCCAGGTAATTTTAACATTAAAATACCAACAAAGGAATTCGTTGTCAAAGTTGAAACATAATGTTTCTAGGAACAGCCTTATCTAGCAACTTCTCAATGAGAATTTTCAGAGAAGGATATGGCTATACAGGAAATGTCTAAAGTTTTATCTAAAATAGCCTTATAAATGACAAGTTTCCTTACAAATTTATTTAATTGCTACGTAAAACATCTTTAATTCATAAATAAAAAAAAATCAACTAATTGAATGTTTAGATTTCCAAAACCTCTGAGGACTTTTGCAGCAGTTGTGGCAATTCTGATACTACTAACCGGTCTTTTGGGAAATCTTTTAACTATTATTGCCCTTTGTAAATATCCCAAAGTGCGGAATGTTGCAGCAGCATTTATTATTAGGTAAAAAAATATGTGATAAATATTATAAAAAATAATCTTATCATAAATAAAATTGATAGCACATTTTTATATGAGCTATTCGTTAATAGAGCTATGAATGGTACATTCACAATCACTTAAGCACTTCTTCAGGCCTTTAAATTTGCCTCAATCAATTAATTATTTTGACTCTGTTTCATACCGTATTTTAAAATTTAATCAATGTAGAAAAATAATATTATCTATTATCATTTGTCTCTGTTTAATTATAATTATTTATTTTTGACAGTCTTTGTGTAGCAGATTTCATCTTCTGCGTCTTAGTGTTACCTTTTGATTCAATAAGGTTTATAAATAGTAGTTGGACTGACATAAGATTTTTCTGCATTCTTGTGCCATTTTTGAGATACGGAAATGTTGGAGTTAGTCTTCTTTGTGTTGGTGCCATAACTGTCAATCGTTACATCATGATAACACATCACAATCTTTATAGTAAAGTTTACAAAAAGCATTGGATTGCTATGATGATTATATTTTGCTATGTATTCTCTTATGGAATGCAAATTCCTACACTTATTGGATCTTGGGGTAAATTGTTATAAATATTTAAATTGATCTATAAATTGAATAAAAATCTAATCAAATAAATTTATTTTAAACAGGAAAGTTTGATTATGATCCTAATTTGGAAACATGTTCAATTGTAAAAGATTCAAAAGGTCAAAGTTCGAAAACCTTTCTTTTTGTTACTGGCTTCTTTATACCTTGCATTGTCATAGTTGGTTGTTACGCTAAAATATTTTGGGTTGTTCACAGGTAATTAATAAATAACTGTTTGATTTATTTCCAATTAATTTTGTTTTTCTGAAACAAATTATTTTTTTTTATCAACTAAACAAAAAATACATAAATCATATAAATTGTTTAGCTCTGAATCGAGAATGCGTAAGCATGCAAGTCCAACGATAAAGTCCCCTCACACTCCCGGTCGAGACACAAGGGAGATAAAGCAAAAGCGAAGCGAATGGAGAATAACAAAAATGGTACTAGTAATTTTTGTGAGCTTTGTTGCCTGTTACTTACCAATTACTATTGTAAAAGTTGCTGATCCAGAAGTTAAATATCCAGGTAAATAAAAATTCCCTCTTTTTATATATGAAACTACCTAACTAATAACAATTGGTTCATCCTCCTTAACTTTTTGACATACTTTTACAGGTTTACATGTTCTGGGCTACCTGTTGCTGTACTTTTCTTCGTGTGTCAATCCTATAATCTACGTAATCATGAACAAACAATACAGACAAGCATACGCGGGTGTGATAAGCTGTTCAAAGATTAGAGCAACCCTGACACCTCATGGGAGCAGCAATCCAGGACAAAATAACTTTGGCCAAGGTAACCACCACATCATTACGGTCACCAAGCTCTGATCAAAATGAAGCACGGCTCATTTGCGTCGTAAGTTAAGGGAAAAATGTTGGTTTCTAAGACTGGGCCTAGCATGGTTAATGCTGAAAAGAATCAGACATCAAAATTAATTCATTCTATTCACAGTTATTTTTTCATTGATTCTGTTGAAAAAAAACCAATATTTGATTCTATTGAAATAGGGTCGATTACATTGATTGATCTTGGGATGTTGAATTATTGATTTTAAATTCATAAGAAAATTTCGAGGAAGGAGCCAGAAGTCCAGATTTATGACGCTCATTCTCACAACGTGTTTTTCAGGATTGCCAGATGCGAGCTAGATAAATAGCGCAGTTACTTTACTACTAACGCGGATCGGCGATAGCATGTTTAAGAATGGAGAATGAGCTAGGTACTAATTAACTCATCATTTACGAATCAAAATAATGCTAAATATATTTATAGCAGGCCAGAGTTAATAATTAATAACCAGTTTATGCAAAAAACGCGGTTTAACAATTAAATAATTAACTTACTGACTATTAGCTACGGCTTTTTCATTAACACACATATAAATTGATATAACAAATTTTTAATTTTTCATTCATTCCTTAAATATAATTAGCTCTAATAATTACTGACGTTATCAGCACCATTTTCATTCAATCAATTTCTCAACATAATTCTCGCTTCCATTTTATCTATCACCTAATAATTTTTATTGAATTTACATATTCAAGATGTAATTGTTTGTTTTTTTGCAGATTATTCCAAAGATTACAGCAAAACTATGGTGTCTACAGTCTCAATGGCCATGAATCCTGTTATAAGAAAATCCGAACTACCAGATGATTTTTAAAAAAGAATCTGGGATATTTACATAATTTTTAAAATTATGGGACCAATAGTCATAGTAATGAATTGCATTTTTATGAAATTTTTTTTCATGTAAGCATTTTTTGTACTCTTTGGCGATTACAGCGCGCTTAGTTATTAAAATAGTTAAATGAGTTATTTATTTATATGATAGAATAAGCCAGTTGATGGTAACTGAAATGTTACGCAGATGTATTGAAGATTTTATAATGTGTAGCTAATAATTGATAAACTTATATCAATTATCTGGTCATTTCTCTGATAATTTTCACATCGACGATATGAAATAAAAATTTGTACATATACTTGAATATGCATTTTTACAATGTAAATGTATTTATTTATAAATCGAAATATATAAAATAAATTTAATCTTATTAGAATAAGTAGATTTTTTACAAGATCAAGTTTTTCATGATTATTAGTTATAAAAATTGTCATAAAGTACGTTGACTCGCTTGCTCTCATTTTTCATTTTTGTTTTGATCTGTTTAATAATGTATTTTTTTATAAGTTGTAAAATTTTATTTATGATACCTATTTAAGTCTTACAGCATCCAGCTTTCTCACTGATGAGTGAAGCGCCACGAAGTTTTATCGAGTCTTTTATTTCATCTTCTATCTTTGCTTTTAATACATTTTCTACTAAGTAGTACATGGCTTCGTCTAATGCAATAAAAATAATTAATAGTATTTTTATATCTTTCTTGATCGATTTAAAATATAAGTTGAAATAAAAATTATTAAATAAGTATAATAAGACGTACCAATATTTTTGTTTTCTTTCGCAGATGTTAGATACCATTTAGATATTTTATTTTCTTTACAGAATTTGATAATTTGCTCTGTAGGAATTGCCATATGTTTAATGTCACACTTGTTTGCTAATAAGACGATTGGAATACTTGAGCCGTCCGGTAAAACGACCTTCTCTCGTAAATCATTAAGCCATTTTTTGACTGATTGGAATGTAGCTGCTCGTGATACATCGAACACTAAGGCAGCAGCTAATCTATAAATATTAAAAATACGAAAGTATTATTGTATTATTCAAATATCATAACACAATGTCTTTCAGAATTATTATAATTAAAAAATAAATAAATATATTTGTTGTTAATAAGAATAAAAGTGCAGAAAAGGAAGAGAAAATAGAAGAAATATTTACGCATATTTATAGTAAACTCTTGTCATATATCCAAATCTTTCATGACCAGCAATATCCCTAAAATAAAGCTCTTGTATATTAAAATGCAAAAGTATAAGAGATGATTAATTAACACTTTGTAAACTTAGCTAAAAAAATACACATAATACCATAATTGTAAATTTATTTTAGTGTTAGGATCCCAATCAAGAGTTTTTATAGCAAAATCAGCACCTATTGTGATCTTGTAATTCGAAGAAAATTTACCTGAAAATTATAATAGAAATAGAAAACAAATGAAATAAAGAGATAATATCGTAATTTTGCATGAAATAAAACGAAATGCCAATTTTTCTTAAATCGCGTGCTAAAATAGCTTTGAAAACAAGTATTTCAATATTTTTATGTGTTAAATTATGTAAAATTTCTTAATTTGCATTAAAGGATGTTTGTCGTTATTTAGAAAAAATATTAAGCATATAAGAGAATACTATAAACTAAAATTACCTTCGGTATATCTTCTGACAATGGCAGTTTTTCCTGGAATGAAAAAAATAATAATAAATTAGATTTTACGACTTTTTAATAACGATAGTAAACAATATGTAAATTTATTTAATTGTTAGGTAGTAGATAATTTAAAAATAACATTGTACACAAGTTTTCAATGACTCATACTTACCGACCCCATAATCACCAATGATAAGGAATTTGAAGAGTAGCTCTTTCTGATTGTAATTAGAAAGTATTATATCTGAATCTCTCCTTGGTTTGCGATGACTCATGATTACTATCTTCCTTCATACAATATTTATCCAAAACAGACACACATAAGTAATTTTTTTTTAAATCATTTTGGAAACTTGGCGCCTTCACTGATTAAGGTTATAAGATCTGCACATGTCCAGCATCACTGGGGAATGCTGATAAGCTACTGAAAGTATCTTCCCGACAGTGAGACTGATCCACTATCGTCTTTAATACAACCAAGGCCAAGAAATCTTAATTAATTAAATCACGGTCGTTGTTTCAAAGTTCGAAATTAATTTTTCTATTCATTATTTAATTAATCCGGCTTATTCGTCTGTATGCTTTTTATAAGCAGTCCAGTTGTCCTCATTTTATTATTAATTCTCTGACTACTCTTCTTCATCCCTTGCTTAATAAGCAGAGCCAAACTGAAAAAATGGAAACATACAGATTATCATGTTTGTCAATATTAGCTTTTATTTTTCGTTTCATTCGTGAATATAAAAATAATAAAAATAATCTCTTTTAGCCATGATCACGAGTTTTTCGTTTTATTTTGGGTTATATTCTTTGATTCGTCAAAGAATACGTAAAATATTTTTAAGATAATTTATACCGAAATGAGTTAATTAAGTAAGTGATAATATGAGAGATAACGATATAATAATGACTATTTAAATAAAAGCAATTATTATAATTAGAAAGTTAAATGAATACATACGTAAAAAAAAATTGTACAACAGAGCTGTCAGTGTGGGAGAGCAGTGGTGGTGTGTGAGATGTTGTGTGATGACGCGTTGAAGGTTGTGCCATGACAAGCAGTACACATATTCTTATTCCACCATCGTCTAATAACAATATGATTAATATATTTCGTCCGTATACAAAACACATTTTTCTATTTTTTATTATTTATATTGTCATCTTTTCGTTCACGATAAGTAAGTACTTTCAAAATTTTTATTAGGTTAGTACTACATAACCCTTGAAATTGATTATTGCGCATATGTATTTTGATTGAACGCGCATGGACATTTCTAACCGCTAAATTTAAAATATTTTTTTTGTTTTCAATCAATATATGACTAAAAATAAATAAATAATTAATGAGTTTAAATTTTCAAGAACATTTGTTTTTACAGTTTATATCAATCAAAGAAATTGGGAAGATAATGAAAAATCTATCATATCTCTTTCAAAAAAGGTAGCGGAGCAAAATATATTAATTGAACACATTCATCAAACTGCTGAAAAATTGATAAAAAGAAATGATTCCTGGAATAAAAGTAGTCCAACTATTTATGCCATAACGCCAACATTTGCAAGACCAGTACAAAAAGCAGAATTAACAAGGTTAGCTCAAACTTTCCTTCATATTCCAAATTTTCATTGGATTGTGGTGGAAGATGCTACCGAACCCACTTCATTAGTCACAAATTTCTTATGGGAAAGTGGTTTATCATATCAACATCTCCATGTGGCAACTGCTCCTCAAATGAAATTGACCGCTAAAGATCCACATTGGAAAAAGCCTAGAGGAGCAGCCCAAAGAAATGCCGGTCTTGCCTGGCTCCGAAATAATCTCAACAGCAGCACCAACGGTATCGTTTATTTCGCTGATGATGATAATACTTACTCTATTAAACTATTTCAAGAGGTGAAATTAATTATATTCTAAATAGAGAATATGTATGTTACCAATATTTTTTACTCTTTAGTAAAATATTTTACAGATGGAGAAGATAAAGGTGATTGGGGTATGGCCTGTTGGTCTTGTTGGTGGATTAATGGTTGAAAGACCAATTTGTGATAATAAGACTAATAAAATTATAGGTTTCAATTCTGCTTGGAAACCAGACAGGCCGTTTCCTTTCGATATGGCAGCCTTTGCTCTTAATCTCAAGGTTGTTTTAGAAAAGAAGGACGTTTGGTTTACCTACACCGTCAGAAATGGCTATCAAGAAACTGATTTTCTCCAACAGATGGTTACGCTGGATCAGTTGGAGCCTTTAGCAGACTGTTGTACGAAGGTATAAAATAAATAGAAGGATTACTAAAATTCAGTCAATATTTGATATCAATGATAAATATGTATGATGCTGATATTTACTTTGATATTTAGGTTTATGTTTGGCATACAAGGACCGAAGCACCACAGTTGAAAGATGAACAGCGATTAAATAAACTAGGGAAGAAGTCGAATGACAATATCGAAGTTTGAATCTTTTGTCGGAAGGATTATTGAAAGATTTTTGCGTAGATCACATGAACTCATCTTTATCGAATATTAGATTCGAAATATCATCAATTATGTATATAGGAAATAATGATTTGAATTTATACGAATATTTCAAATTCGATTTAAGAGTAAGCACTCTTAGAATCCCCCCATCCATAGTTAGTATGAACAATGTTTACCTGTCAAACCATGACATTTTATTTTTATCCATTGGGTAACAATTGTTATTTTTTATATGTACAAATATTTGTAAAGAAATTTATACAATTCGTATTTGATTTCTCACTAACATATCTAATTTCAAACCATATTGATATTTTAATTGTTAGGTTTAAAATTTTGTATAAAAAAATTATTATAATAAAATTGATTTATAAAACTACGGATTTTTTTTATTGTTTCCATTTTTATTGAAGTTTTGTTTTTTCTTGCATACAGAAAAAGCATACATAAAAATATGCCTTATATCTAAAAAATTTTAATAATAAAAGTATTTTGTAAACGTTTTGTAATAGTGGAAGATGCCAGTTAATACTTAACTTTCTTTTTTTTTGAAATTATACTTTTGAGATAATTAGTTTCATTTTTAAGTTTTTGTGGTCATTTTTGGCAATAAATATAAAAAAAAAATATTCTTCATTATTCATATTTAATAAATTCTTTTGTTAACTAATTTTTTCAAAGTACTTTCCATTTTCTTTTTACATTCTTTCCTGCATGATATTTTCTCTTTTGATATAAACACGTGCATCCCATAGTAACGATTACAAACTTTATTAATTCTTACATAGCTAATAAGTACTATATATTTGGCAAACTTTTTGTTTTATATCCTTAAAATTATGTAAAAAAGCTACAGCACGAAAAGAACATTCGTCCAAGTCACAAGTTCATGTGATTTATTTTTGGAGTTAATACAATTTTAAATTGAATCAGCTAAACACTTCAGGCCGTGTTCGTGATACCGTTAAAGCTGAGATTTTGAGTGCAATCGTTTCCAAGAGAACGGATGAATACTGCTGAGGTACTTGACCCTGTCTATCTTTTTTTCTAAGAAAGCCACTCAAGTGCTGCAAGTCTAGTCACTCTCTTAAAGCTCTTTAAACTGCAACTGATACTTGGTAATCCTCTTAAATCCTGTTTACTTTCTATAATTGACGAATAAACATAAGACGAATGTACTTTTCGTGCGAAATTGCATAAATTCGATAACTCCTAAATATTGTTACTTAATAAAAAAAAAACATGTATTAATATTTCTTACAGATAATTGTAAAGTGAGAAAAACGTTTACAAGCACTTACAAAACTTATCACATTTTTCAAAACTGCATTCATTTGCAAAAAACCCTTTTATATAATGGGACATCAGCACTTTCACACATTTTATTTATTATTAAATCATTTTTATCAGAGATTATTTATAAATCTCAAGTTTTTCTTTCTAATGCTAATTACGCAAAACCACAAGTGCTGTCATTTTCTGCCCTATAACTATCAATTTTCATTTGCAATAGCTATTAATTTATCTTTAACTAATTTATTATTATAAAGAAATATTTTTTGTTATGAATAAAAATTCATATAACCTATTTAACGTAAAAAAAAACATTAGAAAATAAATGAAATAAAAAATTGTAAATTATCTTGGAACAATATACATACAGAATTATTGAAACAAGTGTCATGATCACTAATGCAAATATGTATCAAATAAACTGAAATAATGAAACAATAATACTTCTGTAAGTGGTACACATAACTGTGATTAAATCGAAGCTATTTATAATAAATATCATTTAAACATTCTTGATAATAAGTATGATAACTTGATAAGAATGATATACACGCTCAAGTTTACAATGAACAACATTTAAGTATTAAACTCCTTGGAATATTTTCACATGAAATATAGTGTGTTAATTTTATTTAATCAACAATCTTTAATTTTCTAAGGAGAAAATTAAAATTTGTTAACTCTTTATGACAAATATTTTGGTTAATCTTAAAAGAATCAGTCTTCAAAAAGAAATGGTAGAGTATATGAGGGGATTAACTTGGCAATCACATTGAGAGGAAATTCTTTCAGAAAAGAATAATTAAAATTAATCAAAAATTACTTAATTATCATAACTTTAATTTTATTCTTGAAGTATATTTTTTCCTCTCAATGTAATATTATTATTATAATTCGTGTTTAGTCGAAAAGGGTCTCTCATAGAGAATTTCTTCTAGTTAGAATACTTGAAATCCATCAATAGGATATTTCTTTTCATTTTTCAAAGGTATATATAGATATATACATAAATTCACGCGCGAATCGCGTGAAAATATAATTAATTCGAAACGCCTAAGACTCTCCATGAATCATCGTATCATAATCATAAGCTTTTTTCTTATGATTCTCTTTTTCTTTCTTGTGACATATGCGTGCCATTTGTATGCACAAACTACCCGAACATCGTCGACAAAATAAATCCAGCGTACTAGATTGCATCAATTACGTAAAGAAGGATTTAAGAAGCTTCTCGAAGCATTATGATAACTTCTATTTGCATGAAAAACTGAATAATAAATATATCTATATCTGTACATTCACATAATACTACTATTTTGTTGAATTCTTTGCAGGTTTTACAATTGGTTTCAGGGATGCTAACATCTGACGATCAAGCTTTACAATATTTAAAGTAATCAGATACATGATAAGAGGATAAAGTACTGAAGGAAATAAATTCTATTGTACATTACTTCATATATTGCGCTTAACGGCTACGCTTTAGTCATGAGATTTGTACCAAATTTATTTACGTCATTTGGATATTAATTTTTTATTCGGTTTTACTACTTTTTTCTCTTTTTTTTTTTTTGTTAATTAATGATTGTTTCTATCGCATCTTGCGAATCAAATGTTAAATTTGTTTAATAATTCTCATTTGGTAGGTATGACTAATATTTTTGACCTTCGAGAATTCTTCTCAGCTGATTTTTAGTGAAAATACATTATGTGCAGACTTATAGACTGCAAAAATAAATAATTTACAATCTAGTACGCCGGAAGAATATCTAGACGGCTGAATCTTTGCCTACAAAACCAGTCTTTGAGATTGATCGTTTTCCGTCGAATGTAATTGATGTTTCCCGCCTTAAACCTGAGTCAATTATTGGTGTAATCTTCTTTTCTTCCTTTAATGGCTCCTTTTCTTCTCTGTAAAATCAGTAAAGAAAAATCTTGATATTTATTTTTTATAAATAAATTTTTATATATAAATTATATAATCAATGTGTTTAACCCGTGCGACGATCACGCTTTTTATGATTCTGTGAGTAACAACATCGAGACACGTTTCACATGCTAGCATTCGTTTGCATTAATTAATTTTATTTTTAGATATTTATAAAATTATTTCTATAATCGTAGTTTATTTATCTACAAATAAAAATTCTCTTACAATAAAGTTTTTTCTTTTTTAAATTTTCAGTGTGATCATGCAACATGGCCAAAGCTCAAGCTCAATAGTGATATCATTTCCTCTCAATAAAACTCGATTTAAATTATAAAAATAATAACGACAAAAATAATACATAAATATTTAATGTGATCACTGATAACGAAACAATGTACTATCAAGATAAATTGTGGCGAATGTGAATGAGATAAAAGTAATGTAAAATAAATGAATTTTTTATCGCACGTGAATGGTTGGCGGCACACAGAAGGCGAAGAAATATTTCGATAAAAGTTTTCCCATGCTTTATTATTTTTTTTATTTATTTATTTATTATTCTGTATTTTCTTTTCCTGAATTAAATCAGAGATGAAAAAAATCATTATACCAGTTCGAATGAAAATACTGTAAAATAAAATTGTGTTGAATAATCCAAATAATGAAACTGTTATATGAAATAAAAAAATTCTAAAAATGATACTGAAAGAAATTCATGCTAGGTAAAAAGCAATGAATAATATGATGAAAATAAATGAAATAATTCCAATGGAGCCATGCGTGTTTGTATCATTGGTTTGATGCGTTTTTTCTTTTTTAAATATTTAAGATTCAATCTCTCATCTTGTCCTTACATGGCGGTATGTTTGACCAACTTAATGGTATTCTTTCCACTACTTGAGTCTTGGATGGCCGTCACTCCGGCAACATTGGCCATTTTTTGGTCGCAATACGGCAATGGAAACCGCCAACCGTAAAGACTATAACGGTGAGAAAAAGACAAATGGAAAGATGACAGAAATGTAAAATATAAAAAATTCTAGATATTCTGGATTAAAGAATTTCAATATTTTTTTTACTTCATACTCTAAGAATATTCATTTTATCAATTAATCAACATAAATATGATGATTTATAGTTATCACAAAACCAAATGAAAATGTTTGAAATAGGGAAAATTAATTTTTGCGAATTTCAATAATATGATATAGCGCCAGACTTGCCAAAGCACGATGTGTAGTGTTTTGTGTAAATGTTAATGATGATTAAATGAAAAATATCTGTAATATGCTTAAAAATTTGATCATTCTAATTTTATGATTATGATAATTTTAATATACTTGTAAATGTAGCAAATTTTTTGAATTAATCCAAAAGACATCATTAATTTAACATAATTATTTTTATAAAAAAAATTGATGATTACCTGCCCAATTTGGCATCTTCTTCATCTACAGGTTTCCTTTTTGATCTTTCACATAAATAAAATATAATACCTGGAAAATAAGAAAAAAATATTTTAAAACCAAGTACTAGTGAATTTATTGGAATTTTGTTGAATTTAAATGACTCATTTATGCTCGAGGCAATAAATTATTGAATTACTCACCAGTTTTATGAGCACAACAGCAGATTATGTCAATGATGACAATTATCAACAACAGAATTGCAATTACGATGCCAATGATTGCAGCACTTGATATTAAAGGCCCTTGATGAAGTACTGGACCATGGAGAGCTTGAAAATTAGAAAAAAATTATTTGATAAATTATCATAATAAAAAAATTCGTTTTTTGCATTCTGTTAGTGCAAAAAGCAACATTAAAAACGTTTGGTGATATTCAATAAATTTGTGTTACAAAAAAGAAAAAGACAGAGTCGAGAATATTTGCTCCTGAACCGAGTAAACTAATTTATAACGTACTGGTACATTTATTTTAAAATATTAGTGAATATTTTAGTAAAGAAAAACACTGAAAAGAAGAATAAAAATGTAGTAAATAGGAACACCACCAAACGTGCTTCACACTGTTTATTCAGAAAAACATATCCTAGAAAGAAAAAAAAAAAGATTATGCCAAAACTCATTATCATTCAAGCCTAGAAAAGTCTAGAAAAGTCATAAAAAATAACTGTTTAAAATAATAGCAAAAAAAGAATGTTAGAAAAATAAAGTAAAGTTAACCAAAAGATTATAAAGTATGTCTAATGATAATGCAGCAACGACAAAAAGATTCTAAGTAGCTTAAGAAAAAATAGAAAAGTAAGAGAACAAAAAAAGTAATTGAAACAGCACCATTTCCTCTCGATATTACTGTTAGTCTATCCAGCTACTATTCTAGCAACAAACTTTTGTTATCAATGTTATCATCTACCCATACTTTCTCTCTCTTTCTCTCTATCACTTTGAATCCCTTCAGCATCCTTTTCCAAGACATTTATTTCCTCACCCGATGCCATTCCATTTTTAACAACCAACTACATCTTCAAGCAGCCTTTCCTCTTGTTTTAAAATATATTTACCATTCGAATTGTTCTGTTTCTTTCCCTCTCTATTGCGTTGTGCTTTCTGATTTTTCCCCGGCTGATAAAAAAATACGGGCAAGCAGAAATATAAGAAGCGACAGCCTCCAAAGAAACCATTTCAAATTGAATTTACATTGGCTTCATGGCAAATTGTTGACAGATAAAATTCTATTTTAGTGTGTGCAATTGTTTTCTTTGTTTTTCTTGACAAGAAATTTGTTGGTTTTATTTGAACAATTTGATTGTGGTTTCTCCTTTAGCAAATCGTGCAATATTTTTTTTTTAAACACTCATTTATATTTTCTCCGTTGTTTATGTACAGTTTATTCCACAAAACTAATTTAATCCCTCATTCTTATAAATACAAGACGTTAAACACTGTATGCATACGTACATTTTAATATTATCGAAAAATGTATACATATGAAAAGTTAATATAGAAAAAAAAAGAATTCCATATGAACGATTTGCAACTCAATGTACGTTGATTGTGTACGTATTTATTTAATCTAGATAAGAGTGGAAAGGTTGAGAGATATTTGACTCCTTTGACATCTTTTTTTCTTGTAAGATACGCAATGTTTAGCAAGTATAATGGATCAAAGGATCTTGTGAACGTGTACTAGCAATACCGACGTCCTTACACCACGTTTTAGATATTACACGACGAGGCAGTAATGTAGATTAATGGGAGACACCATTAAGAGATCTCAAGATACCTCCACTGAACACTTGAAGGAGCATTTATGAAATTGGATAGGTTAACATCCAGAATAAAAACTTTCTCGTTATTTTCTTCAACTTTTCAACTATTTACTTGGCATGTTAAACTCTCAAATAATTTACAGGATCAGATGTCAAAGATGATGGGAAAACAATCAAAAGGAAAATGGATCTAGAGGTATTCGAATGTAGAGAAACCCGGAAGCAAAGAATGCTAATGACATTTTTTGAAAAATATTTCTTAGTTCTTCCATTCTCTTGTTCATCATCATTAACGGGTAAAACACTATTGTCAAATATTTCCGGTGAACGGTCTATTGCCAACCCCTCTCAAACCTTTCCTCTCTTACATTTACTCACTCATTCATTCCTCGTCATTTTCACTCACTACTTCTATTCCATATTTGACTGTAATTGCGTGAAATGCCGCAAAAAACAATCCCCTATGACTATAAAATATATCTACTGCTTTTACAAGTCTTATATTTTTTGCAAACTTTTATTGTTTATTTTTGCCTGTTTTTAACTTTTATTATTATTATTTTTTTTAAACTTGTTTATTGTCACCGGACACGCAACTCGAGTATTGTCACGACAATAAATAGAAGATGAACAAAAGTGTTTTAAAGTAGGTCAAGGAACTTAAGTTCGTTGTTCTGGTTTCATAAATTATAAAATTAGATAAAGTGTAATGTTTTAATTATTTCACGTTTTCAAATTTAATCATTAACAAGTTAAAAAATATAATAAAATAATTCATAAACAATTATAAATAATTATCATTAACTGAAAATTTTTTTACAAAGTTAAATTTTATAAAAGTAATAATGATGAAGAGATTCAAAAGAAAATGATTTTATAATAGGAGAAAGCTTCCAATTAAAATCAAGAGATTCATCAAATTTGGCTTTAACAAAATTGGTGACAATAATACAATAATAATTATGGTAAATTATAATAACTAACAAAATAATTATTTTCATGTTAATAAACAATAATTGTTACTGATAATTATTACTCAATAATTATTATAGATGTATTTAAACATGCTCACTAAAATAATGCATTTTTTTCCAATAGTAGTAAAGCAAACAAAAAAAAAAACATTCAAAAGAAAAACGACTAAAAAACAAATGCAATATTTGGAATATTTATGCATTTTCAACTACTGTTTCTATTTAAAATATAATGCAAGTTTAATTATTTTTATCCACCCACAGAAAAAATGTAGAAAGATACTTTCACGGAATACTTTGGCATTAGCACCAAAAAGAAAGAATATTCTCAAAATTAACAGTCAATTTTAATAATCATTAGAAGGATAGTAGTTTGAAAAAATGAATTTTCATGCTAAAAAAAATATATATATAACATAAAATATGTATATATTTTAAATAGAAAATAAGAACAATAGTTCCTATCTAATACCTAAACCTAATCATTGAATGCTGTATTAATACTCTTAAACAATTCGCGTTGCCAAATTTAAAAACAAAATCAATAATTAAATTATTGATTTATTTGGATATTTATTTACTTTTTATAAAAGATTACTTTAGATTATTACATTGAACAGCATGAACACCTAGGTAATTGTATCAAGCTCCTATTTCAAAAGTGTATACTTCAATTGAAATTGTACGAGTACACGTATACAATCAAGCGTTTTATTTTTTTTTGGCAATGCAAGGCATTAAGTATCCTAATATTGATGGAAAATGAACGTACCAGTACGTTTATAATAATGAGCATTCAATAATACCTAATAATATCTATAAATACATTATTGTATAGTATCGTTGAATATTTTACATGTTTACTCGATCCTAGATTATATAATCTAAATTTTATCAGATTATATTTTTACGCTTTTTATGCATTTTCATTAATTTTAATTACTGCTTGGAGCTCTCGGAAGGAGATCTTATGATTTCTATAGAACTCCTACACACCTCGGAATGTATTAATTAGCATACCACCTAATTAATCCTACTTTACATTATCTTTAGTGTCGTTGTGAGTACGGTAATGAGAAAGTCTGTCTTTAAAATTCCATCCGTTCGTTATCACTCATTCCACCGTATAAAAAAGAGTAAAAAAAGCCAAAAGAGATATCTATCTCCTAGTATGACTTTTTGTACTCAAAAAATAAAAAAAAAAATTATATAAAAAAACTTTTTTTTCAGCTCTTCAAAGGGGACATTTAAATAAAAATGTATATATGTATGATAAATAGCGGGGTGATGTATCCCCGATAATTAATGGCGACTCTAAATGGCTAAGGAGAGAATTACTAAAGCTGTGACAATCGCATGAACGATGGGCTTGAGCTTGGACGAATCTCCAGTAGATAGTATCGAGTAGTCCACAGTGCTGCTTGATTCTAAATATAAAAAAAGTGACTCTTTGTAAAGGGGTAGAATGAAATGTTTTTAATCATGACACGCGTGCGGGAGTTACATTCGGAGCTAACATTCCTAAATTATTATCAAATTTATCTAAGTGTTTCCTTGAGTATCTAAAATATTGAGGAAGTCAAGATTAAAACTAAAATGTTCTTTATAAAACTTGAGCTTCTGTTTATACAAAATTATAATCGACAATTTCCTTGGCTAGAATAAGTTAATCTGAATGTTAGAATTTTACTTTCCCTACTAATTCAAATTAATAACATTCATTTGATTCTCAAGAAAACGAATTCACTAAAGCAATCAAAAAAGACTAAAATTTTTCAAAAAAATAAAATCAAACAAAATCTAAACTAAAGAACATTAATGAAAAAAAAATGCTAGCTGAGTTTAATTCATTGATTATCAATTTTTTAAAAAGTCGATTAAAGAATTTAATTTACTGAAAATCTTACCTTTGGCAGTTCTGAATTGTAAAATTCCAGCTTCTGAATAACCTATAGAGTTATGTGCTTTGAGTTGAGCAGAATAGTATCTATCAGGAGTAAGATCTTTGACGTAATGCTCGTCTCTTTGTCCCTTGATTTCATCGACGCGACACGTTCTCTCCTGAAGTTGCCAATCGCCTTCAACTCGTTTTATTTCGCAAATTCGAAGTTCATATTTATCAATGGGATCTCCATTATCTAAAGGCGCCAGCCATTTGACTTTGTATTGATTGCTATACATAGATGTATCGTACTCAACATTTTCCTTATTCATTAGCATCTTTGGAGTCTGTGGCACGGATCTCACAGGCATCATTTGTTGGAGAATAGAGCCCCAGGGTCCATCACCAACATCATTTGTAGCATGAAATCTAAACTCGTAACCAACTTGAGGGAGTAAATTTTCAAGAACATATGGAGAGTTTAAACTCCAAGTCTTATTTTTTGCGGTGGTCCAAAATTCATTTTCTGTTTTATATTGAACGGTAATTGTTTTGATTGGTAGTTCTGGATGCATTGGAGGTGGAACGATATCGAAAGAAATAGTTGTAGCTGTTATTGTACTGATACGAGCTTGAGGAATAGCTTTGGGCTTTTCTCCCATATTTAATTGGATTGTATGAGTGCTTTCTCCATGTATATTACTTGCTTTACATTTGTAAAATCCATAATATCTAGCATCACTTGGAATAATGTTTAATGTGCTGTTAGGCCCTTTACCAAACTGCTTATACACAATCGTATCATCAACATGAACATTTTGTTGGAATAGTGGTCGATCTCCATGGAACCATTGAATTGTTGCATTCGGAATACTCTCAGCAATACAAGTGAGATTGACAGGACGACGATCCCAGGACCAAACAGTTTGATTTATCATCGATGCAAATGATGGAGGAAATTCGACTGTCAAGTGTCCATTTTTGCGAGCTTCTTCTACTTTATTTTTAGCTATACACTCGTAGAGCCCATCGTCTTCACGTAAAACATTAGAAATAGTGAGAACAGCAGTAGTTTTTCCGGTAGTATTATCATCATAAGTTCTCAATACGATTCTATCATCGTTTGGCTGATTTCCCAATACAAATGATTTAGAAGCCGTTTGTTTTCTAAATGTAACACCAGGTGCTGGCTTTCCGTAGACTTTACATTCTAATTTTACTTCTTTTCCTACAACTACTGTTTTGTTTTGGAACTCCATTATCTTCGGTTTCTTAAGAACATTCACACGAATAGGCAACATCGCTGATCCAGCAACGTTTTCAGCAATACATTGATATTCTCCTTCATCATCATCTTGAACGTTAGTAATTTGTAAAATTCCAGTATCGCGATCTACGTAAAAACGATCAGCTTCCGAAAGATTCACCTTTCTTATTGTATTTAACCAAGAATATTTGGGAGCAGGTTTTCCAGTCGCATTACAAATATCAATTTTCTGCGCTCTACCTTCTATAATTTCTATTTCCGATGAGACTTCATTTATCTTTGGCTTTTCTTGCACTTCCAAAGTAATTAAACGTTCTTGAAGCTCTCCAGTTTGTAGAACAGCAGCGTGACAAGTGTAAACGCCTTTATCATCATCTCTCACTTGATTAATTTTTAACGCGTGTGTTTCTACAATGTAGTGATCACCAGTTATAAGACGTTCATTATCTTTGAACCAATCTACTGTTGGTGCTGGACGAGCCTTAACTTCACACCTTATTTTATATTCCTCTCCCAATGTAGCGTATTGATATTCTGGAGCATTTTTGAACGTTATGGTTTCTGTAAATTGAATTAGTTTATTATTATTTATTCTTCTAAAATTACAGAAGTTAGTTCATACAAGACGTGTTAACTCTTATATGGGCTAATTAATAATTAAAAATTAGAGTATAATTTTAACAATTGAATTAATTTCTTACCAATAGTTTCAATATCCAAAGATTTATTTATTTTTTCAGCTCCAGCATAAGAACCAACGCACGTATACCTTCCACTCAATTCTTCCTTAAGTGGATTAAACACCAGCGAAAGACTATTATCTTGATGTTTCTCGGTGTACAAATGGATATTGGCTAAATTCGATGTGTAGGAGCTGTTAATGAAATTACTTGAATTAGTTAATAAGTTAATTATACTATTCTAAATTAATTCACACATATTTGCATGGCATTGTTGAGCATCTAATGATATTCAATGAGTATTGAAAATTATTACAATGAAGATGATTCTATTTAGATTAAGATTCGGAGAAATAGGTTTAATAATTTTAATCTTAATGTGAGACATGAAACAGTCTATGTGGCGTCTTTTGTTCGCATTTGTACGGAATGGCAATTTGACTGTGGCAAATGAGAAAACAGTGGTGACTCAAATCGTCTCGTTTCTCTATACATACATGAAAGTGCTTTTTAGAATAGCTAGCATGAACGTGAAAGGACTCTGTAATTTATGCAACATATAAGAGAGAGCAAAGGAGTAAGAGAGTGAAGAATATACTATTGTTTCATTTCTTTCGTTGAAAAAGAATATTTCTCTGACGTGGCAAGTGAATGAATGATAAGTGAGATGTGAATGGAGAATATGCAGATGAAATAAGAGTAAGAGAAAAAAAATACACATTACGAATGGCTAACACTCGCTGGACTTAGAAACTAAAAGTATAATCATGTGAAGACTGGAAAAAATTGTATATTTCAACAGAAATGAAGATAGATGAAAATAAGCAGTTAAAAAAAACCGAGAATTATTATTTGGCAAATAAAAAATACTCGAAGCGACAGTTTGTGTTGAAATGAACTGTTAATTATATTGAAATCAAATAAGAAGAGAAAATGTTTTTTGTATTATATCTAACGACTATGACAATATTGAGACACGAGAATCGTGTACAAGATACTACAATTGCTGTACGATATATTACTCTTTGTTTTGTATACTCGCCTGTCGAGTGGCAATACGACGAGACTGTGTGCAAAAAACAAGAAATAAAACAGGTATTTGTTAAAAAAAAATAGTGCTGTGCATTATTTGTTTATAGTGTATTCGCAATAATGATGCTTGATTGAATATCATATAATTGGTTAGAAAAAATTGTAAATATTATCAAATACTTTACTTATGCTTTTTATCTGTGATTGAATATGTTTCAATATACCCAATGTGTACAAGGAGAAATATTTATTTTTTGGTACTCATTTACTTGAACTACTAGGTAGTTTAGAACAAATATTTATCAATATCTACTGAGCAAAATTACAGTTATGTTTAAAATTTAATAAACTGTCATGATTTAACATGGTGATACTATTACAAGTTCAAGTATAATTTTATTTTTACGTTAATTAAAAAATTTTTCCATGGATTAAATAAAGATAATTTTTTACTTGATATTTAAAGTAAAAAAACTTACTGTCGAGATTCAATTCTATTCATATTGGGACCCAGCCATTCGATTTCGACTAAATTGGCATCACCACTCGTTGGTAATTTGCAAGTGAAGATTAACCGTACTCCACTTGGTTTAGAGTGTTTGTCCCCAGTAGGTAAAATTTCCAGTGATGTTTGGCCATTAGTCCACGCTGTAATGAAAAAAAAGTTAGATGAATAAATTGGCTCCAGTTGATTGATTATTCAATTTTAGGTGTTTTTTTAAAATGTACAATGTTTGAATGAAGAATTGTTGGGCGTTTTGATAACATTGAAAGCAATACATAATATAGAAATACAGAATGATCCATTTGGTTTAGTCATTCTCTCGCAAAATACCGTCACGACATGTCGCGGAACTGGTAGAAGATTAGTTGAATGCAATGACAAGGGGAGTACGGACATTAGTGTGGACAGAGAGAAATGGGAGGATAGAGAGAATAGAGAGGCGAAGGGTAGGTATGGGTGATGACCGCCAACAGGAAGCAGCAATTAAGCCGATTAACTCTATGCTAGAAGCGAAAGTGCGGAATTTACGCAACGATGGAAACTCAAAACTTGACAAACAAATTCCACGGTCAATAAAATAAATATTCCTGTATATTCCAGTTATTGTAATAACTGTATTTTCATAATTTTTATTCATCCGTCAAAATATTTAACGAATAATATGTTTATTATTTTAAATAATCTATCTATGATAAAAATGATATGATATGATAATTTAAAAAAAACTCAACATAAAAGTAATGACTTTTAATTGAATTAATATCAGAAAATAAATTAATTCACTGGTCTATTTGTATTGCTAGACTAACGTGGGACACTTGTAGCTTATTTTCTCATCGTGGGAATGTTAATAAACATCGTCGAGAATCGACTTTGCTTTTGCTTCCCTCTAGCTGTTATTCTGCTCTTTAGCAAAGAGTAAAGAGTTTAATATATACAGCATCATCAGAGTAATTAATCTAGGGATAAATCGGAACTAACGTTATTGTTTGTCTTGCTTCCTTTCCAAAAGAGATGAGGACCCACAGACGCGTGAAGCCTGCTCGGCAACTTCGCTAATTGCACCTGAGTCAGTCAAAGTTAATTCCTACGATCGACCACATCGGGAAGCGTTAAAGCTACGTCGAGAATTTCCTCAACAATCCTTCTAGCATTCTCGCAGTTATCTCATCTCATTCACTAACCATGAAATATCTTATATATCTCGTGTTTACTTCACTACAGAATTTCCTGAATCAATACTATCCTGCTTACTAATTATCCACACCAGAAATCCTATCATTTATAACAAGACACAAATTGGGACAAAAAGTAAGATAAATGTTTAAGCCTGGGAAAATATTTAGGGTTGTTTAATTGTTTTACGTAGGTGCGTACGTTCTAATTTTTCCAGACAAGGCACAGCACGAACGCATCAATGCTTTTCCTTCCCCACAACACTACTACGTATATAGAGAAAAACACGAGAGAGCAAGATCCAAACTGGTGTTAAGATTTTTCTCTGGATCCGCTTCTCTCTCCAAGGGTGAAAGAAGCCTTGTAATTGGCACCGGAGTTTCATCTTCGTGGCTTCTACGTTAGGGGTATCAACCCCTATACTAGATAGTCAAAGACGGACCTTTATGGTCTTTCTTCGCTTCTTTTCTTCAACATCCCCTCAGACGACTTTTACCACTACTACAGATACACATACAGCTACGATACTACGCCTTTAGGACACATCTTATTTACGTTAGTTGGGGTTTGTTGGCTTGAACTACCCTTCAACTCTCCAAGACCTATTCGCCTTCCGCGTCACGTTCGTCTCTTCCTCTGCTTCATCATCACCGTTACACTCCCTCTGTAATTTTTATCTACTGTATACAGGAATGTTGTCTAAAATGAATCATTATTATTTGTTCATCAAGATGGTGGTGAGAAATAAATCAGAATATGGGAAACTATAGATAGAAATATTTTCCATGATTTATAGGAAATTTAGGAAAGAAATATTTTGTTGCCACAACAGATCGGAGATTAGATCTTCATTAGTGTGCTCAAGTCTTGCTATCATAGTTTGAATTAAAGCACTTTCACCCTTATGGTGCACCTGAATTTACGTACATGAGGGTCATGTTCCGCCTTCTTGCAACACCCGTATGTATATAACGACCGTGTGGTATTAAAGGGAGTGCCGTGAAGGTACATCAGAGACTCGCGTAAAGCAACCCCATGAGGCTTTTCCTTTTGCCTGTTCCATAACAGTATTCGTCAGGGGTGAGAGGGTAAACTCGACGACATGTCATTCGAGCCGGAAGAATTCTATCCAGAGGGTTGCAAAAGGAATAAGGTGATAGAGGATTTGATCGAATTCCAATATCAAATTGGCTTTAGAGAGTTAATATGCTATGGCTTCAAGAATTTTTGAAACTAAAGTTTGTTGATTAGAAAAAAAAAAATATTTTTGTGGATTAAACATGATGAATAGCAGAGAAAAGAGGATAAAAAGTTGATTAAAGAACTTATTTGAGACTCTATGTGGCTTGACTTTTAAAAGTTTATAGGCAGAGGTGAAATCTTTTAATTTTATTTGAGAAACTTAATCAAAATTATGCGAAGTGAATCATCGAGTTATTCAGAAGGGTAAGGAAATTCCGATGAAAAGAAAAATAGAGAAATAGTTTGGAGAGTTATTCGACTCACTCAATTATTACTAATCCAATTTGAGAACATTATTAGAAAGTCGTTTGGAACTTTTGTGATTAGATACCCTGGGGGCATCTTCTTTCACATCTCTCGGATGTTTCTCAAGTGTTCGAGGCAATTAAGATTTTCGTTAGCGAACAAATCGAAGAAAGTAAAACGTCCACAGATAAAAGCATTGATCTTAAAGACTAATAGTGGGACTTGGCAAACTCTAAGACAAACTCAACTTCAAATAAATCTGTTGTGCTTGTTGAAAACATCGGTGGAAAGAGATTATAACACCTGAGTGACTAGTTTGTAAGGATCAACAATGATAGGAAGCTTATCATTTTTTCCAGTTATAATCACCGATCAGAAAGTTTTCAAAATTTATTCTTCTGTATAATAATAATAATTCAATTGAAAATAAATATTTCAAGTAAGAAGAAATATTTTTAAATGCTCTAACAAAGCTATTTTATTCAACTCAATTTTAAGCAAAAAACAATGCTATTAAAAGAACGTGGTTTTTTATTGTGCATGAAATTGCTCATTAACTCGAATTGGATTCTTTTATCTACCAAGTTTTTTGGGGGAGAACAAAAAGTAGATTGAGCACTTTAATTCACATTTTTAAATAATAATCAAATGAATTCTGTAACATCATAATAACTGACAAAAATAAATAAAACAAAAATAAATTACATTTATTTTCCTAAGAACTTTCACATATATTTTCTACAGATCTATTTTTTGCAAAACTCTCACAACAATTTATTATTATAAAAATGAATATGAATTTTTTCATAAAAATTTTATTAAGCTTAATTAATGAGAGAAATGTAGACAATTATAGATAAATCATTTCGTGAGTAGTAATTTTATTACACACTCGTGGTCAAGTTCGTGTTCTTTTATTTCATCAATTTCCTTAACTTCCATCAATTTACTTATCTATCATCTGTCTTGATCACCGCCAACACCATTCATCTCACTAATTCTTAATTTAATCCAATCCACTCGAAAACATGTATGCATCCATTTATTACCGACACATCTTATTTTGGAGCCAGCTGGAGGGCAAAATCAACCACCCAAAATAATCTGAAGATGAGCTTTCAGATTAGCAAAAAATGAAGGTAATAAGCTGAAGAATAATGAGCTAAAGCAGATTATACTTGGATGAAAAATCTAAAACCTAGATAATCTCGTTTTAAGAGACACTTGGAATAAATAGCAACTAGATAAAATGGTGAGCGTGAAAAAATAATGGCGAATTATTAGCAAAAGAAAAAGGTAATGTATGTGAATAGCTATAACCTTTAAAAGTGAATGGTTTTCTACTGGTAACTAGTAGGCAGATAAAAATAGTTGGGATTTTATATACATCGAAAAAAGGATAGGAAGAGTAGTTGGAGCACGACGGGAGATAAGCCGGCCTAATTAAATGCTTGCAGGCGCAGTATCTCTCATGGTGTAGTGGAGGGCGTTCGTTAAGTACGAAAAGCTGGTTGCAAAAGGGGGAGAGGCGCAAAAGGGACTGAAGGGATCTCCGACAGATTGCGGTCCCCGCTTGGGATGACTCGGACAAATAAACAGGAAGGAATATATGCGAGTGAGAGAATAGCTATCAAGTGAGACAACATATGCGATTGGATTCATATACGTGATGTCTCGCAGATTCACTTGATTTTCTTTGCTGAGGGATCAAATAAACTAGAGGGATCAGAGGGATACACAATAGTAACACAAATATTGCTAATAATTTTCCCTTATTATTAAATTTTCTCAAAGCTTATAATAAATTACATCATTATTTTTTATTATTTCTTCTTGCTATTCCATATCAATTCTAGGAACGTAAATACTCATTTCTGACAAGGATTATGATAATAAAAAGTATCAAGTGAATAAAATAAGTTATCATATTTATTATTGAGAAGTTTGATGACACAAGAATCTCATGCAGGAGAATAACTTGGTTAAGTTCTCTTTCTATTTTTACAGTAAAAATAGTTGAGTTAAATTTAATCTTTTGATTAAACTTTAAAATACAAACTTATAAAAATAAGAATATCGTGAGTTGAATATATTGTAGAATTACAGTAAACTTTAAACTCTGAATTGCATACAAATGTATTGCCACCAAACGATAAAAAAAAATTTATGAATAACAGAGGGAAAATTCCTAGAATGGGATAAACTGTGCAATATCATCAGGGTCTATTGATATAGAGTAATAAAAAAGAATTTGCTCTTCACTTCAAAGTACACTAGAAATATTATTTTCAAATGAATAAAATCAACGATACATCAAGTATATAAGTAATTAAAGCTAATTAAACTCTGCATTTTTTATAAAATATTTTTATCTTAGTTTCGTATTGGCTTTATCAGGCTTCGTAAAAGTATACTCTACGTAGAATATCGATTCTCCAAATGTCCTCTCCAGGCGATGTCATGTCGAAGAGCATTATAAATATAGGCGGAGAGAAATGAGTATCATAACTTTATCGATGCACTTATGGTGGAACTCTAGAGCTTTAATTTAATCGTAAAGTTATAGAGGAAAGTTTGAAAGTAGAGTTCAATCGAATCATAAGAAATTGTTGATAATTGGGGCGTTTCATTTAATTCAGACATTTTTTTTTTATATCTAATCGATTTTTCATTCA